TATGGGTGAAGGCGGTCCGAGACAACTGAAGGGTATTTAATAGTTCGAGGGGGAAAGGAGGAGTAAGACGCCTTAGGGTAGTCTGTAGGAAGACCTAGAAAAATAAAACAAAACCTTGACGCCTGAAACAAACACCAAGGGACGCTCCGGAGTATTTATCTCCGGAAAATCGCAGACAAAGTCGCAAACCACGAAACCGAGTGTAGGTTTGGGCCCACGGGAGTAGAAATTGCTAGCGAAACTTGGTTAATTTTATTTCGCTATGTGAGACGCACCGGAGCTAATTTAATCGATGGCGGAGCTAATTCACTCGACGAGTCAGGCCTATTGGCAAAGCTAAGATCGGTTATAATTCGCTAAGTTCGACGCTTTCGAACTTCTCGGGTCGCTGAGATCGTAACGCTAATTCTCTGAGATGGTGAAGTCGAAACTTGTTTTTCTGTATGCTACTTTGTACAATTTATACTACAGGAATGGCTTTGCGACCGTTCGGAGATAAATAACAAATAAACGCCGCTACCCACAGGTTTGCTCAGCACTTTCCTCCGCTATACCATACACCATACGACTCTCTTGCGCTCCCACTTGCTCTTTCCAGCCCCTATAGGTCGCCTCGACGCTTCGCCACCTGACCCAAGCGGTCCCATCACTCCGTGCGACACGCCAGTCACGTGTTAATTACCTCCGGCCGTTTGCTGACTGATGCTGACCTTATGGTGACTCGTATGCGTCCGCACCTTCGGTATCTTGACGGAAACGAGGGGGAGTGAGTGCTGGAGGGCGGGCATGAGGAAGATGCCCCTCGATAGAAGTGTCCACGGGTCCCGGAGCTAATGCAGCTAGAAGTCGCATTGGTTAAGTCACTCCGGAGCTTCGGTGCGCGGAGATAAATTGCGGAATGGGTCCGAGTACGCCTCGAGGATGTTGGGAAGTCCGGAGCTAAATAGAAAAAGTCTTTTAGAGCCCATAGAAGCCTAGAGGCGTGCGAGCGCTGTGTCGAATAAGCTCCGGGGCGTTTGTATGATGTGCTGAATCCGCGTTTTCGGGGGTCAGACGATCCTGAGGCTTATCAACACCTGTGTGATGTGTATTGCTTAGAACTGAATTGCCGCACCTTCAGCTGGGCATCTTTAGCTCCCAGCCCTTCACAATAAGTGTCCATCCAATGGACCATGTGATGTTCCCAGCACCGTATTGTCTCCAATTTGACCTGTGCCATGGCCTTAGTTTACACCTCCATCCCAGTGACAAACTTCGGAATCACTTTCCGAGTCAGAATCTAAGTTGATTACTGAGACCTCAGGGCGTGGCAGCCGTTTCTGTGCAAGAGCTGCATGAGCACAAGCAGCTGCGTCCTTCTGCACTTATCCTGCGAGGTGGCATAGTCAGGCCAGTGTGAAGCTCCAGCTCAAAATTGTCAGGTAAATTGACATATATTACTGGGAGCCAAGTTCGGCCCCGCTGTTGCCCCTTGTTTCACTATGCTACAATGCTAGACAATATATAGCAAAAAAATACTGAAAATATGAATATAATATTTGTACTCAAATGGATTTTGCCGCTGTCCAAAAGTGGCGGTGACTAGGTGTCCGGCACCATATATATACGGACTGATTGCAGACACTCATGCAAACTGGTGACAGTACTCCATTCCCTCAGCAGCCGTTCGCTTGCGCGTCGAATCGCCGTAATCAATGGAGCTGAATGACAGGGCACAGAAGTCGAACACAGAACCAAAGGATGCCACCGCCGAGTCCCGCAACTTGTCACTGATTGTAGTCAGGGAGTGGTCGGCTTCGACATCAAGCTTGACAAGGTTAGGGTTAGCACGAGGTTGACCGATGGTCACCGATCTGTCACATAAGCTGTGACACTGCTCTCAGGCTCCTGCCCATGGTATCCCCTCTGTCCCGTACCATGTCCTCCCTCGCCTGCCGCCGAAATGTATGGCGATACTACCTTTCCCGCTGTTTCCTCTCTTCTGTGCGGTATCAATTTCTCCCAGAGTCGTCACGCACAACACTGTCGATACCACCAGTACCCAAGGCCGAAGACGGACCACTATCAGAAGCCGCGGACTTGCCGACCAGAGCACCCAAATCCGCTAGAAACAAAGACGACGGTATAGCGAAAGCAGTGAGGGGGGGCGGGGGCAACCCCGGCGTCTTCGTCTACCCTATCCCGCCAGAAATGGACGAGTCCGAGCTCCGGAAGATCGCAGAGAAGTGCGGGCCCGTTCGCCAGATACGCATGGGTACGCCTCCCTCCTCACCCCTCTTGCCTCTCTGCCACTGACAGCCCCGCTCACCCTCGCTCAGGCCCCCCAACCGATCGCACCCGCCAGGCCTACGTCCTCTTCCACTCCCCGCGCAGCGCCGCCCAGCTCAAGGACACCCACGGCGCGGACGCGTTCACGGTGCGTTTCGCCCGCCCGCGGCTCCAGCGCGGCAAGAACGGGGAGCACGTGAGCGCAAAGAACGGGGAGCGCTCGAACGCGAAGAACGGGGAGCACGCGAGCGCGGGGGATGCCCCGACGAACTGCCTGTACGTGTCGAACCTGGCGTTCGACGCGAGCCCGGCAGCCGTGCGCAAGGGGCTGATGGACACGTTCGGCAAGTGGGGCGAGTTGTGGCGGCTCGCCGTAGGTGCGCCTATCCCTTTCGCCCCCATGCACCCTCTACCCCGTCCACCCCCCCCCCCGCGTCTTTCCTGCCCCAGCGTTCCCTGTGCCGAAAGCTTACGGGACGGCTCGACAGGCATGAACGCGCCCGGCAAGCACGCGGGCTTCGCGCACCTCTACTTCCGCTCGCCCTGGGACGCGCACGCCGTCCTCTGCGCGCACCGCGTGCACCCCTTCCACGGCGCTAACCGCGCCCTCTGGATGGGCTTCGGCGCGGGCATGCCGCCTCCGCAGCCGCGGAAGGAGCTGTACGTCGCGCCCGTGCGCGAGGCGGCGACGCGGGACTCGGGGCTCACAGCTGCGGTCCTCGACGGGGCGCAGGAGGGGCTCGACGGGATGTCCGTGTGTGCGTGATTTTCTTCTTAGCCTTCGTCCCCTTTTTGTCCTTTCGTGTGCTTTTGCTTTTGCTTTTGCTTTTGCTCTGGGTTTGGGCAGGGATGTGCTGATGGAATGAGTGTGTGCAGGGGATGTGGGCGGCGGGCGCCGCGCCGCGCGGCTCACGTACAAGTCGATCGATGATGCAGCGGCGGCGCTGCGCGCGCTCGACGGGGCGATGCTCCCCACGGGCGATCTGCTGGACGTCACGTTCCTCGCGGACAGGGACGAGCGCGGGGCGCGTCCTTCAAAACTCGATACCGCCGAATCGGAGTCAGCCAGAGATGGGGATGAGCTGATGGCAAGGCTGCACGGGGCGGTGGAGAAGGCGTCCAGGTTGAGAAGGGGCGTGGGGAAGAAGGCGTATGGCTCGGATTGGGGCGGGACGAGGTGATTGGGAGGGCTGGTGGAGGTAAGAGTGGGAGCTTTGAGGTGCGTCAGTACGCTTGGTGAAGGGGGTGGGACTGAAGCCTGATGTAGACTAGGGTGGCACAGTGATACAGGACTCGCTTCACAGGGACTCTTGAAATATGGTAGTCTCAAACGGCTGTGACCGCATCGAGTTCTGCGGCTGAAGACACATGGTTCGCTCGTCGTACGGATATTTCGAGTATCTTACTCCATCTGACGAGTACGGCACATGTGGGAGAGGTGGGAGGAACGACGTCCAGAGACGTCCAAGTCCTATTTTGCATGGGCTGGCCATGTAATTATAAGGTGTATACATAGTAGAAAGCGAGGAACCATCATGTGTCTATGTAGGCCGGGGATGTGGTCATGGAAGGTATGGTCGAGATGATCCATAAACATCCACAAAGCGTCCTAGCCAAACCACAACATCAGAATCGACATCTCAGATATCCCAGACATGCAAACTTACTCCAACCACCCCACTGACCTACCCCATCCCATCCCAAGACGGTGAGGCCGCCCACACGCCGTCCCTCACCGATCCCCGAAGCCATCATCCCTACGCCCGCCGTGTGAGTACTCTCTCCGTCCATTGTCATCCCTCCCCTCGCGGGGCGTCGTGGGCTTCGCAAAGTCCACGCGCGCCGAGCGGTCGCCGAAGTAGAACGGGTCCGCGCGGTGCGCGTCCATCATCGCCTTGGCCGCGTCAAGCGTCTCGAACTCGATGTGCGCGTACCCCTTCGACTTGCCCGTGTCGAGGAAGCGGCCTGTCCGCACACCATGTCGTCAGTACGTTGCTCTATCTCACAAGAAGAAGAGAGGGAAGAGGAGAGAGCGGGCACGCACCCATGGTCACACGCTTAACAGGCCCGAACTGCTGCCCCGCCTCGCGGATATCATCCTCCGTCGCGCGGTAGGGCAGGTTGCCGAGGTAGATCGTCTTCGACGGGTCCGAGTCGCCCTGGCCCTTGTTCTCGGACACGCCGAACGACTTGGCCGCCACAGGCGTGTGCGATAATGACCGCGCTGGAGTTTGCGAAAGGAACGCCGAGCGCGGGCGAGCTGCCACCAGGGAACGGCGCGCGGAGGCACAGGTGAGAGAGCGCAGCTGGCGTTGGAGGGAGGCTTTGAACATGGTGGTGGCGGGTGAGGAGGGTGACGGTGTCACGGGAAAATAAATGTGGAAATTGCGCTGGTCACGACGGAGAGATCTGGCGGAGATCATCATCCTGGGGCAGCTTCACTTCGGATGACCCATCGAGTCTGCATTCACCAGGACTCTTGCTGGGATGCGGAGACTATTGCAGGAAGTAGGAGAGGAATCTGTTTACCCCTCATTTACTATTTATGAAGGGGTAGAACGACCTCCTGTCTGACTATAGGAATCCGGGCGATGGCAGCTGAGTCGGCGCCCTTCCAGCTGTCGTTCTACTGGGGTTTGCCTCTGGTGTCGTTGTAGCCCCAGTGCACGTAAGGAATGAATGCACCACGTCATGCTTGACCAGATGAAAACGGTAAGTGGGCATTGGGTGTACTACGGGGATGCACACCGTAGGTTCTTTGTCCCCCAAGCTGCTGGACTTGTCGAGACTTCCATTCATCCAAGTCACCACCTCATCACTTCAGGGATCCCATGTTCAGCTGCGCACCTATCTCCATATTACTTTAGGTTTGCATGACGTCTCTTCTACCCTTAGCTGCCATGAGGCTCGAGCTATATCAAGCCGTTGACCAAAGCTGCATGAATCCATCGACCCCCGTCGTCCAGTACCATCCCTACCTCCTCCCCCCTCAGTGGATTATCAGCGATGTGTCGGTGGTTCGCGTACATCTCCAACACCGAGCCCACGCTGCTCGAAGACGTGCTCATCGAGCCTGCGCATGCCCTCGCGAAGCAGGTTCATGATCACTACCTGCCGGGGCTCGCGCATTACGAGCCTGATTCCGACAAAAAGTCTACCGAGGCGGAGATCGACATGCGCAACCGCATGTTCAACGCTGACGGGCTGGGAATGGCGTGGTCAGTCTTTACTAATCCCTATGCTGTAGGGGATGAGAGCTCACCGACGGCAATATCGCAGGTACTCCAATACCCGCTGCGAATTCGGCGAATGCGACGGGATCCGGCCGACGATCTACAAAGTCCTCTCCCAGCCGACGACCGACCCCGTCTTCACCTCTCTCTGCGCCAACACCGCCTCCACGACGCTCTTCGCGCACATTCGCGCCGCCTCGCCGGGCTCGCCGATCCACATCTACAACGCACACCCGTTCACGTTCGGGCGGCACACGTTCATGCACAACGGCGGCGTGACGGGGTTCGACAGCATCCGGCGCGAGGTGCTCGCGGAGATGAGCGAGGACGCGGCCAAGGCGATGCGCGGCACGAGCGACTCGGAGCACGTCGCGGCACTGTTCTTCACGTACCTCGCCGAGCGCCGCGGGCCGGACGTGTGGGACCAGCGCCACCCCCTCGAGGAGGTCAAGGCGGCGCTCGAGAGGGCCGTGCAGAAGATTATCGATATACAGAAGGAGGTACTGCCGAAGAAGGGAGTGGAGTATGGCGCATCGAGCTTGAACATCGCCATCACGGACGGCGAGCAGCTGCTCACCATCCGCTTCCGCAACAGCGCGACCGAGCACCCGCCGTCGCTGTACCTGTCCACCACCGCTGGTGTCACGCTCAACAGGAAGTACCCGGGGCACCCTGACAAGGAGGTGAACAATGTGGCGAATAGGAAGAAGGCAGAGGAGCATGGAGACCATGTTATCGTTGCAAGTGAGCCGACGACGTACCAGAAACACCAGTGGGAGCTCATCCAAAAGAATGAGTGCATCATGGTTGGTACTGACATGGTTGTCAAGAAAGCTCCTGTGAATGTCACATTCTAGTCATAGTCATATGTGTCCCCTGTCTTGCTCTCATTTCTGGAATTCTGTACCATAGTTGCATTCATCCGATTAGCACCTTCTGGGTGTATAGATTCCTGTTTGTAAAATACTACCAATGGTGGATTACTTTCTCTCTTGTACGCCCGAGCACGGTTGCCGTCTTCCGGCTCAACGTCCCCTATAGTAGGGCCTATACGAAGTATGAATCCACAAACGCGTCAGGATCGATATAACGCGATAAAGTCACATGACCTTTTCCACATGAGAGTCACATGACTGATGTTGAGACATCCATGATGCGGAGATGCAATCGGGTCCTTTTCCTTGTACCACAACCGCGTACTGCTGCCTTGTCCTCGTCCTTGCTTTCGTTGACTCTGCCAGCACTTCATTACAACCATGGTATGCCTTTGTTGAATGGGTGGATTTGGGACATTAACGTCTGCGAATTAGTCTGTCAGACCGGCTGTTCTGCGACGCCTGATGCGCGAACTCAGCGAACTGAAGACGAGCCCGCCGGAGGGGATACGCGTCGTGACGAGCGACGATAATATGCTCGATGTGACTGGCATCATTCAGGGACCAGGTGTGTACGAGTTAATCGCGCGTTATCACTAGCAGTGGGCTGGGAATCGCGGGGGTGGGGATGTGTGGCTGACGCGGTTCGAACTAACCAGAGGGCACGCCGTACGCGGGTGGCTACTTCAAGGTGAAGTTCAACTTCACCGAGGAGTTCCCTGCCGCGCCTCCGAAATGTACGTGGCATGCGTTGTAGACAAGTTGCATACGTTTCCGATCTGACCGGCGAATGCACGCAGGCCGCTTCATGACGAAGATATTCCACCCGAACGTCTCTGGCGCGGGCGAAATTTGTGTGAACACGCTGAAGAAGGACTGGCAGTCGTCCTACGGCATCGGGCACATACTCGTCACGGTCAAGTGCCTGTTGATATACCCTAACCCCGAGTCCGCACTGGATGAGGAAGCGGGAAAGCTCCTGTTGGAGAACTACGACAACTACTTCGAGAGAGCGAAGCTGATTACTAGTGTCCACGCCACGCCAAGGGTACGTTCTTCGTTCATTCCGCTATTTGTGACCGGCCACAGACCTTTCACCGACATCAGGTCCCCCCTCCTGAGTTTGCGACACCATCCTCTGCACCAGAGGCATCCTCCTCGAAGTCACCTATCCCCACGATCTCCGCCACGACTGTTCCATCTCCAGCGGCCCTCCCCACGCACGTCGCATCCACTCCCCTCGTCAAACCGGTGCCACCAACCACCATGTCCCACCCCCTTCAGTCCTCCGCACCAAACGGACTTCCAACCTCCCTCTCCGCAGAGAAGGAAAAGATCGCGAAGGAGCGACACGTCTCCCCGTCCCCTCTCAGCACGGCCGACTCGAACGTCGGCACGGGCGTGGGCGCCGCCGCGCCCAGCACTACCTCCGCGCCGGCACCGGCGAAAGCTGTGAAGAGGGCTGCTGGCGCCGGCGGCGCGACGGGCGTGGAGAAGCGGAAGAAGGCGCTGAAGAGGCTCTGATGTATGTGTGGCTTGGCGGCGGCCGTGTGCTTGGATCTGTATGGTTTATGGACCGTTGAGTGTTATGTTGATATCCTTTGCTGTGGCTTTATGCGTGTACATGTTGATACTTAATAGTAGCTATTTTATCATTTTCTGCGGCTCTAACGTCTCAAAAATCCTATTGAATTGTAGGCCGTACGCGTTCATCCAAATGCTTACGGTGTGTGACTATGCGATCAAGGTGCGTACGGTACACATGCTGGTATAGATCACGAATACGGTCCGTTTCCGTCCCAAAGTCCAGTGACAGGAATATGTGCATAACCGCGGGTCAATGTAAAGGTTGAAAGTACTTGGGCTTCAAAGTTGTAAGTATAGCCACTTGACCTTCGGGATTGACCCGACACGGGAGAGGCAGCGACAGGCTGCCATGGAACAGAATAACAAGAGGTCTCGGTGATTCAACACTGATAGCACGTTTTCCGGCGTACTGTCTAGCGGCTGTCAGACGAACGCGTCCACGGATCGGCGTGTGCAGACAACTGAGGACTTGCGCCGGGCAGCCGCTCAAAGTTGTTCTGTCATGGTGCGCAGGGATCGACGTGGCGTCGCGAGTGACTCCGGCGCATGAAGGGCGATGGACGTCGGGACTGAGAATAATGAGGGATGGCAGCAAACAGGAATAATCGAGTAGGCGCGTTGGAGGGAACGAAGGGGTGAGGAGTATGGAGTGTGATCTCTATTGAACAAATTCGTCTAACTCGGCCTGGAGGAAAGCTTGAAGGCGGTCTAGGACCTGGCTGGCTGAGGGCCGACCGGCGGGGTTGCTGGCCCAGCAGCAGTGGATGAAATCCCAGTATTCATCCGACACGTAGGAATCCTTATCGGTAGGTCGTAGCGGTTTCACGCCGTCGCGGAGGGCCCAAAGGATCTTTATAGTTTGCAAGCCAGTCCAGTAATGGTAGGGAATATCCCTTGACAGGGTCTGTTCCACAGTGGTCAGTGCGCTTATCAACCTGGAGTTGAGACTGTAGATTACCTGAAGCATAACACTCCCAAAAGAATATATATCGCATTCAGTGCCGATTAGGGGAGGAGCTCCCTGCGGGTTTGGCACATATATTTCTGGCGCGGCCCAGCGCATACTGCCTGCGATCAACGATGACGAGCTACCCGATGCCTCGGTGATCATTTTACTGAGACCGAAGTCACAAAGGAAGGCAACTCCGTGTTCATCAATCAAGATATTCGACTGGGTGTATGAATATGGTCAGTATAGACAAATCAGATAAAGAGAAAAATCGATTCTCACACCAGTAAGGTCTCCGTGTACAACGACAGGATCCAGTCCATGTACTGCTCGAGGATCAGCCGATGAAACTACAAGCAGATCATACAATCTTACGGTAGTGGAGGCCGCTCGCGATCTGGCACAACTAAATGAGATGTCGTGAGCGTAAGCCAATGAATGGACTTCTACGAACTCACCAGCCATAATAAGTCGCAAAGCTTCAGGCGCTCACGATGTGATTGGACGTATCCGGTTAAGCTACCGTTTTCCTTCCATGGGCACACCATTGCCATAAACGGGCCGCATCCAAAGACAATGCCGTATAGCGGCACGATATGCTTGTGCTTCAGCCTTCGCCATACGCTCAATTCACGTTTCAATCGCTTGAACATGATTCATCTTCCGCATCATTGAATGCAATCCACAATAAAAAATCACCTTTTCTATTTTCCTCTGCATCTCGACATCATCTCCACGGGGTCGCAGGACTTTGATTGCCACCTGGGGACCATAGACACGGTGAATGGAAATGCCAATCAACCAACCAGAATACACACCTTGTGCGTGCGGCCCCCTACATCCCAGAGTGCATGATAAATATCACCGTAACCGCCGCTGTTCGCAGGGTGGTCTCCACGATCATATATCTGGTGTGTGAGGTTCAAGACTTTGTTCAATGGAAGTAACTGTATGACCTCTTCCGGAGAGGGACAAATCTGCAGTAGCTCCTCGATATGGTCCACATCGTCGGGGTTCGCATTGCTCATGGCAAGGTCACTGGATGCGGAGTCGTCCAGAAGGACGGTCCTAGGAGTCCCAGAGGCCTGTTGCGCGTGCCTCTTCCGCTCTTTCACCTCATTCAGGAGAGATAAGAGAAGTGTCTCTATCTCATTATCGGTATCGGCCTGAACATGAGATGCTGCGGACCCTGCGCTTTCTGTGCCCTCTACAATACCATGGGTTAGATCCCCTTCGGATCCTCTGGCAACCGCAGGTGCACCGACATCGACACCTTCGGCTGCGCCTGTATGCAGCGGGAGAGAGGGGAGGACATCGTGGACAGCATCGGAACTAAGGCTAGCTTCTCCAACCTTGGCGGAACACTCTTGCTCACGGTCGTCCGACAGACTTCCTTGATCTTCATGACCGATATCAGGCGAGTAGTGAGGCGAGGCGTACTTCGCCCATGTTTCCTGCGACTTCTCCCATCGGTCTCTCAAGGCATTACATTGCTCTTTCATGACTTGCGTACGCTCCTTCATCTCCTTCAATGATAATCCCGGCCCCGCCGGCAAGACTGAAGCACGGGTGTCGCATCGACCAGAGGTGTTTCCTGGGTCAAGACTGTATACCGAAGTAGCGGGGGTAGATGGTGGGATGGGACTCGCAAATAGCGTGGATCTTTCGCAGAAGGATGATCGGCTCGTATCGTTCCCACTGCGGTAGAGATCAACATCGTCAACATCTTCCACGACGATACTCCACGACTGTTTCTCCTTCCGCCTTGCTGTTAGATCGGGTACCCAGTGGTGGGATGCTGGCCTGACCCGCGGGGGTCCTCGAGATGGTGTTAGTGCTGCGCTCGACGGGTTTGGATGAGAGGGACTCTCTGATGGCAAGGCAGAGGCCGAATTGTGGTCTAGAGTAGAGGGGACATGACTGGACGAGGAAGCCGTATTAATTGATATCAGCGTATCGGCCAAGGTCAAGAAATGATTGAGGGGAGAAGGACGATAAGGTAGCCGTGATTTCATAGGATAACCCGTAACAGATAAGTACTGTGGACCGATCTTTAGAGTGTTCTCGATAGGCAAGCGGTGCTCAGACCAGGTCAGCGTCCGCTGGACATTGGGTACCACCACAGGAGCCACCTTTGTTTCATCGCCCCGCATAAAACCCCTGGTGTAGAATAAGTAAGACGGAATACGCCAGACGTGCAGTTGCTTACAGACGCAGCTGAAGTGATCACGGCTGGGGTGTAACAAGTTGGAAGGGCTTGGGAGCTGGAGCTTGCTCTCACATCGCGCTAAAGATATATGGTAGTACGCTGTGCAATAAAACGCGACAAAGGTTCAGCTGCAGCGTGCTCTTCTGCACACGTACAGTAGGGGTCGCAATGAGGTGGCCGACGGAGCAGACAGACTTGCCTGTCAAGTCCCGTGGAAGACCAAACGAACCGATTCTCTGGACCGTACTCGACTCTTATCGGATCCACATTCAGTCAACCCTCCCCGGCTCAATTGGGGCTCACTATGCGAGAGCCTCCGAATACCTCCGGAGATTTGGGGCCTCCGCCCGCGAGAGCTGCAGCAGCGTGCGAAGTGGATGTTGGGTCGCACAGCAGTGTACCATCACCGGAGCCGAATCAGACAGGGCCAAGAGCCAGACAAAGGTAGTCACGTTATGATCCAGCCGCACTGGTCCGCATATCCCAAAGGGTCCTCGGGGAGATGCGAATAAAGCGCTGAATCAGTCTGCCATTCCGATAATGGTTCACACGTACCATCCTGGATATAGCCACTCTAATAGTGCGTAGTATACATGGGCAGTGTAATTGTTAGCTATCGTGCGTGAAGCAATGCGCTGCCTGCCAGCACTCACACTCACTAACTGGAAGGCGCGCCTGCGATGTACAAGGCGATGCCACAGTAGAGCTGTAAAGGGTCCGCGAGATTTCGACCCTGAAGTCTGCAGCAACGGTCAATATTATCGGGGGGAATTGTATCTCAAAGCCCGTGAGGCCGTATATGTAAAGCGTAGACCAAGTTGCGGAGCGAATTCATGGAGAATGACACTGACACTAGTACTAACTACGTTCGCCGGCGTTTCCCGAAACACTTCTACCCTTTAGTTTCCGTTTGTAGGACGTGGCACTGGCCGACATGACCTCCCTTTCGTCGTTTGTTGACTTCAGCAAGGAGTCTTTATATCTGTCTCTGTTGTCTATAACCTTCAATCCAACTGCTTGGAACATAGTCGCGCAAAATGGTACAGGAACCTCCTCACCGTCCCGTGCAGCGAGTTGACGCGACTCTGTTCACTAGAATACCACAACAAAACTATAACGCGCATGTTCGGGGGGAACGCCCGTAATGGGTGCTACTTCCTGGCAGTTATGATTTTCTCGTTTGGCTTGCTCCGTGACCACCTGTACGACCCTGCCTAATGTCAGGCATCCCATCTCTCTTCTGTGCCCGAGGCTGACATTCGCCATGATAGCTACCAGCGGGCTCTCGCCGACCAGCCAAGAGCACGCCTGCTCCCAGAGCCATACGACACCATCGTGCCAGCAGCGCTATTCCTCGTCGGCCAAACGTTTGTTCTTACGTCAACATACGCGCTCGGGATTACCGGCACTTTCTTGGGCGACTACTTTGGTATCTTGATGGACCACAGAGTGGAAGGGTTCCCGTTCAATGTGTTGAGGGACCCTATGTACGTCGGGAGTACCATGTGTTTCGCTGCCGGTGCGCTCTGGTACGACCCATCTCCTGTACTCACGTACCTCCGTTGACCCTTCCGACCGACAGGTACGAACGCCCCGCGGGTCTTCTCATAACGGCTTATGTGTATATTGTGTATCTCATCGCCCTGCGATACGAAGGGTTCGTACCCTTCATACCTCTGCCCCACATCCGTCTGACGGTAATTACAGGCCTTTCACGGATATGATATACTCGAACCGCGCTACACAGCAAAAGTCTGAGCCCAAAAAGGAGCTATAATTGCTCCACGCATGACGATACCATCTAGATCATGTTTTTGACGAGCCCCAGTCAGGACTGGATGAATGGAGCCATTAGCCTATTCTCGTACAATAATCTTCATCTTGGGTAGAATGGTCTATTGGATCGACCTCACGGTCCAAAATTATACTTGTTTACCACATTCTCCCACAACGTTCTACAGTCGACATTGGCGCCCAACCTCGAAGCCAGTAGAAACGCGCCCGACAATTTTCTGTAGGATGCACATCAGCGGTCTTGCTCCGCAAGCATAAGCGGTGAAGCATACCTATTTAGACTGTACGTCTCCCGTGGCGGCGGCGTGAGGCGATATTGCAGCATGGTAGGTATCTGTGCCCTAATCTCAGAAGTGATTTCAGCCCACCTCGTGCCCCGTCCGAACGCAAATGGCTGCGGCGTGTCGGCTTTGAAGGGTGTAGCCAGAAGCTGCATGGACCGGACATGCGCGTCGAGCATAACCTGGACGGGTACAGGTCAAGGCACGTCCAAGCTCCTGAGGAAGAGTGCGAGACGGACCTCGTTCTCTTCACCCGTGAGGTATCCGAGCTTCAAGCTCCAGTCTATGCACGCCTCCCTGTCTTCTGAGGCAGCCGCTTGAAGGAGGTGCAACCAGTTGTCCATGAACTCTTTGGAGTATTCTCTGGTTGCGCCGAAGTCGACCAGCTCGACCTAAGCCGCCATGAATATCGTAAGTGGTTAGTCAGACACTGACGCATAATCTGAACACCTTACCTGCCGGGTGCGCGCGTTCCAGAGGAAGTTCGTCCAGTTCGGATCCGTCTGCATGGCCCGGAAGGAGAACAGCTCCATCAGACACAGGTCGATAATACGGCTGGCAATCTGAAAACATGAGTACCAATTAATCAATCATCGGGGCATCGAGGGAGACCTGCAAGCGTACGTACATCATTGCGGTCCGGTACGCTCAGCTTGTCCACCATCGCACCTCCCACGCTTGCACCGTTGACGCGCTCCATGACGAGTACATCGTGCGTACTGCCGTCCCACACCCAAGGGACTTTGAATCTAGGATCGTTCCCCAGATAATCCGGCGACCCGAATTTTCGGAGGAAGGACGCTTCGCGGGTATAATCGCATTCATCCGCCAGCTCCTCTTTCATAACCTAAAACGTGAGACCCTCGCTACTCAGTACTTCCGACACGTCATTAATGCCAACGACGAGAACAAGGCACCTTGATAGTCCGATCCAGAAACAGACCTCGGGGCAGGAGCCTGCCCGCAGTCAGCAGAAGCTTCACATACCCCAAATCGCTCTCGATAGAGTTCACGATGTTCGGGAACTGGATCTTCACGGCCACGGGTTCGTCCCTGCCCGTGGGGGAGGACGCCGCGGCGAGCACAGCTCGGTGCACCTGGCCGATGGAGGCGGCGGCGAAGGGGATGCGGTCGAAGGACGCGAAGTGCGAGGTCCAGGAGGATCCGAGCGAGGAGGTGAGCACTTGCTAGGGATGAGGGGTGAGTTGGTGAGGGCAAGGAGAGGAGAGTGGGCACGGACCTCCATTTGCCAGTCGGGCATGTAGTGCGCGCTGTCTTGTACTCGGCGGAATATTTCTTCGACTTGCGGTGGGAGGAGGTGGGAGTCTCAAAGATACAGAAATCAGAAAAGACAGCCCATGACAAGCCAGAGCGAGTACGTCACCTTGTATGCTCATGAACTGTCCCAGTTTCAGCGCGGCACCTCGCATCTGCGAGAGCTTAGATACAAGGCGGGAGACATTGGCCTCCGTCATCATCAGCGAAGACGAGTACGGGCTATCTTCCGCGCTGCTTGTTGTCCTTCGAATAAGCTCCGATGCAGCGCCATATCCCAGCGACGCAGCGAGGCCTGCAAATATACCGAACGGTTATAAGTATCACGGGTAGTACAAGATGCGACGTATGTACCTCCGTAGTGGAAGAATCGCCCTATGCGCGACGAAGGCACTTTCGAGGACTGCAATCGTCGGGTGGTGGCGTATTGCGTGTCCTACGCAGGAAATCAGCCAGGATACTCCCGACTCCCGTGGCTGGACCTACAGCTCGGTATCGCGCCTCCAATATTACCTTTTCGAACACGGGGGTCGCGACACCGGACTGGTTGTCCAGCCACGGGCGAATCGCAGACTCACCTCCACGTCTTGCGGATACGACGGCTCGGGGGGAGTCAATGTGCCCGCGTCCGCCGTCAGGCCACCAGTGGGAGCAGGCGCATCAGCATCAGCGAGCGGTGGGTCCGATGAAGAACGCGTCGCAGGCGGGGAATCAGAAGTAGCAGGCACAATCGGCTCTGAGATTTGTTCTGGTAAGGCGGTTTCCGTGGAGAGCGTCTGTTTTTCTGGAGCCCCAGGAGCAATGAGCGAACTTGTCCGGCTGCTTCGGTCACGGAACTCAGATGAAGGTTCGGGTACACTAGTCGGAGGCAACGTTTCGGGCTGGATTAGAGCTGGATGAGACGGTTGTTCAAAAATAGCAGCTTCTGTATTCTGGGTCAGCTCCTTTGACTGCAGAGAGGCAGTTGTAGCGGCAGCAGAGCTGACTTGAGCAAGCGTTTCCGACAGAGGTTCTGCGCGTGCATGACGAATTGAAGATGAGGTTCGAGCAGCATCCGTCGTCCAGTTCATCTGTTTCATTTCGCCTCGCCATGTTTCCGCATCTTCTTGCCTCGCTCTTTGAGCCTCCGGAGACGCGTCACTCGCCCGCTTTCGCTTCCTGCCAGCGGTCAACGGCGCAACCCTCGCATTCACCTGCGTCGCCCGGATTTCCGCCGCCTTGACGCATATATCGACCGCGGAGTGCAGCACGCAGTACCAGTTGAACAGCGAGCCGGGAGGCATGAGCCTCAGACGGGAGATGGCGGTAATTATCCTGCAGCGCGATGTCGAAGGCAGACGCGCTGTCACGTGGGCGCAATCATCTCTCTCGTTTCCTCCGTCTGCGGAGATGAAAGCAACGGTCAAGGACGTGCTGTGCTCTGGTCCTCACTATATTATCCGTTGCTCGAGGCGCTCAAGGCACTCGGTATGCTCCCGACACATCAAGGGCACGATGGGACTGCGTTGTCGAGGTACACAGTCCAAAGGTATGTACATATGTCTGGATGTTATGGTTTCCGACCCGAGCCCCAGCTTACACCCGTGTGGACAGCTCGGACGTCATCTCGGACATGAGAGTCAACGTGATTGAGGAGAGCTCGCAGAAGGTTATGTGGTACAAGGCGAGTGCGACGTATTGTCAAGGGTGCACGCGGGGTGATTCACCGTGGACGTGAAGGAAAGGTTCTTGACGGACGACGAAATTGTGGAACATATATACGTGCGTCACTATGACCACGCCTCGTATTCTGAGCTAAAGTGCAAAAATCTCAGGATAATGCGACAACGACGTTATGCTGGTCCGTCCACCGACCAAAGCGGGGGTGGTACATCCGCATCCGCTGCCCGTCCTTCCCTCCGGGGTACCACATCGGGCTCACGCCCGTCCCGAAGACCTCGCCCTACCACAGCGAAGCGGCGTTATGCTTCTCCTGTCGAACAAACGTACCCAGAAGTATACCGGCGTTATCAGACCTCTCGTCACCGCGCTCGCCGCAGAGCTCCGTCGACACCGACATCACTCTCACCGAAGCTGCCGCATCAAGCTCGACCGCCCTGCACTCGTACCCACCCACGCCGCCCATCCCCGCTGTGAGCATCCGACCCCCCTCGCCGGGACACGAAGACGACCCCGACCAACCCCGCAAAAGTCTCAAGTCCAAAGCGGGCAAGCCGAAAACACAAGTCTCCCAATTCCTGCTATCTCGACACACGCAGAGCGTCGCGCAGCCCGCATCCCAACAATCCTTTCTCACGCGCGCGTTGTCGCTTTGGAAGACCACCGAGGACGCGCAGTCGCTCTCCTTCACGCTCTCGCCCGTCCCCGCCGTTACCCCGCACCCCTCCGCGCCCGGCCCCAGCGGCCCGGGGATGCAGTGTCTCCCGCACATGCCGCCCCCACTGGTGCAGTTCCACGACCGCACGCCGGCGTTCGCGTTCCGGTCCACGACGGGGATGCTCGAGATTGATGAGGGCGAGGCGAGGGTGCTGGGCGTGCAGGTTAGTTTCTGGGTTACGGTTGCGTTGACGTACCTTGGGTTTTTGGAGGACCGTGATGTGGGTACCTGTTTGTATTCTTTGCTTGGTTGACATACTGAGGCGATGGCTTTGCCAGAGTTACCTCGCTGCTTTGAGCGACTAACGTTAATGAGTGGTTTATCTTATCTGACGCTGTTGCGAGGGAGGGTGAGCTTATGTTTTGTGAGTGCTTTGCTTTCGTATTAGAATATCCGAGTCACTGACTTTGCCAATGGCTGACAGTGCTTATTTAACGTTGGATCATTCCTGTATGCTATCGTACACGATTTTACGCCACCAGCAGGGAGGTGAAATGATTAATTATGGCCAGATCTGCGATCTCCGCCAATATCCGCGAGACACTAGTGGCAGTGCAGCTTCTCTATCGATCGATCTCCTCGTCGCCTCCCAATCGTTCATCAATTTATTGCTAACTGAGATTCAGGTGGCATTCGTATGACGACAGCATCGTAAGGTGGTTATCGGGTACGATGGTTGGCTTTTACGGCTACATCAAGCTGGATTCTAACATACGTTAGTCTGAATAAGCATCAACACAAAGGAAATCGCGAAGCAAAGAACCACTTGGGATATACCCCAAGCAAGAGGAGAACATAGGGACTGCCAGAAAGGGGAGCTCCGTGTAACCTTTTCCCCAACAAAATTGCAAGTTCCTCCATATAACGACTTCGTGTCTCGTTTTTCCCCCTGCCCCTCGCACACGACTGCTTAAAGATGGATCTCGGTCTGCAAGGCGTTCACGTTCTCGTAACAGGTCCGCGATGGGATTTGTCTGCTTTTGAAGTAGTCCATCTCACGCTGAAATTACAGGTGCAAGCGGAGGCATAGGGTTAGAGACGACTCGCGTCTACCTCTGTGCGTCAACCCGTCGGACAGTCGCACATCCTACAGAACTCAGACATTTCTCGTAGCTCTCGGAGCGACCGTGACCGCGCACTTCAACACGCAAGACGCGACCCTCAAGCCTCTCCTCGCAGAGCACCCAAAGACCCTGCAGGCACTCCAAGCGAACCTCGCCTCCGAGCCGCAGGTCATCAAGCTCATCCAGGTGGCGTCCAGCACGGACTTCGGCCCCGTGCAGGTGCTCGTCGTGAACCACGGCATCTGGCCCGCTGCGGACGAGCCCGTCGCGGAGATGTCGCTCGAGCGGTGGAACAACACGATCGCTGCGAACCTCACGTCGTCGTTCTTGATTATTAGGGAGTATTTGAAGGTTTTGAAGGGCGCTAGTGAGGTGCAGAAGGAGAAGGCTGCGGTTGTTATGGTCGGGAGTACCGCTGGTAAGTTTGGAGAGGCGGGGCATGCGGACTATGCTGTTACCAAGAGCGGTGAGTGTAAACGTACTGTTACGAAGTATGTTAATTGTGCTAATGATGATCGCTCATCCAGGGATGATGTACGGCTTGACGCTGTCGCTGAAGAACGAGATCGTCAAGATCGCACCCAGAGGCCGCGTCAACACTGTCGCGCCCGGATGGGTATCGACACCGATGGCAGAGGAAGCTTTGAAGGATCCCAACGTTTCCTACCGCGCCCTCGCGACGTAAGGCTCCACCCCGCATTGTATACCCGCTGAATGCATGTTGTATTCTCGCAGAACACCTCTCAAGAAGATCGCGACGCCCCGCGACATCGCGAACCAGATCGCGATAATATCATCCAGCGTCGTCTCGGGTCATGTAACCGGACAGGTAGTCATGGTCGAGGGCGGGATGGAGGGTCGGCTGTTGAACAGACCCGAGGACTTACTATGACGTGCCATAACCCAGGGACTGAATACAGAGATGAAGTGGATGGCATGCACGGAATTCTGATATTCGAATGGGTCTTCGCTCGCTCTTGGCTGGAAGAATAGAGCGGATGTGACTGCATGGCAATGCGAGATTGACACACGTCAAACCGACAACCGCTAGGTTAGTTGCATCTGTCGCTTGGAAGGAGTCAGTCTGGTGTTGCACACACATGTTGAGAGTGAGCGCGGATGGTTGGGCCATCACCTCAGTACTTGGTCTGATACCAGGTGTATATTTCAACACGTTGAGTGATGCCCCACGAGGCACGACCATCTTGTGAGAAGAAGGTTCGTCTTTGTCATCTCGCATGACAAGGTATGTCAACGTTCTCAGTGTAGACCCTTGTAAACCGGGCATCGACTAACGCATATTTGTGAGGGCTCGCATTGATAGGATGCTATCATAGCATTGCTATCATGGGAATGATTATCAAGCCGGCGGGGGACTCTACTCGAGAAGCGCCGGCTGTCGCCGGTGGTATACCTTGCGACCACTCGTGATACAGTACACAGGGACAGCAGCAGTGCATTCCGATTATGGTATTTATTGTCCCCGCGGTAGCCCTCCATATTTCTCTAGGAATTTATTGGCATTCTGGTGAATTCACTTCCATTTTCCCTCTACCTTCTACTCGCCACTGTATTTACATGATTTACCCGCATTTTATAACATATTTCCTTCTATTTTCCTGTTCTCCCGCCCCTCCCGCACCCCCGCACCCCCTGCACACCCGTTGCCCACACACCCTACTGAGACAGTACGACACCACGTTGCAATCTCTGTGGCATGCTGTTAGTGCCATCTCATAATATAGGGGAAGAACCCACCAAGAATCAATGACACCAGCATCAGCGCTGTCATCCTTCTTCCTCCGTTTCAACGGCCGCAGCTTGCCCTCCTTTGCAAGCATGTGTTTCTATAGAGTAGTTAGATCAGTTGAGTAATATGACCGGTTGTTGGATGCACCTATGCCTTGGCAGGTTGGTCCCCTTCATCCGGTACATCTTCAATGTCAGGACGGGGAGTGGCGGGTATATTCAAACCGGCAGCCTGAAAGCCTGGAGTCCCTCCAGCCTCTCCAGACAGCCCTTCCCGAGAATCATCCATCTCGATGTCCATAGGAGCAACATCATCTTGTTCGGGGCCACGAGTAGCAGACACAGCGGAACCGCCAGCAGCGCAGGGGTCCGAAAAGTTACCTGAGTGCACCGGGATAGATGCAGTACTTGCAGCTGTACCAGAAGGGACTGATGGTGGTCTGCTTCTGGGCGGCTATGGGCCAATCATGTTATTGTTAGACGGTAGATGCTAAACAGAATCCGGTGACATACCGATGCCTGCTGGCTCAAGTGCTTCCGCCTTTTGGCAGGCGGAAGTTGCTGACTCGGCTCAGCATCTTGTCTGGTAGATGTCTCCGGTATATGTTTTGCAAGAAGGCGGCTTATCTGGTGACCTTGCGCCGATTTGCGGAACAGAGCATGTCGCCAGAACATCTTCTCTGATACAAGTCCCTTGCTCCCCTTGCAGCCTTCTTGACAGCCAAATATGCACCCAGATTTATCGGTAGTGCCATTGCCATGTTTACCAGAGCCAGCCATTCCACTAGAGAGAGACAGGTAGTTGAAAACAAGTCGAAAGCGCACACCGGCTAGCCAAAGCAAGACTCAAGCTAGATGCACAGACGCGCCGCGGACAAGTGTCCGAGCTGTCAGTCCATCCAGGACGTATTGCGAGCGTCACGGTCGTGCGTTCGAGTCCGTCTTGCGTATGCATTCGATGGGCTGTGATACACAATCGAAGGCGCGCGTGACTTTCGTCATCGAGGTGGCCGGAAATAATGTTAGGCAAATACATGCAAATATACTAATAGGTTCTAATTTCAAGGAAATTCTGCACATTTTCACTGGGTCTGAGATCTGAGTCACCAAAGGCGCCAGGAATGAACAGGTGCTTGTGTTGGCGAAGGACAAGTCAGCTAGGGACATCGAAAGAGCACCATAACATACCACACTATAGCATCGGCCAGAGTCGATCATTAGCATCAGACATGCGACGAACGTAGGATGAGACCGAAGCGAACCAGCGACGTCTTATACGAAGACCATGTAGCGAGCCCAGACGATCAGATACGCCACGAACTTCTCGTATGTTGACGAAAGCGCGATCGTTGCCTTGAGTGGCTAGTCAACAGATACAAACAAGTCAAAAGACATGTAAACAGTGAACGCATTCCGGCAGCGCGAGGAAAGTCTGAAGGTGTAGGCTCGATAATGATACCACTGCAGTAAAAAGAAAAGAAAAAGAAAAAGAAAAAAGAAAAAGGGGGAAGGCTCAGGGAGCCATGTGGCAACATCCAAATACGGCTATTTGTGGCTGGAAGGCTGCTTTTTGCTCATGAGCTAGTCATGCAACATCCCGCTGCTCACCTGTGAGGCAGGATACGTGTTTCTAGGATTCTGGTTCTCGCAAATTTGATGTGCCATTCATTTTTCTCCCTGGTCTTCGACCGGGTATTGACTGAGTATCTAAGAAAATACCCCCTACCGATTGCCTACAACACCTACATGGCTCAGGTAGCTACAAGTAAGAGAGTCTCTGAAGGATTCATAGTACACAACGTGCTTTCCACCTCGTAGTCGCTCACTGCGATATCGAATGCGAGACGCTCGGTGCACATTTCCCACGCTCAGAACCCCGCACAATATCAGCGGTGGCTGCGACTGAAAGTCCTCGCCTGCGAGCTTTCCGGCTGTGTACCTCTCGCCACAAGTATGTAGAACACTCTTTACTTCAGGATAGAGTATCGCATAAAAGTATCAGATTTTTTGAACGGCTATATACAGGTATACAGTTTGTTCATGATATTGAGCGGAGTTCGAACCTCGCTAATGAGCTCGGCAACGCCCGCCTCGCGCTCGCAGCAACAAGGCTGACATGGCGGCCGCGACGCGATTATAAAAATTTGAGACTATACAAAGTTTTATAGCATGCTCTTTAAGTGAGCTTTCTGACGGTTTTGACCCAAATACATAATCCTGGAACTCCCTGAGGGTCGTTCATGGGCCACGTGAGCTTGCCCACTATAGAATTGAAACTCCGCTCAATATCAATATCATGCCTGGGAGTGAGTAACGCCCCCGAAGGTGTATACGTTTACAGTACCATAATCAGTACCCATCATTATGTAATGCCATCAGGAATCAGTATTGTCAAGCAGATCAGGACCCCGTACAGAGAGGATTGTTGAGGAAATACCTTGCTGGTCGCAAGGTAACCCCGGTCAAAACGAGTCCAATTGAGCCTTCGGATGGACTTGATACTCAGGGCATCGCTACGTAAGCAGCTGAGATGACGCGTTGTCTGTAGTATACCTAGCTCGAGCTCGAGCAATAGGTAGGTGCTCAGGACTCCGGTGCCGTACCTATGCGTGTCCAGTGAATGAAGAAGGCTTGTCCGTCTTGTCGTCTGTCACAGTCATCGGTTTTACGTAGGTGTCCATGCATCCCGGCCATTCCTACTCGTTTATGCGGCGTCTGTCGGACGACGATGTAGAAGCCCGTCTTGACCGGGTGCGACATATATTTAGCTCATGATCCTCAGGCTGAAGAAGTCATAAATGTAATAGAAGCTGGCTGAATATCCTGTTGTGGTGAAACAAGTCACTCCTCAATATTAGAGTGTTTAGCCCAGTTTCAACCCAGCTCACCCTCTACTCTCGCCCCTGTAATACCGCCATGACGCAGACCAAGTTCCGAGTTGCCATAGTGTGAGTTTCTTTATACTTCAGGACTACTGTAGAAGCCTCGGTTTTAATGAAAGCCGTAGAGGTGGAGGAATCGGAGGCCTGGTCTGTGCTGCGGCGCTCTCTAAAGCTTCCGATATCGAGGTCCATATATACGAAGCCGCTCGCCAATTTGGGGAAATCGGCGCTGGCATAGGGATGTACCCGCGGGTGTGGAAGGTTTGTCAGGAGCTGGGCCTCGAGGAGAGTCTGGCTGCAGTGACAAGCGGGGAAGGCTAGTAACGTCAACCTCTTGGTTGGCGCTTTGGTTGAAGGAAAGATCTGCTAACAGGCCCCCAAACGTTCCATATGCGAAAGGCAGACGCTCCGGAGGGACTGGATTTTCATGAGACGAAAGATGCCGGTACGAGAGCCCATTGACCAGACGGGCCACTAAGAGTCCACTGAAGTGCCGCAGGCGTGTTCAGGTCTTTCCACCGGGCAGAGCTCCAGCAAGCGATATTGAAGAGCATACCACCCGCATGCAAGATGCATCTCATAAAGCGCCTAGTCTCCTTTGATGAGCCAGAAAACCTGGAATATCCCGTGACGCTGACTTTCGAAGACGGGACTACGGCGGCGTGCGACCTCCTCATCGGCGCCGACGGTATCAAATCCGTGGTGCGCGCCTCCCTGTTCCGCAAGTGGGCAGAAGAAGCGGCAGAAGGAAAGCAAGATGTGGCTGAAACTTTGCTAAAACATGTTGACCCCGTGTGGACCGGAGTCCTCGCATATCGCTGTGTGATTCCGAGGGAAAGGCTTGAGGCACAAGCGCCGAATCATAGGGTGTTTCAGATGCCTTTGGTGGTACGTACTTGAAGTAAAAAGCTATGCGGCCTTGCTCACTCGCCCACGATTAGTACGCGGCAAAGAATAGGGTAAGATCCTTCTTTCCCGGTTCTATCCGCCGCATCAAAAATGATGTATTCAGCGTGTGGTCACGTATTGCGTATCAAAAGGGCGCTTGGTCAATGCTGTATTCATGTTCACCAGACCGGAACTAGAAGGGAGCAAATGTGACGGACCCACGGTCGCTTCGGTCTCGAAGGAAGAAGTTCTTGATAGGTTTCAAGGACTTGAGAAAGACGTTGTCGACCTGCTGCATGTGAGCCTTTATGTTCTTGCGACTTACGGTGCTTATACCGGACGAAAATTTCGCAGTGTATCGACAACCCGATGCGGTGGGCAATCCATGCGCTCAATCCACTTCCTTCTTTCGTATCCAAGAGAGTGGTACTGCTGGGAGATGCGGTCAGGCATTCTCTCTAGAAATCTAGCTCACTCACTCACGACACCCCCTGATTTGCAGGCACACGCCATGACGCCAAATCAGGGATCTGGGGCCGGTCAAGCCATCGAGGTTTGCCCTTCGTATCTCCTACTGGAAAAGCCATTCAGCTGCCCATTCATCTGTAGGATGCTTACGTTCTGTCCTCCATGCTCACCCATCAGCTCTGCACCAAAGCAACTATCCCGGATGTACTGTCCATCTATGACTGTATTCGCCGTCCTCTTGCGAATATGGTTTTAGAGAACTCCAGGAGTATCGGGATCCTGTGGGACTTCAATCTTCCTGGCTTCACGGACGAGGATGTCATGGCAAGGGGGGAAGACGGCAAGTACCAACCGAATATGGACATCTTGAAGCAGATGGGGCGTAAGGCAGATGAGCTCCAAGAATGGATATGGAAGAAGCCGGCCCAGGCAGAGAGGAACCAAGCGATAGAGATGTTGGAGAGCTTGCCTGCTCTGGCTTCCTGAGAGTCGACTCAAGTTGGATTGCTATGTGTCTCTCAGGCTCCATGCGTTGACTAGATCCTAGTTCAGTATCTGTGGCTAGGTTGACGACGGTATGGACGCATGTTGCATTTGAGACTTCCTCGTGGGCATGTCCAGCAATGGCCATAGGCAAGACATCCATGCAGTAGTACTATGTATGCGCTGAACCGGTGAGATATGTGGCAAGGCTGGATCCAATGAGCGCCCGGCGCCCGCAAGCAAACGCATCTCCAAAGTGATGCAGTGATATTTAATTGTGATGAGATCTGAGTGTGTGCCCCTGCATGCCACATGGAACGGTCACAATTACTCGCCAGTGACAACCAGCAATTTGGAGAGAAAGGTTACCGATTAATGGTATGAAGGTACACCGAGGACCTTACGAGCAAGTGTATAACGTAGCTGTAAATGCTAGTGACTGCGAGCTGTGGCGAGGAAGGCGTGAGATCCGATCGGGACGCCATCAAAAATTCACGATTCAGTATTGCCTAGTATTGCTCGTTATATGGATCAAACTACATAAGCTGGTGCCCCGACTACATAGCATAAACCCTCTTCCCGTCCGCACCCTTTTATGATGCGCTGCATTCCGCAAACGCTCACTCACCTCCCAACAACACCGTTCGACAGATAAGTGGCTGCGCACACCCTCAAGCTCGTCCCAATGCTTGACTGGCAGTCGATACCCTTCGGCTCGCTCCCCATGGCCCTCGCGGACGAAGTCGACGACTGCGCCAAAACCATCCGGCACCAGCTCGACGGGACGGGCACACGCAAATTCTGCCGCGTGCGCATCTCGACCGCGATCACACCCGCCTCAAGGCAATCACCCTGAACCTGCTCCCCGAGCACCGCGATGGGAAAGCGCTGTACGTCGTCGACGTGCGGCGCCGGCGTGTGAAGGTGTGTGTGCGCGCGGGTGCGTACGCGGAGGTGCCGGAGGAGTGCACGGATGTGCTTGACGATCTGGAGGAGTTTGTGATGGAATGGGCGCGGAAGATGGAAGATACCGAGGGAGCCTGCAAGCAGGCGGAAGAGTGGGAGGAGGCTTCGCGGACCGGGAAGGGTTTGGTGGGATTGTCGATCGCACAGCTGGTGGAACAGGGGAGGCAGGAACAGCGCCGCGAAGAGAGGAGGAGGGAGCGCCGGGAGGAGCGACGGAGGGCGACTGAACAGGCTGACGGGGAGCCTGGAGGGCACTGGGGTTATGGCGGGCACGAAACGTAAGCGGGATTGACGTTGCATTGTCGAAGTTCCTCGTGAGCAGCCTGTAATGGTCACACTTGGCGTGTCTAAGTCCGCGTCTGCATCCTTTTTTTTCAATCCAATTATGGTCCCGAGGGCATTGCCCTTATGTTGGACCTTACATACAACATGCTACAATTGATGCTGCAGGACGCGAGAGGGAGACTGAAACAATGCGGTCTGCGTCCTATATTATTACACGTATGTATGTCTATGCGAACCGACAGATACTGTCCGCACAGCACCGCACCAAACCCCGGCGCCGCCCATCTTAATTTACTTCTCGAGTACCATACCTTCTAGATCACGATTTCGAATAGTCGTGGAAGGCGAAAGATGTAAGGCAGGGGGGCATAAGGAACGAAGCAGAACAAATAGATTATTTTTGGCTGACAAGGAAGGTGAAGGTTGGCTAGAGCCTCACATTCAATTGTGGCTACTCAGGAAGGCGGATGCAATCATGGCGGGACCGCGATTCATTGTTCGATATTCAATCCCGACGCCATTCAATTGCCAGCCGTTTCATGCTTGCCTCGAACACTCGACAATCCAATTGAGCGGGCACACCGACTAGCCTGATTCTTCACCCCCAAAAACCCCCCAAAAAGATGCAGAGCCACCGGCTTATTACGCGCCGCAACGATTCATGGATCCTCCTTACCGCTGCGGAAGGGCCACAACCCTCGAAGAAACCACCGCCCACCTTCCATCCCAGCTAGCACGCCTCAATGCTCGACTGGCGGACACTATCCTTCCGGGATCTCGAGCTCCACAACGAATACCTCGCCGATGCAGTCGACGACTGCGCCAAAGCCATCCGGGAAGAGCTCGACGGGACCAGCGCGAACAAGTTCTGCCGCTGGCGAGTCGCGTACCTGCAGGACGGCGGCGACTACACCCGCATCAAGGCGATCACGCTGAACCTGCTCGCCGAGCACGGCGACGGCCCGCAGGCTGGGAAGGCGCTGTACGTCGTGGACGTGCAGCGCAGGCGGATCAAGCTGTGTCGATTCCCAGGCAAGTACGAGGAGATACCGGAGGAGTGCAGGGATACGATTGACGAGCTGGAGGAGTTTGTGATGCGTTATGCGCGGGAGATGGAGGAGGGCGCGCGGGCCAAAGTGAAGTGGGAGGAAGAATGGAAGCGGCTGTCACTGATGACGAAGGACGGGTCCCGCTGCTTGAGTGGGTGATGGCGCGGATGGCAGAAGAGGTGGAAGAGGATAAGCGGCCGGAAGAGCGAGACGAGGCGCGGTGGCGGGAAGAGCGGCTGAGGGAGGCTGCATGGGATGTTGAGACTTACGGTGCGACGGGGCCGACGATGCCGACGAAGCTGCAGAGGACGACGAAGAGGACCAGGGCAACGAGGGTGAGGTGGACGACACGGACGATACCGATGAGGTGGACGACGGGGGCCGGATACACGGCGCGGATGAGATGCGCGAAGGACTGAGATTGATGGCGGGCGCCAAACGGAAGCGAGAGGACCAGGGTAACGAGACGGACGACCCGAACGCCGATGTGGTGGACGAGACGCACGACCCGGGTGAGATGCGCGAGGGGCTAGCCTGGACCAGGATGATGGCGGGCTCCAAACGGAAGCGGTTCTTCTGAAACTGCCTGTAGCGGCGATAACATTGAAGTATAGCATATCGACGGGATCGACACTATATTATTTTCCCTAGGTTGCACAATATATGAGATACATATCAATGGATACTGTCCACAGCCATTAGCCAATGTCGTACCAAACTGTTAACATCTGAGTTTGCGCCGGAACGGCATACCCAGTACGCACAGCTCCTTCACCAACGGACGGGGGCCTATCATAGGAAGGCGACAGGCAGCCCACTCTGGCTCTGAAAGATCGTGCCGGGGGATCCGAACTCTGGCGAGCACGTGGCAAGACGTCGGAGAACTGGATACAACACAGATCACCACGGCTGGCCAGCAGAGGGGCGTGGCATGAGCAGGAAAATGGAATACACGCCAACGAGAGCGATACGTACCCCGAAGGAAATCCGTACGTTCCGCAACTTCGTCGGTGCTCGTGCCGATGCCGCACATCCCTGCACAATGGCCCAAACTACCTGTCACATCTATCACCAATGCAACTGCACTGTAAAGGATGCGGAACAGGGAGCTGGACTGCTAGACTGTCACCGTCGGCAAGTCCGACCCCCTTAGCTGACGTCCATCCCGAATATGCAACTCAGTGCAGCACCCGCAGGAGTCCCAGCACCCATCCACATTGAGCCGCGCCAGACGGCTCGGAATCAACAGCCCCGGCCGCCTTGTGCACATTGTAGCCCGCTCGCGCGGGACGGGTCAGAATGTGCACAAGGGGGCCGGGTGGATGCGTGCACACTACCCCATCCCCTCCGTCCTCTCCCCTGCGTACTCATCCACATCGATCCGTCCATCGTCTCCGGTCTGTACGACCGCAGGAGAAGGCGGGCGGCGCGAGGGCCAGTAAGTGGCCCCGGCCGCCTTGTGCACGTTGTGGCCCGCTGGCGCGGAACGGGACAGAATGTGCACAAGGGAGCCGGGCGGATGCGTGCTCCTCGTGCAAGGCTCGCTGCACATCCCAGACGCGGAATGGGCAACCAGACCTGCATGAGGGGCATGGGGGGAGAGGAGCAGGAACTTGAAGACAAAGGATGGTTTGCTGGCGTCGGTTAAGAGGATGGAGCGTGGGAAGAACGGGTGATGCCAGGCGTAGCACAGCTTGCAGAAGCGCCGCCATAAGGTCAAAATAAGGTCGAAGTCGCCCTCATGGCCAGGGCGAGAGGGGCAGATGACAGGAGCAGGTACTGAGGCTGAGCTGACTGGGAGTTAGTGACTCTAGGCTATGTCTGCATCTCCTCTGCGATTCAAACACAGCACGCCGAAGAATGAAAATGCAGGGCACTGAGAGCATGCCGAATGTTTGTGCCCGGGCCGATAGGCTATAAGTCCCTCTGCGATCCAAGTACAGCATGTTGCACAACTGAAGTCTAAAGGGCAACGCACCGGTACCGAGAGCTTGCTGAAAGTTTGTGGCTGTACGCTTAGACTATGTCCCCTCTGCGATCCAAATACAGCAGGCTGAACAATAATAAAAATACAGCGTGTCGAACGTTCAATGTCGTTGTTGCTGAGAAACAGCCGTCGACACGAGGCGTTCACTCAGACTCAGAAATACTGCATTAGCAACGTGGTGGAGCTCGTTGAGGACTCTTTTGTCATCCTCGAGGCAATTTCGGCCGGAGAAACTGCCATTCTGCATCTTCGGGACGAGAGGCGGCCGATTTGACAAAGCACTGCAAGCTTGATGTCGTGGGACACGGATGCAGACGGATCGCCGAAGAAAGGGAGGCATTTCCGAGGAATGTCGCGACTCAGCCTGCGTCGAGTCGATAGCTATGACTGCCGAGGGATTGGGGAATGCACGTTGGGAAACGGAACTGGGAGCGGCAGAAAGGTCGGTGAAATGAGTACATTTTCAGGCGGGTTTGCAAGATGAGTGTCACACCGAGGAAGGCAGAACGCAGGAGACGCGGTACGGACTTTCCGATGAACGAGAATATAACAACAGCACCCGAGCATTCATGCAGGGTAGGAACATCATTCAAGCGTCATTACAAGGAACAGATAACAGGATTATTGTATGGACGCGCGCGGGCTGGTGATGGAGATCGTCCGCGAGACCAAGTTTACGTTGCGATTGAGTCGCCGGTAAGGACGGGGCGAATCAGTTGAGCGGCAGCAGGAGATTTGAAGGGGGACCATCAGACGATCGTGAGAGGGATCCAAGTATAGCGAGTATATATAGCAGTCGGGCTGGCGTACGCAGAACGCGTGCAGGGCAGCTGAACGTTCGCCTGACGCCGGTACACGACAAAACCCACCGGTCAGAAAGAGACAGAAAATCTGTTGGAACGACGCAGGGCATGCTGAGGCGGATATGAGTATGGTATAGGCTGAAACGCGGGGGCTGGTACTTACGGCCGAGGAGCTGATGGGCGTTGCGGGGTAAAATCCGGGGTAACTCGTGACGTGATCTGTCCTTCCCACGCGTGCTGCCTGGCCGAATACCGTCACATTCCAAGACGCTCTCGCCGACACCGCGCCTCCATTTTGCTTTATATTCCGAGGATGCTCCAGCGGCAGGCCTTTCCTCGCCGGCTCTCTTTCCTCCGCTCTCGAGAAAGTAGCTGCATAACCAGCGCCGCCGTCGTCGTCAACAGCGATGGCGCCTGTAAAACTCCTTCCACTCCTCCTCCTCTCCTTGCTCGCCAACGCGCAAAATGAGGCCCCATCCTCTGCCGTGGCCTCGTCGGCGAGCGTTGCAGTGTCCTCGGCGGCGCCGTCATCGTCCCTGGCGACGGGCTCTGAGTCTGTTGGTGCGTCCTCTGTAGCATCGGCCACTGGCACCGCGACCGCATCCTCGCTCGCGTCCTCGGCTGCCTCGTCCGCCGCGTCCTCCGTCTCTTCTGCCTCCCTGACCTCCGCCGCCTCCGACTCCTCCTCCGCCCTCCCCCCGCCGCCCACCGAATCGACCTACTACGTCATCCCCATCTCCCCCGTCCCCTTCACACCGCTCCCCTCGCCCTCCGACCCCGCCCCCATCCCCGGCGTCTTCCCCAGCGCTGCCCCGAACAACCCGCCGCCCGTCTCCAGCGACCCGACCGTCGTCCCCGACTTCGCCCCCGCGTGGGCCGCCGCGTACGAAAAGGCCAAGGCGAAGATCGCCGGCTTCACCCTCGAGGAGAAGGTCAACGTCACCACCGGCGTGGGCTGGCAGAACGGCCGGTGCGTCGGCAACATCCCGCCCGTCTACCCCATCGAGGGGCGTGGCTGGCCTGGACTGTGCTTGGAGGTGCGCGCTGTCGCTCTCCGCCCTGATCTGATATAATTTACATGACCCAGGACTCCCCGCTCGGCGTGCGCTACGCCGACTTCGTCACCGCGTTCCCGACGGGCATCAACACCGCCGCGACGTGGAACCGCGCGCTCATCCGCCTGCGCGGGCTCTACATGGGCCAGGAGTTCGTCGGCAAGGGCGTGCACGTGCAGCTCGGGCCCATGATGAACCTCGGCAAGAACGCCCAGGGCGGGCGCAACTGGGAGGGCTTCGGCGCGGACCCGTTCCTCGCGGGCGAGGCCGCGTACGAGACCATCCTCGGCATGCAGCAGGGCGGCGTGCAGGCGTGCGCGAAGCATTATATTAACAAGTGAGTTTTGCTTGTGGCCTTGTGTTTTATCAGGGGTTGATGATGGTCCAGTGAGCAGGAGTACCAGCGCACGATGGAGTCGTCGAATGTGGACGACCGCACGGAGCATGAGATATACGCGCACCCGTTCATGCGTAGCGTCATGGCTGGTGTCGCTAGCGTGATGTGTTCTTACAGTCAGTGTAGTCCGTCTCACTGATTGACGCTCCCCCTTGCCTGACGGTGAATGTATACAGACCTGATCAACGACACTTACGCGTGCGACAACGACAAGACTATGAACCAGCTCCTCAAGTACGAGTTCGGCTTCCAGGGATACGTGCAGAGCGACTGGAGTGCCACGCACTCGACCATGAGCGCCACCGCCGGTCTCGACGTAAGTCTCCCCCCCGCACCCTCACCCACCCATGCTCACTCGTGGATGCGAACGACAGATGACCATGCCAGGCGACATCGCCTTTGGCTCGAACACGTCGTACTTCGGCGCGAACCTGACCGCGTTCGTGCAAAACGGCACGATCTCGCCGGAGCGCCTGGACGACATGGCGACGCGCATCGTCGCGGCGTGGTACCTCCTCGGGCAGGACAGCCCCGCCTTCCCGAACGTGAGCTTCAACGCGTTCAACGCGCTCGACCCCGCGACGAACGCGCACATCGACGTCATGGTGCGTGCCCCTCCCCCCTTCCCCTCCTTGTCGCCGGCCGCTGATTGAGAGGGTGGGCAGGACGATCATTACACGGTCGTCCGGGAGATCGGCGCGGCGTCGACGATATTGCTGAAGAACGTGAATGATACGCTGCCGCTCAAGGGTGTGAGGAGTATTGCGATGATCGGATCGGACGCGGGACCGAGCTTGCGGGGCCCCAACGGGTATACGGATCGGGGCGGGGACGACGGCATCCTCGCCATGGGATGGGGGTCCGGCACGGACAACTTCCCATGGCTGATTTCTGTACGTCTGTCCGTGGCCACTGAATGACTGAGGCTGATGCATGCATATACTTGTAGCCGCTGGAAGCGATCCAGGCGCGCGCGCGCCAGGACCACACGCTCGTGTCGTGGTTCCTGGACGACTTTGACTACGCGGGCGTCGCCGCGGCGGTCGCGGGGCAGAACATGGCGATCGTGTTCGTGAACGCGGACTCGGGCGAGGGGTACATCACCGTCGACGGGAACGAGGGCGACCGCAAGAACCTGACGGCGTGGCACGGCGGCGACGAGCTCGTCTTGACCGTCGCGGCGAACAACAATAATACGGTCGTCGTCACGCACAGCGTGGGCCCGCTGATTATTGAGCCCTGGGTGGACCATCCGAATGTTACTGCCGTGAGTGCTTTTCCGTCCCCTGAGAGTCTGAGGAATGGGGTGACTGATGGGGATGGTAGATCCTGTGGGCTGGGCTGTCGGGCCAGGAGACGGGCAACTCGCTCGTGGATATCTTGTATGGCGCGTGGAACCCCTCCGGACGGCTGCCATACACCATCGCGAAGAACGCGAGCGACTACTCGAGCCAGCTCGTCCTCGGCGGTACGCCGGAAGATATCCTGAGCATCAACTACACCCAGGGCCTGTTCATCGACTACCGGTGGTTCGACGCGCAGAACATCACGCCGCGCTACGAGTTCGGCTACGGGCTGAGCTACTCGACGTTCGAGTACTGCAATCTGGACGTGCAGAAGATCTATAATGCCGATAACGGGCTCGATGCAAATCTGATCGCGAACTGGGAGGCGGGGCTGCCAAACCCGCTCGGCGTCGGGTCGACGACGGCGCTGTGGCTGCACACGCCCGCGTACCAGGTGTCGTTCGACGTGAAGAACACGGGGGCGTACTACGGGGGCGAGATCCCGCAGCTGTACGTGCACTTCCCGGCCGAGTCGGGGGAGCCGCCGCAGGTGCTCAAGGGCTTCACGAACTTGAACTTGAACCCCGGTGAGACGCAGCGCGCGACGATCACGCTTAACCGCCATTCGCTGTCCATTTGGGACGTCGTGGCGCAGGGCTGGGTGAAGCCGAACGGGACGATCACGTTCACCGTCGGCGCGAGCAGCAGGGACCCGCGCCTCAATGGCACGATCACTATCTAACGAGATCTACCAAGGATCACAGAGACTACATGACGCTTCGGTGATGGACGAATAGACTCTTTCTAATGGACGGCGGTTAGAGAAGGGTGCCCTAGACAGTAGGACCTTGTTCTTGGTCTGTGTTTGTCGTCGTACTGCTGTCATTTCATTGGACACGCTTTTGAAGGACCAGTCGTTGCTTTGTACACGATGACGTTTCACGAATTGCATTATGGAAAGTGAGGAGTATTGATAGTGGCTGTCCAGATGGATATCTACATGACACAAATCCCGGCGCACCGGCAGTTGTGTCGGTACTCAGAGTACACATGTGCCTCGTCGCACATAAATTCAGTCTTCATTCGGAAGAGACACCCAGGATTATTTCGCCTTCGCAGCTTTGCACTCGGCCCTGTGAGTCTTCCAATCCTCCCTGAAGTACAGCTGTCAGCATCCAGAGACCGGAACCGTGAGGGAAGGTATTCACTTCTGATGTTCCTTCCCGCAGTAATAGATCTTCCTACACCCAGTGCACGCCTTCAAATCGCGCGGACTCCCTGCACGATGCCAAGACCTTCAATCAAGTGCATCTCCCAACCCACCCACATGCGCACTCACCACACTTGGCGCACAGCGCCTGCTTGATCCTATCCCTCCGCTCACTGACCGTCTCGCTCACGAACCTCAGACTCTCGGGGTCGTCAAACTCCCTGACCTCGCTCTGGCCCTTCCTGAGGCGCGGCTTGCCCGGCAGAGCGTCCTCGAGCAGCGCCTCGGGGCGGAGCGGGTGGTTCACGACCTTGGGCCCGCTGCGCACGCTCGCGGCGGAGCGCAGCGCCTCCGCGACCGCGTCCTGCGCTTTCGCCGGGGAGAAGGAGAACGCGTCAAAGTCCGCGCGCGAGAAGGGCCTGCCCTTGTAGTTGGTCGCGCGGATGACCTCGTGCATGATCTCGTTCTGCTCGCGGAGGGTGCCGTGCCGGATTTTCCAGAGATTCTCGGCCCAGGTGCTGTGCGGCCGGCGGGCGGTGGGTGTTTGGGAAGGGAGATGCGAGCGGGGGAACGTACAAGTTACCGTGCCCGTCCTCGGGCGGACACATCCCGCGCCCGTCGAGCACCTCGACGGCGCCGGTGCTCCCCGCCTTGGGCAGGATCTCCTCTACCTGCGACGATGGACGTTACTGTACGTTGCGACACACTCGCCGCTGGCGGAATGCTTACCACGATATCGTGCAGCCAGGTATCGCCGAAATCGTACAGGTACCGCATCTTGTCGCCGGGCTTCTGCAGGACGTGCGCAAGCACGTACTTGTCCGCGTCGATGTAGGATATGACGGCTTTGTCCGCGTGGCACATGTCGATCGCGCGGCTGTCCTGCATGCACGGAGCCATGATCAGCATGCGATGGGCGTATATAGAGAACTGGGCTGACTTTAGGCCCGAAGGCGGAGCCGTCCGTCAGATCCTGGAACGCGAACGAGTGGGCGTTCCTCGCCCTGTTCGTGGTGTTTGTTCAAGTCCGCGCCTCTGCGCGAAGGGGAGAGCGTACGTACCATCCCATGATCGGCTGTACGACTTTGTCCTGGAACGTGTCCAGGTTCGTGCCGCCGGATACCTTGAACCGCCGATAGATCAGCTCCTCGCCAAACTCGCCCCGCCGCTTCTGGTTCTTGAGCTTTTCTGGAGGCTGCGGGGTTAGGGGTATGTCACTACCCGAGACCGTTATGAGGAAGCGCGACGAGGGAAGGATAGCTGCAGGAGGGACTCACAGCATGGTGATGCGCAGAACGTAGTCGCGTTCTTTCAAATCACCCAGGTCCATCTGTGCGAGTGCGGCTTCCTGTACTGATTACGACCATCAGTGCCCGTTCACTAGACTTTGCATGTATGAATGACGCACCTTCTTCTTCATGAGCTCTGCCACGAACTGCTGCTCGGGCCATTCGCCGTAGTTGCGGTTGTAGTACTTCTGGTACTTCATCTGCGCCACTGGCAATCAGCTCACGTATCTGGAGAGAAGGCCAGATACCGACCACCCGGGGGATGCCCCTTGTAACGTCATAGTCAACGCGATACCCGGTTCCCTTCTTGGCGTAAGGGAATACGCCCCAGCCGAGCACTTCGCCATGTTGATTCTTGGGTGGCACGAAGGTGTGCGGGCCTGTGGCGCGGGCTAGTTTAGGGCGTGAGAGCAAGACAAGAGGCGCGGCAACGCACAGAGGTAGAAGACATCGTCGAGCCCATCGCCAGCGTCCTGAGGATGAAGTCGGATGCACTGCGGCACCGTCCCAGGCGGTCTGCGCTGACGCTCGCTGGGTCTGGGCATGCCGCCGTCCATGCCACTGAGTCCGAGGACGCTGGACAGTTCGCTCAAGTCAAAGTCGGAGCCTGAATCTGAGTCGTCTGACATCGTTTGGAAATCCTAGAGCGGGCGGCAGAGGCAAGACTCTGTCAGAGGGATGGCGGTGTGTCTACAAGGTCTCGCAGTGATTGCCGTTTGCAACTCCGCGGCGCTGTAATCCCCTCAACGTCGATCGAGATCTGCAGCCACAGATCTACGCCCTTCCAGCAGCCACTGCCACCTCCCAGGCTCCCATAAAATACACCTGATTTCCCTCGCTAATCTAGAGAACCTCGAATAATTTCCGCCGCTAACGCCGGGTCAACACGCGTCAGACAAGTGGGATTTACAATCATTTGCCCAGTGGTTGTCCAGCCCCACAGAAGCCACAATGCAAAGGAAACTATGCGAATGCACCTACCGTAAATGTGAGCAGCGACGTGTATAGGAATTACGGATAGATCCACGACGCGCGCCTTTGCACTGGGCCACTGGCAGTCACGGCGCCAGCTCCCAGCGGTATCAGGCGGTATCTGTTCACTCCATGTCTATAATAACATCAAACTTTGACATACGTCAGCACGAGTACTTCTGCGTGCTCCTGATATAATCTGTCGGTTCTGCCTATTACTCCAAGCCCTGCTTGACGCGATTCCGCTCGACTTACCACGAATCTCCTCATCGTCGTATATCCCGGACCAGGATCGATCTCGCGCCGTCTTACCGCTCGACATCCTTCAGCGTTCGTACGAATATGACCGCCTACGCCACAATTTGCAGGTCTACCACTGGCAGGGGGATAGTCACATATATATATTAAAATACATTTAGGGTCCCGAGGGCAATGCCCTTATGTTGGACCTTACTGTACAATGATTTACGATCGCTGCTGGATGATGCGGAAAGTGAGACATAAACAAAGTGAAGCTCCTCCTTGTCTGAGGTACAGAGCATGCGGAGCCCATGGTTTGAGAGTAAACAGCGGTGGCAGAGAAAGATGATGGTTCAAACAAGTGAAAAGAGAACAGTGATGGGATCCTGGCCCAGCGCATCAAGATAACCCCTGCAGAGAAAAAAGCTACTGAGCTCCTCCACCAACGCCTGTAGGCTCTCATCTCCCCAAAAGAAGGTGAAACCTGGGGTTGACGCAGTTCCTCCTCTTCGAGCATCCCGAATATAGATGTCGTCTTGAGGGATTAAGATGGGTGATAGGTAATTAATGTTGTGATATGTTGAAGTTCATCATATTCAGGTCTGCAAATCGAGTGATCGTCATGGTTCAGGCGGGCTACAAGGTCTCACCGTAGCTATCCGCGAATCTCTTGGTCTGGTGGACATAGAGTAGTAGCAGTGACTTGACATGGCGGGTGAGTAATGTGGATAGATCAGTCGCTGCACATGGAAGTCTCTTCCTTAAGACATGACGGGCTGTCGCACATGCCGGGCATTGGAGAAGATAGTGGCGGACGTCTTCTGGGGTTCCGGGGCAGTCGGGGCAGTCGGGGCAGTCGGGGCAGTCGGGGCAGTCGGGGCAGTCGGGGCAGTCGGAGGACGCGAGTTTGTCGATGCGGTGGAAATATCGGTTGAGTGGGACGTGTCCGGCACATAGCTGCATGATGGACATCTGCAGGCGCGTGAGGCTTTCGGCGAGGTCCAGGAACGAGGCCGGAGGTAGCTTGCTGTCGATCGCGGCCGTCTTCAAGTTCGCATATCGCGGAGATTTCGTCCATTCGATGTGCCAGGTTTGCTTGGTTTGCTCTCGGTAGGCTTGCTTGAGGGCGAAGACGCTATACGGGAGCTTGGTGTTGCGGAGTACCTGGGGCAAGGGTTTGTCAGCACTGACTTTGCACTCTGCTACTTGCTTGCTTATCCGGCTTGGTCCGTTCAGGGACCCGGCTGCAGGTTCTCTTGCGAGGCCTTTCTGGAGGGTGACAAACCCTTGCATTTAAGCATCCAGCGCCGAGGAATCAACTTAAGCAGGCAACTAGTATTTAGCTAGGCCCACTGACAGAGGATTTAGTCCTCTCGAGCCAGGGTAGGGCTACTAACTCATCCTGCTACGGCCCACTCAAGAAGTCGTTTAACCCAAAAATCCGCGGCTTAGTCCCCTGGGCCACCTTAGTCTCTTTAGTCTCGCCAGGCTAGTTTTCGATCCTTGCATTTTTGTGCTACGAGACTTCTTTAGTCGCCGCGCCATAGCTCCTCTGACCCGAGTCATAGGGGTCGTGAGCAGGGACACCACCGCTTCCATTCAGGAGTCCACAAACATCCCGAGTTTCCCGTTCCCCCGCAGTCGCTTCGCTGATGCCAGCCGGCGCGGATCCGCGAACTGTCAGGGATCTCTGTCTTGCACGGCTAGACCCAGGCCCAGGGAGGCTAGGGAGTAATGGTCCATGCTAACGTCCCAAGTCAGGGTCCCCCCGCGGTGAGGGTTCCCTGCATCAGGAGAGGGGTGGCCTAATCGGCTTGTTTTTATCCACTATTTCCCCTTCTTATCGTCCCCTATCCTTTCAGTCCCTAAACGGGCGCCACGGCGTACCGCGCTCTTGGGAGGTCTCTTTGATAACGGAGTAGACCACCGCACCACCTTCAGCCGAAGCGTCTTTCGCACCATAAAGGGGTAATACGACTCCGTAGGGTAGAAATAAGGCCGCTACCCAAGACTGCCACCTTCCGTGAGTTCTTCTTTCGCACCTGCTTTACTAAGGCAGGGGTGAGAGTCCGGCACCGGGAGTCCTGTTATCGACCCGGTGAGTCGCTTAGCCGCCGAAGCGTTGCCTCCCGCCACCACGAAGAGGGGACTCCGCCAGCGGGGGGAATAGTCATGATGGAGCCCGACCTTGGTGAATGTATATACCAGAGTCATCCTCAAAATAACGAGGATCTATCTCTGGCTCCTTGCTAGCGGCAAGTGAGTTTTTCCTTTCAAGTTGTACCGCGAACTTGGAAGCACGCACTATAGCTCGCGCAACCGCGCAGCAAATTCGGGATCATGCAACGAGTAGAGCGTCTCGTGGTACCGCTCGGGGCTGAGCTCGAAGGACACGGGGAGGTATATGTGCTCTTGTACCTTTTCCCCGACGAGGAGGCCGACTTTCTGGGGTATTCCAATTCGTGGATAGCACGTCGGCGCTTCCGATACCTGCCATGGTCCGCTTTTGGTGCCATGGAGTTGGGGAAGGCGGGGTCTTAGGCTTTCCGGAGACATCGAGGATCTGCGGCGACTTGATCGCGCTGAATAGGTGAAATGTGGTGGGTAGCTGGCAGGTAGGGAGCACGTATCCGGCACTCAGGATAAATGCCTTCCTAGCATGCACGATGTGCTTCTCGCCGGCATGCACGAATTCGGCGCCTGCGGCAGTGCAGTCAGAGGCTCAACAGCTGCTGCGTCCGAGTCTCTGCAGACCACGCGAGAAATGGTGGCGTCTGTCAAGACCTTCTCCGGGGTGATACTGATTCGGGTCGCACTGGCACAAAATAATCGGCGAGCTTCTTCGAGGGGTTGCACCTTGAAATTGGACCTATCCCTGTTCGGCATCCAATACCCCGAAGCGGCGTACGACCGCATCCAGGTATTCCGATCGAGTGGCCGCGGCGATCCACGTTCCAGTTATCTACACCCAGACGTTTAGCATCGTGCGCCGCAAGCAGTCTGTAAGCGCGCTGACATCCCCGCCCGTACGGATCTTGGACCGCCTTCACACCCTTGTTTACCATGCTGAAAGACCTCGCCCATGGTGTGCGCGAGATGCGGTGCGGTGGTGTGGATAGGCCCCGACGTCCTCCGGTACGCCTGCTCGAACGTGTGCGGGTACAAGCGTGTCTTATCCCCGGTTGCTTCCCGAAATCTATGCATACGGAAGATCAATTAGTATGTGGGTGGCGATCGGACGTACGCACGTCTCGGCCTCCAAAGTGTACCGCTGCTATTCGGACCTGTTCCGGCCGGGGTTGCCCAGCTTCTCAATGGCGTCCACGTCGCCAGCGGGGGCCTTGCTTCGAGCGTAGAAGTTCATAGCAAGGATTAGTCTTCCACTCTAGCCGGACGGAAGAAGAATACCTAATCCCGTCCCCCTGGGCCAGGTCAGCACTCTGTCCTCACAATCCTTCAGCGAGACTGTCGAGAAGCACCAGTCATACTACAACAGGATTGTTCTCAGCAGGGATGACATAGGCTATTCCGGAGAAGCTTGCCTTGGGGTCAACGAATGTCCCACCAAATTGCCCGGGGACCATGATTTTCGGGTTGTTCAGATTTGGTGGGCCTGCTTCGAGGACCGCTACGGAGGCGTGCGGCTAGCGTCAATCCTACGGTCTTTCATGGGTGATAAGAGATATGGGTATGTGGAAGAGTATGACGATCAATCGCTGAGAGATCGCAAACGACCACAAGCACCTGACCTTCCCTACCTTCTCATCTTGAACGCCCTCCGGGTGATGTCTTCCTGTCAGAGCACCTTCGCGTTCGCGTGCCAACAATGAACATGGGAAGTCCACTCGCACGACCTCGGCCCGTGCAGCCGTACCAATGAACAGTGAAGACATAGTACAGTTTTGATTTGGCACCAGTCCGACCGCAAAAGAAAGTACAGGTTATTTCAGCAACCCATAGTGACTGGCCCGTAGGGTCCGTCATGATCAGATTCATCACCATCCCAAATCTCCGGGACATCGCCGACGATGCATAGAGTGCTGGGGTTGTCTTGACCTGCGGTCTGAAATGAGCCAATGAAATGGATAAGTCCCCTGGGCAGACGCACCTGGGCAGGCATCCCATGATCCCGAGTCTTCAATGTGGACCTCGCCAGAGGGATGAACGAAGCCTAAGAACATCCCGGGTAGGATGGGGATGTAGTCTTCCTTGTTGTTCACGTGAGTCATGGGATGGTTCGCGTCGATGTAGTCAGCGAAGGCCTGGTTGCCAACCTAGAAGTCCTGGTCAACTTGTCACCCCTGGTCCCAAAGGAAGTAGACATACCCTGGGCATTCCGTAACCGTACATTTTGTAGGTGAGCCCGGAGGGCAAGTGCAAAGGAAGGTAAACCAGATCCAACAGAGAAATTGCGGCACCTTCACAGCAGGTGAGCGTCAATTCAGAAATGTAGGCAGATGTGCAACGCACCAAGGGAGTGTCCGACCATAGTAACGGTGTTCGTGCTATACTTCGACAGTGCTGTCTGGACAGCCGCTAAGACGTCCGTGGCGGCGTTGGCTTGCGCATCTGCGAACCCAGCGTGCACCTCAATAGAGGAGCTTATACCCGGGAATAGTGACGAATCAAGAGTCGTCTTCTCGATATCGGCGTCTGTCAGCAGAGGGAGGCTACCAGGGAACACCAGGGTTAGCTAGGTATGTTTCTAGGTGCGATTAAGTAGGCGACACCTACATCTCCGAAGTGTCCGTGCCTTGATGCGAGACGATCACGGTGTCCAGAGACGGGTCATACCCAACAAACCCTTTAGGAAGTCGCTCATTAATCTGACTAAGCGCAAGGTGTACGGTACTAAGCTTACAGTACTGAGTGGAATCACCATCGCCTCCAGAAGCCACGGGTTCGAACCCACTGTTAGCTTGGCAATTGGCTGAGTTGACACAGTCAGTGCTACTTTCCGATGGGAAACACAACCCGACTTACTTCCGCAGGTCCATGTCAAGGTTGTGGAAGGTGAGCAATACCCGGCGCTCGCATACCATGTGTAAGGCGTGAAAGCTGAGACTTGCGAGGAAGACAACGTCGTTATAGACTGACGCTTCTGTAGATTGGGGGCAGCATCCACGACAGCACCGACCAAGAGCGCAACTGCTAAAGCGAACGAAGCTGCCATCTGCAGAGCTTGGAGTTCGAGCGGGTTGCGCTGAATGTTGTAGGGCTGGCTCGCATGGCCCCTCTATACACCCTGCTGGTATAAATGCCGACACGGAATGGAATGAGATGTAAATAGCTCGACGTATTCCCATAGGATGGAGATGCGATCCCAAAATTAGAACGGAACAACTGAGAAAGCTGCGGAATGATTAATTTGCGTCCACATGGATTGCATAGCAGAAGCAACAAAAAGCAGATGGAGAGTAAGGCTGAAGGGCCGCACGAAATGGCGATGCGAGAACGTGCCACACTGTGGCTACCTTCTTCCGCACGTGTCTCGGAGAGATACAGAAGTTCAGATCAAGACCGTCCAGTCTTCCTGGTGAGAGTATGTGCATGGAAGGTAGTGATAGACCATCACATTGTCCTGAATCCCCGGGGGCGGGAGGGGGGGTTACACAGCATTGCAGCTGTTAGCAACCCGAGCTGAGGATTCCAGGGAACAGTTGAACATCGCAGATATCTCTGTCGTCCAGGTGGTGGGATAACAAGGTATCTGACCTCCTACAATGATTATCAGCCGCGGCCGATTGGTGTTGGGATAACGTGTAAGCGCCGGGGCCGGTTAAGTGAGAAGCTTTGAGAGAGAATGCAGACAGAAGAAGGATGGATGCAATGGCGAATCTCTGGTTGAGTACGGAAGCGGTTCACAGGTCAACGGCGTCCCCAGATGACAGATCCACATGCTACCGAACATGAGGTCCTTGACACGTCTTGACGTTAACGGACGACGTGGACCACGGCACGGCTATCAGGTAAGATGTACCTCTCGTAGCCCTCTTCAGCTGGCGTCACGTTTGTGAGCGACCGAGGGCCGCGGCAGATATAGCTCAGATATCGGTTGTATAGGATGCTATATCAGCCAGAGACCACGGCAAGTGGAACAGTTTCGAAATCGTCGAATTCAAGGGAAGTGACTGCATGAGGTGCACGTGCATAGATACCAGGACAGCGTGTAATATCCTCAGAACTTGGGAGGTGACGAGATATAGAAAGGGAGGCAGACGGACAAAGTGTATGGCAGAAAGATGGAGAGCCACGAAGGGGATTGTCCGGGCTACTTCGGCTCGAAAATTTCCCATGAGCCTTCCTCCCCGATACCATCTCCTTCAGCTCGGGTCACTTTCGCGCACCATGACGATCCCGACATCGTACGCAAACTGGTCCAGGGAGGAGCTGGTGGCGAGGCTGAGACAGCTGGAAGGTGCAGGCAGCGCCTCCGGGTCGAAGTCTCGCGCGTCCGACAAAGACTTCGACTTCGCCGCATATCCGAAGCGAAAGATCGCGCTGAAATTCTGCTACTCCGGCTGGGATTACGGTGGATTGGCGTTCCAGGAAGGCCATACCGTGCTTCCGACTGTAGAGAATGTTCTCTTTGATGCTCTTGCGCGGACGAAACTTGTAGATCCTGCCAAAGGCTTCGAAGGTTGTGGATGGGAAAGGTGTGGTCGGACGGATCGGGGCGTCAGTTCGGCTGGGCAGGTTGTTTCGTTATGGGTTAGGAGTGCACTAGAGCAGCCTGATGGTCCGTCGTATTTGCCACCCGAGCGGAGTACAGTTACTGTCGCACCAGACCCGACCACTGCGGACTCGCAGGATGCTGGAGTGGCGGAGGACGACCCAGGTACTCTGTTTGCTACGGGTACGCCTGCTGATTCCCCTGCTGTTCCTTCTCGAAGACGACCGGAACTTCAATACGTATCGATGCTTAATCGCGTTCTCCCGATGACGATCCGCATACTAGCATGGTCACCTGTATCCGCGGACTTTTCATCACGATTTGCCTGCAAATACCGACATTATAAATACTTCTTCACATCGCACGGACTTGACGTTGGTCGCATGCGGGATGGCGCGCGGAGACTCCTCGGTGAACACGACTTCCGCAATCTATGCAAATTAGATCCCGCGAAGCAGATCACCAGTTTCAAGCGCAGGATCCTCCGTGCGGAAATCTCGTCGGTCGATGGTCGACCCAGTGACCAGGAGACGGGCGAGGACCTATACGTGTTCGATCTGGTGGGCACCGCGTTCTTGTACAACCAGGTACGACACATTGTGGCTGTCTTGTTTCTGATTGGCACTGGTTTGGAACACCCGTCCGTGATTACATCCTTGGTGAATGCCGACCCGAATAATCCGTATCCAGCCTTCCAAGAGGGGGAGCCTGTGCCGGAGGTCGTGGATACGAAACCGGAGTATCAAATGGCTGATCCACTCCCGCTCATGTTATGGGAATGTGCGTACGACGACAAGGACGTATCTTGGCGAGTTACCAATGGTGACTCTGATAGTAACGAGGAGCAGAGGGCAGGGCCGAATGGATCAAGTAACGTCATTCACCAGCTGCACTCTATCCACACTCGGTCACGGATCTACACTGCGATGAACGCCCAATTCCTGTCTGCAGCTCAGCGTTACGTCTCTCCGCCTCCATCTGTACTCCCGCTGAGCCGAACGGGGATTGACCCGACTTCCCACAACAGTCTACTAGACATCCCGCTGGGTGGCGGGACGTACCGGCACACGACCAAGTACATCCCCCTCCTACAGCGCAAGCGGTTAGAACATGTGGATATAGTGAATCAACGCTGGAGGGAAGGAAAGGGGTTAAGGAGAGAAGCGCGCAAGCTTCTCGTCGACCCGGATGCAGACGAATAGAGTCAGGAGCTGCTCGTCTCTGTTATATGACCATGTAGGGTGATCCATGCAGCTTCTATTACTGTATGTCTAGGATGCCGCAGCCGCCGCGCCAATTATAACAGGATATTTGGGTGCGTCTCAATCTACTAATAATGTTAATCTTCTGCTGATATGCTCACGAAGCTGTGTTTCTTTGGGTTTGTCGTTGCGACGAGGATCCGTCTCTTGATTGACCGCTAGTGATCGTTGACCGCGTTCTCCTTGGCAATATGGCAGCTGGTACACCCGGAATGATCTACCTGATACACTCTTAGCTCATGTTATGTGTCTTTCGACATCCCAAGGGGAAGGAGGGGGGCAAGGACAGACCCGAAAAGGTATAGAACACCGCCACGCCGGCCCAGCGGAGCATCCGGATCGCAGGCATCGCGCCGCGGCCGGCGCCGTGGCTGGGAGACGGCTTACGTAACAGGTTGATCCACCCTGGCTCGCTGAGTCGCCGCCCGCCAGTGCTTTCGCTGTTCCCTTTGCCTGAGCCTGCGCCTAGTATATACGCCGCATAAATCTCGAATATCGATTTCCAGCAGGTTGCTCCCTACTAAATTTTTGCAAGGTGTGTTCTTTGGTTCGATATGGGTGTCTAAGGGCGTCTGCCTTATCGATCGGGCGTCGTCGTCGTGGGTGACGTCGGCGCGAACGCTGTTGGGCGGCGGTATTGAGACGCGTCGGACGCGCGACGCGTTTGGGGACGCGGGGCGATTGGGCGCCCATGCACACGTTCTACCCTGTTTGAGCGATGGAGGATAATGGCAATTGGGTTGCTGATAACGTCTCTGCGTGTAGATGCCTAAGGAAACGAAGCAGTCCAAGGTATGTGGGCGTGGACGTGGTGCATGCGCCTGCGTATTGACTTTCTGGCAGCGGGCGGCTGAGAAGAGCGAGAAGGGGTCGCGTGCAAAGGCGAAGAAGGACCCGAATGCGCCGAAACGCGCGCTGTCGGCGTACATGTTCTTCAGCCAGGACTGGCGGGAGAGAATAAAAGCTGAGAACCCTGACGCGGGCTTTGGTGCGTCTCTCTCATTCTAGGGTCGTCTTCCATGCTTATCTATGCTGAGCAGGTGAGGTTGGCAAGCTATTAGGCGCCAAGTGGAAGGAAATGGATGATTCGGAGAAGAAGGTGAGTATATGCGTACATATGGGCGCATGTAGCCTCTTTTCTACTGTCAACCCATGTTTCGCGCAACTGTATGCGCCGTGTGTGGGATTCGTTGCTAACGCGTTCTCCAGCCTTACATCGAACAGGCAGCAAAAGACAAGGAGCGGGCCGAACAGGAGAAGGCCGCTTATGATGTGCGTAGCTCCGTCCAGGGGAGTCCCTTGATCTTACTGACCGCGCTATCCAGAATAAGAAGGCTGACAGTGGAAGTGGAGGCGACGAGGACGACGAGTGATCGTCCCGTCCCTCTGCACATCCTCTCGGACGGCTGCGGCATTTATGTCGGACCGTGTACAGGCATACGCTCTCCCCCCCCTTCACATTTCGCAGTGACTTCCACCGGTCTCGTTTACTCTGCCTCGTTGTATCCGGACTCTCGCCTACCCTATATTCGGCCGTGTCATCGTCCTCCCTCTGCCCCATGCCCTGCCTCTGTACCCTGTTCCCGCCCAGTGCTTTATTATCCTTCATCTGTCTGAATGGACTCTGTATGTTTCATCTCTCGCTGCCCCATTAACCACGCGTGCTCGTCGGCGGTATGTGATTCTCGATATGTAATTCTAGATAATCTGTCCGTAGTCATGGTATGTATCTAATGCTGTGTACTATGTACGCGACCAGGAGTTACCGACGTACACGGCTTCGCCTTGCCCCGCTCCGCGCTCCGTTAGCTGCCTCCTCCGTCATCGCACGTGGGCGCGTGTTATAGTTAGCAGCGTTTCGACGCCACACGCGACAGCCACCGCCCTGTAGCCCTGGTATCCACCGCCGCCGACGTTCACTTATCCAGCGCTCGTGCACATCTGTAACCTACAACTTCGCGTATAATCCTTATTCTGCGCCCGCCATGACCGACACACCGCCAGTTGGAGAGGCAAGTTCAAGTCGTTCTAGCACGCCTCGTTCCAAGCGAGACGTAGGTACCCATCTCATCTGACCTCGACCTTGTCCCCCGCTCAGGCCGTTCCTGCGTCCCAGAAGGGCTCCTGGTCGTCGTTTCTCAAATCGTGAGTCATCTGCCATGTGTCGTGCTCAGGACGGCTGGCTGAGCGATTGGCCCCGCCGCAGTATCGCATCGTTCTCCGGCGACCTCTCCTCTTTGACTGCGCCTCCATTCATCCTGTCGCCCACCTCGTTGACAGAATTCCCTGGTGCGTACTCTGATATTATACGGCTTTATCTATACCCCGCTCAACCGCAACCTTGTATCCAGCATATTGGTGTGAGCGACCAGAGCTCTTCGCCGCCATCGCAGATGCAAAGACAGACGAGGACAGATCACTGACTGTTCTCAAATGGTTTATTGTGCGTGAACGTGCTCAATATCCTACTCCATGTAGTCTGACCTGCGCGCTCGTGGCGAACAGAGCACGTTGAAGGATCAGTACACGTCGCGAAATGAGTCCATGGGGTCGGAGAAGAAGTGAGTCCTCGACGCATTGCATCCTTTCCTCAATTCATTCACCATCCAATATTTAGACCGCTGAACCCAGTGCTCGGCGAGTAAGTTCCTCATTCACAATATCGACCCACTATCCCAATCGGGCAGCTTCTGGCCGATCAGCCTGCAACGGTCATCTGATGCTGCATACACAGGTTGTTCTACGGATACTGGCCGGACAAGAACGGGCGGGGCAAGACGAACCTCCTCGTCGAGCAAGTCTCGCACCACCCGCCCATCACCGCGTACTACATCGCTAACCCGTCGAAGGGGCTCTCCCTCCAAGGGCACAACGCGCAGAAGACGTCCTTCTCTGGTGCGTTTCACCTGCGTCGTGCAAACTGAGGCGTTGCTGCTGACGCTTCGTCCCTGATTCTTGCAGGCGGTAGCATCATCGTGCGACAAGTCGGACACGCCGTGCTGACGGTCCTCCTGCCCTCGGGCGAGAAGGAGGAGTTCCTGATCACGCTCCCGCGACTGCGTATCGACGGGCTATGGTACGGCTCGCCGTACATAGAGCTCACCGATATGTCCTACATCCAGAGCTCCACCGGCTGGCTCTCGACCGTACGTCCCTCCCCTTGCCCCCCGTCCCTCCCTTTCCCCTCAGTTCACCTTACTTCCCTCCCACAGATCGAGTACAAAGGCAAGGGCTACTTCTCCGGCAAGTCGCACTCGTTCAAGGCGACCGTGACGCCGCCGGGCTCCTCGAGCGCGAAGCACACCATCGAGGGCACGTGGCACACGACGAGCAAGGACATCAAGACCGGCCAGCCGTTCCACGACGTCACGGGCCCGAAGGAGGAGGCGACCGTGACGGACGTCGAGCGCCAGAACGAGTGGGAGAGCCGCAAGCTGTGGAGCAAGGTGTCGAAGGGCATCCGCGAGGGCGATTTCGATGCCGCGAGCAAGGAGAAGAGCAAGATCGAGGTGCGTTGTAGGTGAAGGGCGGCGAATTCTCCATGTACTGATCTCGTGCTGTGTAGAATGAGCAGAGACAGCGGAGGAGGGACGAGGCGGCTGCCGGGACGAAGTGGCAGCTAAAGCATTTCGTCCACATTGACAGTGATCCAACGTGTACGTCCGTTTCCCCAGCATTTGAGCCACAGCTGACGGCGCGGCCCCTCTGCCAGACGAGAATCTAGGAAAGCTCTTCAAGGCCAACCCGCCAACGGAGGACGCGTACATCTTCCAGCATAACCCTCCATTCGCGGAGATGGAGTTGCCGGTCGAATCGCCTGCCAAACCTCTGTAGATTGTTGCGGACCAGAAGCAGATGCATACCATGTCTGTCGTGCTAGGCACGACGTACGATATGTTGTATTGAAGCCTGGAGCGTTTGTAGCGGACAGTTGTTGTACATACGTCATTTAGTGGGGATTACCAAGAGAAGCAAGAATGTTACATTATAATCTACGACAGGTCTCTATTACACATTGTAGTATTCGAAAGCAGGCGCGCCAGGTTCTGAGCTCTCAATGATAGCGCGGCTGAAACCAGGGCCTTCCTTGGACAAGGCCTCTTCGACCGAGTAAATGTCGGCGTCGACCAAATTCAAAGTCTTCTTCAGATATGGTAGAAGCTCCTTCAGGACTTCTGCTTCGGAGAAGGGCAACGTGCGCCTAAAGGCTGTCTGAGCACCGAACTCGGACATGCGTTTCTGCATGGCGAAAACTATAAACAAACTTCCAGACATGAGCGAGGGACGTGCGTACCTTGAATGCTTGAACGAACGGCATAGCCCGCTTGTCCTTGATCAAACCCTTCTTCGTTAGGATCTCCCTGACCTTCGCGTCGTCGACCTTGTCGGCCTCCTCCGCATAGGCGTCCTTGATAGCTTGCACACACGTATCTTGCCACTCAGGGAACGAGTGCGCGACGTATATCCGGACAGCCTTCGGCGACTTGGGGTCGTACGGAACTTTGCCCGCCTTGTTTTTGCCCATTTTCTTGAGCAAGCTGAGCTCAGCATCACGCATCGTCTTAACGGTGCCGCGCATATACGCTCCTGCATCGAGGATGCTGCGGTCCACAGCCGACGAAGGCTCTGGCCAGAGGGCGAGCTGGACGGACTTCGGCTCCTTGAGGACTTCTGTCCAGACGTGTTCCGCGAAGTGAGGCGCGACGGGGGTAATGAGAAGGGTGGCAACTCGTATCCAGTACAGGACGAGGTCCGCGTGCATGCCGCCGGACTCTGCAGTGACCTCTCGGTACCAGTCACGGGCGCTCTGGATCTCATAGAAGCCGTATTTCAGGGCGTCCTTGAAGCACATACTATATATGAAGAATTCAATGTACGTGAGATATCTTAGAGACAGAGGTACTTACTCATCATAGTACTTCTTCGTGATGTTAATGAGGTCGTTGACTTCGTTCTCGAAGACACGGTCATGGTAATTACGAGCCCCAGTGCGAAGTTTCGACTTGTCCTTGGCCATCTCCTGCACCGAGGTCAGTTTCCAGTACAACGTACCCAGCAAAGGTCCTCACCTCGCACCAGCCGATGAGAGTGTGGAGTCGGAGAATGTTCGCGTTGGCGGTCTTCTCGTCAAAGTTGGCATCCTCCATACCGTCTCCCGCGTCAGCGAGAGCTAGGCGACTGGCATCCGCACCGAACTTCTCTATCGCGTCGCGTAATGTCAAGGCATTACCCTTGCTCTTCGACATCTTCTCGCCATTCAGCATCAAGTGCCCGTTCACGCGCATACTGAGCGGCCACTTGTCCTCGGGGAAGGTGGCACAGTGGTTGTAGATGGCGAATGTCAAATGGTTGGGAATAAGATCTTTCCCAGAGGACCGCACGTCGAAGGGATAGAAGTAGTCGAACTCGCGCTTGAGCGCGTCCGCCTTCTCCTTCGGCAGGGGTGCTGGTTCCGGCCATGGTCCGTTGCAGAAAATGTACTCCCAGACTTCGTCTGTCATCTGGTCGGCAGTCACGCCTAACGGCCCAGGTTTGCTACCGTTGATAGTACCACCTACTGAGGGTCAGGAAATCACACAGATGCACTAGGGTAATCCATACCTTGCAATAGGTGTGCGACAGTGTAGTAACTCATATAGATAGTCGAGTCACTGAGACTCTCCACGAGGAACTGAGGATCCCAAGGCATCTTACTTCCCAAACCGTACGTCCGGGCGCATGCCCACTGGTTCAACCAAGCTAGAGTACCCTCGAATGCGTTCCGCGTTTCCTGGTTGTACGTCTCCATCTTGGCCAAAGCCCTGCAAGATAATTGTTAGGCCTGAGTGGAGAGCTTCGAGTCACGTATCCCTTACTTTTCGGCCTGCGACCTCCAGGACGGCTCTCCATAGTCGAGGTACCATTGATCCATGAGCGCAACGACACATTCATCCGCGCTCCGTGAGACAATCAGGCCCTCAGGCTCCGCATACGCAAACGCCACACCCTTCTCGATCATAGTCGCCCGCACCTTGTTCTTCGCCTCCTGGACGGGCTGGCCCTTGAAATCCCCAATGAGCATGGTACCGTTGTAAAAGCCCTCCTTGTACGCGATCTCCTTCGCCTCCGCGAGCTGCTTCACGTCCTTCTGCGACTGGATCTTCAGCTGCTTGACCAATGCAGGAGCGGTCATCTCGCCGTAGGCGGGCGTGCTCAGGACGGGCACGGGGTCGAACGAGGCCCAGGACGGGTCGATCTTGTAGAAGTCGGCTTTCTTGCGCAGATCCATGAGGGTTGCATAGTCATCGGGCGAGTCTGAGGGCACGGAGGTCACGACGCCGGTTCCCTGGGGGGTCATCAATAAGGATCACCCTTCAAGTTGCTGGGTCCGCATCACTCACCTTGGTAGCGAGCACGTTATCCATGGGCAAAACATAGACCTCGGGGTAGACAGAGAAGGGCGCCCTGATTTTCGCGCCGACGATCTTCGTCCCATCGATCTCCAAGAGCTGGTTGACCTGCCCACGGACATCGAATATCCCCTGGAACGCCATATTCCGCGCCGCCCGGTACGTGCACACATACGCCTCCTTCTCGTTCGCCGCGAACACGCCGTACTTGATCTGCGTGCCCACAAAGCAGTTCGTCTGGCCGTACATTGTCTCGGGCCGCAGCGTGGCAGCCACCAGGTACACCTTGCGCCCGCCGACCTTGCCCTCAATCTCCTTCGCCGCGGCGTCGCTCCACTGCACCACCTCCATCTTGATCGCGGTGTACTCCTGCGGGCCGAGCGCCTCGCCCTCCGCGCGGTCGTGGTCCATGCACGGCTGCCCGTCCTTGGGGCTGTAGATCGTGTAGCGCTCGCCGAACTTGATCTTGCCGAGCCGGTGCAGCTTGTTCATCTGCCAGCGCACGAAGGAGTCGTAGTACGGGTTCGCGTCCGTGGTCATGAACGTCCGCCGCCAGTCGATCCGCGTGCCCATGCGGTGGTTGTCTTCCTATACGATAGGAAGGACGCGTCTCACAACGGCGATCGAACACAATGCAACGAGGTACGTACGATGGCGATTGGGGGGAAGTATTCGCACCAGTAGTACGGGTCAGCGAATTTCTTGATCTCAGCTCGCGGCACGCCTATCGACTCCATGATCTGGAACTGGTACGTGAAGCCTGTCTTTTTCGCCGCAGCCTTTCCCTTCGTCGCCTTGCCGGGGTTGGTGGCGTTGGGTGCTCCCTGTACGGGCGCAGGTGCCTCGGGCTCGTCCTCTGGCTTGTAGTTTTCGAAATCGGGCCCGAACATCTCCATCTCGCGGATGAGTTTGTCTGCGCAGGCCTGCAGAGTGATATGTCGCGTTCATACGATAGCTAACCGGAAGGGACATACCTTGATGGGCATTCCGGTGACATGGAATCCGTGGGGGAAGAGCACGCGCTTGCCAAGCATCCGCTGGTACCCAGCCTCGAACTCGATCTTCGAGATGGTGAAGGCATGTCCGAGATGCAGGGACCCGTTCATGTAGGGGTAGGGGAAGTTGCCAAACCACTTGGGGAACTTCTTTCGGATGTCCACCATGGACATTCCAGCCGTCTCCTCAGCGCTGGGCGCGTCGACCTCAAACAAATGCTCCGCCTCCCATCTTGCCTGGTACTTTTTCTCGAGCTCTTTCAAGTAGTCACGCTTGCCTGTCTTTACAATTTCGATGAGTACTCGTGATTACGGCGCGCATGAACGAACACATACCTGCGCAAGCTCCAGAACGTTTGCAGAGGACATGGTGCGGCGAAAAAAAGAAACTATAGTACAAACAGAAAAAGGACGCCTCGCCCGTCGACAGAGACGCAGAATTTTGGGCAATCGACGAGCGCGTATCGATTGCAGTCCCTGCTCAGATCAATGACTGCACAACTTTTTGAAGGAGTCAATTTCGATCGGCAAAGATAGTCCTGGGAAACGACTGGGTCAGAGTTAGACTCGCCAGCCAGACCTTTTTCTTGGTCATGAAGAACTGAGCGAATTAATATTCTCACAAGCTTGGGAGGCTCTACTTGAGAGAAATGAATTTGCAACGTCTGGTCAAGCCTGGTGCACCTACATACTCCAACGATATAGTAATCTCACGAGGTACACCTATACTAGTACTGGTACAGAAGGCCTTCCTGGGACTCCGTCCGGGACCCGAGGCCTCCAAGGTACTGCAAACTGGATGGGAGTCTACACGCGCTTAGATCCTGGACCAGATCACAGCCACCGGGAATCTCGATCGTCTGCTAAGAATAACCATCCCCACAAGGGCCCCGCCAGTATGCATATGATAGCTGCAGCGCGCTCCCTCAGACGGCGTCTCTGACTCCGCTACCACCATGAAGCTCGTCGCGGCCGCCTCAGTCGTCCTCAGCGTCGTCGTTGCCGTTGTGAACGGCCAGACGCTGATTCCCCCGCCGCTCTCCGCCAGTGGGAGTGGCAGCATTTCAGTTCGGCCTAGCGGTGTCCCAGGGTAAGTACTGTCTCGTACCCTCAGGAATGCCGCGTCCGACTCAGGCTGCGGACAGCTCGGGCTCCCTGTCGATGCCATTGAGCACCATCTCCACGGAGTCCGCCAGTAGCTCCGGCAGTGTCACCACCACGAGCGTCACAGTACCCAGCGGCACATCCACAGTCTCGGTGACGCCGTCCACCAGCGGCACCATCTCCTTGCCGGGAAGCATCCTTTCCACAGTCCCGCCACCATCTAGCACGGGTAGCGGCAGCGGTAGTGGCAGCGCGAGTTCCACCCGTACCAGTAGTGCGCCCTCTACCACCACCAGCAATGCAGCAGCATTGGGCGGAGTGCAGATCGATCCGGCGGTGTTGGTAGGAGCAGGCGCGGGGCTCCTCGCAGCATTGTTCTGAGAAGCACAATGTCTGGCTGCATGTTCATGATCTTGGATGAAAAGCGAGGATGAATAGTGCAGAAGCGTATGAATACTACCTATACATGTACAGTAACGATATTATACCGCTTGTAGCTGTGCATTACGCTCCGCTGCGTCAACCAGCCCTCCTGAAGTCGACAGCGGTGGGCACTAGAGGGAAAAAGTCTTACAACTGAATAACAACCACGGACGAAGCTGGTAAGATTAGTTTTTGATATTAAACAGCTAAATCGCCCGGAGATGGATCAGGACATATGGCGTGACAGCACCATGCGAGGACGCACGTTGATAATGTCCTTCACGCTCAGCTTGTGTAAGTTGCCGGTACCCTCTCCAAGAGCAGCATTCGCCAGTTCTGTCGAGACGTGGACGCCCCAGGTCAGAAATCAAGACCACTCTACAATTCGATGACATACCTGTTTTCAGGGCTTGCAACTTCAGCATCCTAATGCCAGTTCAGCATTAGTCTCCACTGTATCGCGGACAGACGGATGAGATCCTGACCTCTCCTCAATCGTGTTCTTGACAATCAGCCGCTTGACAAACACGTCCTTCTCCTGCCCCAACCGGTGCACACGATCATAGGCCTGCGACTCCGTCGCATAATTCCAGGACAGATCCATACTGCAACCCATGGTGAACAACCACACCATGGACGTAAGACAAACTGCCAACACGCACTTGACCACCCGGTTAGCAGATACAAGGTTCAACCCCACGCCGCCGCACTTGGTGCTGCAATAGCCTGCTCAGCATCCCCATCCGCGAAAAGGAGGAAGCGAGACAGGTACCTGATAAGCATCACCTTCGGCCCGCCGTTCTTCTTGAAGATCATCAGCGACTGCTCGCGGGCCTCGCGGTCCATCTTCCCGTCATATCTCAGGGACCGGATCCCGTATCGGTTGAACAAGAGCTCTGTCAGGTCGAGCATGGTCGTCCCTGCAGCGCGTGCGTCAGATAGAGTCTCGCCGTGCAACTCGAAAGAGAGACTCGTGTAAAAGAACGAGTCTTACATTGGGAATAGACGATGGTCTTGTCCCCGGCGGCTTCAGCCTCCTTCAGCAGGTCGATCAGGGCGAGCATCTTGGTGCTCGGCTCGACATTGTGGTCCCCTCGACCCCATATCTCGAGCAGATTCTTCGAGATGGGCGCGCCGCCGTCTTCTTCCTCGTCGTCTTCATCTTTGGCCCTTCCCTTGCCCTTGTTCTTGGAGGAAGCACTGAAGACGTCACCTTCAGAGTCGGATTCCGACGCGGCTTCCTGCATTGGCGGCCAATTGGATGGACATTCATCCTCTTCAAGCACGAGCACGCACCTTCTTGACATTCTTCTTGTCCTTAGACGGGGACAGTCGCGACGCGAGGAACGTCGACACGTCCTGCAACTCGTCGTCTGAATCCAGATCGATGACCTGAGGGGCCTCCTCCACCTCCGGCGACTTTGCGCGACGTTTCATCCGCGCCTGCCGCTTCTCGCGCTGGATCCTCTCCATCTCCTCCGGAGTAGGCTCAAAGGCGGAGGAGCGGAAGACCTTGTCGAAGCAGTCGCTCATTTTCTTGCAGGTGGGGCCTGAGTGCGATTCAGTCAGATCAAGACACCTCGAACGCGAGTGTAAAGGATATCCCCACATGGTCGCCAGCCCTTGGCTACGGCTGCCTCGTACTCTTTCTCAGCTTTGAGATTCTCCTGCTCACTACCTTCGCCGCTGCATACAAGAAGTGAGCATAAGAAAACTATACAATATGTCGATTTCCTTACAAATGTCCGTCGTGCGCGATGGGAGCAGTGCGCAAGTCCAACAAGCAGTCTGACAGATCTGTGAGGGACGGATGCCTGAGGTGCACGTGCGCAGCTTACCGAAGCAGACTTGGTGCCCGCAAGCCAGGACTCTTCCGCTATCGCTAGAGTAGACTGAGGGGCCGTGAGTCGGTGCATTAGGGAGCAGAGAGCCACGTACAGTCGCCACATATCGGACAGGACGCTTCCGGACCATCGTCCTCATCGTCGAAATCGAAGTTCATCATACGAGCGCGGGCCATGAAGCTGTACATCATAAAATTAAGCTGGGCCGACCGCCACATAGGTAGAGGAAACGCACCCCTTTTTGACCTGGATGCAAACGTGTAAGCGCCATAAATTCTCAACGGCAATACTACTGACCGTATCGACCCAAGGCTGTCCCATCAACTGCGCCGCGCGAGCCCTCTCTCGGTCTGTATCACTGGCTACCAGCAGAGTAGGGTCCGAATAGGGCTCAGCCAGACTCTAAAGTAGCAGCTCTATATACAATTTCCAGGGGTAGGGTGCAAGGATGTCACGTACGAGGATAAGGTTGGGATGACAACTCAGCTGCCGCAGCCGGAGTATCATGACCTGCAGAAAACGTCAGGGAGAACTTGAGCGTAGAATGACCACAGGTATAAACTGACAAGGATAGCTGTATGACTGCGCCGCAGGTATCATCGGTCATTCACGATGGTCCGGATCCATCGTGCAAGGTTTAACGACGTACTTCTTCAAAATTGTTCCCTCCCTATAGAATCGGTTGATCCTGAATGCCACCCGCTTCTCAAAAGAGTCGTAGAGCTTCCACAGCGTTGATAAGCCTGAGTCGTAGATAAATTGCAGACGGACGTACATCGCGTTCTTCGGACGAAAACTCCAGCTCGACGACATCGACATTCTTCTTAGGCAGTTGCAAAAGCGGCTCTCCTTCCTGTTGGATTATGTTAGAGATACAAGCTATATGGTGGACAGAAACCACTCACCAACTTTGCGTCTTTGGTGCGGCGGAGAAGGACCGGTTTGAGGACTTCCTGGGCCCGCATTCCTGATTTACATGCAAAGGTTCACAATAAATGATCAATGCTCTCGGAGTAACGTTCAACGCACCCGCAAGGACCGTGTCCTCCAACTGTACCTTGGCCTGCGGACTTTGTTCGAATACATACAGTTAAGTAGAACGCAGCACGAACAATATATTCGTTGAAGTCATTCCAGTCATTCCACGGTCGGAATCGACCGAAACGAATCAGACCGTAGATATCGGCTCTGCATAGCAAGTCTATCATTAGACCGTAATTCCAACCGTGATGACGCACAAGGAGTTTGTAACTGGAGTCCCAGTGAGCATCCACCGATACTTCGATCGTAGCAACGCTACACTCTTGCTTGACCGGGTGGTCCTGAAGGTATTGAGGAATGGATCAGGACTTACCGGAGCTCGAGGCAGGTAGAATAAGACTCGCCTGTTACGAATGAATTGAGCTTCATCCAGAATTATCCTAAACCACTGCATGCGAGATAGGAGACCACTACCGGACCGCAAAAGGGTCAGATCGCACAACCTTGTACAGATTCTACCGTCTCAAATGACAGCACCCTACCCGTTCTCGGCGAGCCACTCCGCTTCCTCGTCGTCTGCTACATCTGAGGGAACTGCAAAATCCATATTGAGTGTTTGATAAGTGGTGATAATTACCTGCGCGACCGATGAGATCGGTGTCACGCCAAGATTTTATGAGTTGCTCACGTCGAATGAGCGGACAGCAGACAGCTTCTTCAGCTTGTCTTTCCCATGGTGTATGTGGATGTTAAAGACATCGTTTGTCTTGGTTTCGAGTTCCTCTTTCCACTATCAGGTCAATGTAGCGAGATTTATATGACTTAATTCAGAGATGGAAAGCGGAAGATAGACGTTTACCTGGTGTAGAAGAGCCGCGGGTACGACTATGAGAGTGCTCCTGTATTTCTCGTTAGGTTTAGGCAGGTTCATGGCCATAGTCGCAATCATCTGGACTGTCTTGCCTGATGCAGACATGAACGAAAGAAAAATGGAGAAAGAGGTTGAGCATACCGAGACCCATCTCGTCGCTAGGGAGTAATTCTTCCGTAAGATGCGGCAAGTGATGTACAGTTACACTTACGCAAGAATGCCCCCTTTGTGGGGAGACTTGAGCTCTTGGTCCAACATCCAGGCCACCCCAATAGCTTGGTGAGGGAGAAGTCGGACCTCCAACCCAGGAAGGAGGTCCTTTTTACTGAAGCATGTTCAGAAAATCGACAGTATGGTTATGTTGTTGACACTCACTCTCTGAGACCCAGCCTAGTCATGGCATCTCGGACCGTGATACCCTGGCTCAGATTGTCGATAGAGCGGGTCACGAATTCCGCCATTCTGAGGTATATAATGCAGCTCAAGCACAGATAGGTCACCAGTCTCGTTAACAATGAACATACCGCTGTGCTTGGTCCGGTCCTCCTCTATCAATATGCGAGATAGGCGCCTCAGCATCATAATGCAAGCTGAAACTTGTCAGCACGCGGGGCAGGTTCGTTCCTTTGGAAGTCGGTGACCCATTCAGCAGAGACGACGGTCCAGGTTGACTGGTGCTAGCTGAGGACTCATGGCCAGCTGTGACTATAATGATGCTGATTCCATTACTGAGGCACCACTGCCAACTTACTTCCGGCTGATGCTGCTACTATGTTAGCCCTGTCCTTTCCAACTGCCCTTTTCTTCCCACCGCTCCCGCCGGAGGTAGACTGGCTGCTTGATGGTCTTTTGCTATTTGGATTAGCGGGGGTCTGGAACAGACTCGCTACGGGGTTGGGCGGCGGAGCTGGGGTTGTTGGATTCTCCAGCGCAGCCAGAATCCGTGATCTATTGTTCGGTAGACTTGATGTGCCCGCCATCTTACGAGGGGAGAGTCGGAATTCAGACGAGACGCGCAGGCCCTAATTGAGAGCGTATTGTGGCGCGCGCCACAAGCGCGTTTCGGCACATTCCGGTCCAAATGCCACTACGCGTTAAACACTTGTGCTACATATAATATATGATACTGCTACAAATAGTCCATATCGTATGTTTCAAGCGACAATCCGTTCAGAGGCTCTACCTCTGGGATCATAGAACTTCTTCTCCTAGGCACTGGGAGGTACGTTTATACGTTCACATGAGTTCCTCGTTTTTCGAGCTTAGGAAACGCTGGTCTACTTAGTGACTGAAATTCTCAGCGCCTAGAATCTGGAAGGATATCGAACCATCCATTACGCTCTGTCCTGTGCAAAGATGTCCCGTGTTCTTCACTGCCTTATAAGAACTATCTCTTCGTAGCTTGCCCACTTGGACCGGAGCGCTCCGTTGAAACGAGAATAGCTGTGGAGCCAGCCGCTGGGTGCATGCTCTTCATCTTTCAAATTGTCTGAGTATTAGCTTCGTCTCCAACGCAGGCGCTCAATGCTGCTTTTCGGAACTTGGCATTAGTCCCGGATACCGCGTGGATCAGATTCGCCTAGCTAGAACGCCTCACGTTGATATTATGCGCTGGAAAACAGACGGACCATTTTACCAGGCGAAAGTGATAGGACGAGTTGCTGCAACAGATCAAAGTGCGGAAAGCCATAGGTTTCCTGGATTTCCATTGGTTACTCCCGTTGACGCTATGTTCTGCATGGACTGCTCTGTTTTTAATAATGGACCTTACTGGTATCCCGACTTCTATCAGGTAAGTAGTGTACCAACGATCTTCTTGCTTTTCCACACGAAATGCTCTCTTTTGCAGGAGGCCGAACCGTAACGCCTGAAGAACGAACTTCCTGGGCGTATTTTATTGTATCATCAAAGCATGTACGTGGGCGCTCGTGCGATATGAAAGCCTGTGGGTTCTACTTTGCCATCTCGTAAGAAAAGTACAACAAGACGCGAGGATTCTGCAGAGCGCTGCAGGGCGTTTCTTGTCAACCTCGTGCCCATCTCTAGAACGCCCGACTGCCTATATCTAGTCCAGCCTTCGCCAGCACTGCAGCCCCCACCCCCTCTTTCCCGTGCCCAACTTGACTTGAGCTCTAGTTCACTACCTTTATACAAACTGCCTGTTGCGACAATGAACGAGGACGATCGCCGTTCTGACTCTGAAGATACCGTTGTGGAGGACGCGTATCCTGACGAGAAGTTCGGTCAATACCACTACGACAACGGTTCCACTGACAGCATTCACACTGATGCTACGCACTTTACCGGTAGGTCTAACGTATTGATCTTCATCTTTGCATACAGAGATTGATTGGCCCTTGTATACAAGATGACGGTCCTGGGGGAACTGATACTCACTTCTCCAAGGCTGCATTTCAGCGTAATGAGGTGCGCCCTGCCCCTTCACCTCGTCGGGTTGGTATATTCGCCCATTTAACCTCTCAGCACTTACGCTTAGGTTGTGACTGAGATTACTGCCATAAAGGAAGTCAGTAACACTGTACCGGCTCATGCGAAATGTATGTCTGACATCCAGTCACAGGTCGCGAGGTCCGGACTTGCGGTGCTTGGAATTTTCGGACCAGGATGTCCTGCCTGTATCAAGGCTCACCCTCGTTATATGGCTTTCTCCGGTTCGTCTCCCGGCCAAGCTGTGCAATTCTATCAAGTTTTCGTGAGGTCTTCTTAGATTTTTCATTGGCCTCTGTCTCATGCTCCTCTGCAGATTAACAAAAGCAAGAGCGTATACCATGAACTAGCGCACAGCAAGCGACACATGGTAATGCGACTTTCTTTTGCTCAAGATAAATTCATCTAAACCGTTGTCTCTAAATTGTAGATTCCGCAATGGAGGATATACCATGATGGTCACGAGGTGTACTGGAATTATGATTTGGGTAAGGTGGAGGTATGTCAATCAGTACCAACAGAATGTGCAATCAGCAACCTCGTGTATGATGGTGACTCATGCGATGAAAGGCTGGACTCCAAAGCATGCATTCCCTTGGCCTTGATAAGTCTCAAATCAACAGTTACCTTGACACGGATGCTCGGGAAACTGGGTACGTCCTCGCGGCGAAGGTTCTTATTAGACCTGCCCTAATTACGCTGTTTTTATCCCATTAATAGCATAGACGAAGGACATGGCTGCGAGTTGTCACCAGTCAAACATAGGCGGTGCTGGCTCGTCCGACTCGTCTTTGGCGAGGACAACTCTGATGATCAACCTCGCTGCAGCGCCGTTCTAGCGAGCAATAATCCCTCACAACTGGCAGATGCTCGGCTGGGGGATTCCCATTTCCGCGTCATCTTCTACGGCGACAGGCGAAGCCGTAAGGTCATACATATCGCCCTGGAATTTTCCCCCGATACGAACAAATCATTGCGCTTCCGATCCGCCACATTCTTTGCGCGATTTGAATCACAAGGTGAAGGGCAGGAGGTGTTGATCACGAAGGTCACACCGCAGAAGAGGATTGGCGATGAGGCGTCCGCGACTGTCAGGCAGGGGGTCTCAACCGAGTTCCAGGGGAAGGTCAGCATTGCTCATCCTGGTGGCCTGAGAGCCAAATGGAGGAAGACTTTCCATGTGGAAGCGGCATTACATGATCACGAGACTGCCACGGGCAGCGGACAAGGAAGTAAAATGGCCCAATGGACATTCCGGGAAAATTCCTTGGACGGTGAGCGACGCGGCATCGCGGAGAGGCAGGAGCTCTCCGTTCATTTCGAGACCATGCAAGAGAAATTGGTCGTGAAGTTCTGGGGCCTGGCGACACTGTCTCACAAAGGACACGCGGCCCACATTGTGCCAGTGGATCACCACCACCTCAGACTCGGGTCAGAGTCTGAACCATACGTCAGGACACTCGTACGACCCAAGGGAATTTTGTAGGTTCCAATTTCGCATCGTCAATCCCACACAAAACTTAAATCTTGTAATCCCGCAGACCTCTCTCTCAGTAATGTGTCACATGGCTCGAGAGCTGTTCGACCAGTAGATGTGGCACCGCAAGTTTCCCGTAAAGTTCTTTCAGCTCCTTAGCATTACACCGGACTTGATTCTCTTCAGCCAGAATCCCTATGCCATCGTGTCGATGAGAGCCTTAAATTACCGTATCCTCGCTTTGTTTCTCCAATATATCATAATGACCAGGCCTACAACTCCGTTATATACAGAAATACTCATTTTTTACGGATAAACGTACCTGTATAGCAAGACAAGAGGCTCCAGCTCGTCTTGGATGCCATCATTGAAATTCACGAAGTCGACATGTCCGTCGGCTGATCGGCCATCCAAGTACGCCACACTGAAGTTGATTTTCAGTGCCCTTGCCAAAGCAGTCATCTGCACATGGTCTAGATCCTCGTGAGTATCAAGACAGCTGCCATTTATTTGACCGCTTACCTGCTTCTTTACCAACTGCCTCCACGAATGTCTCGCAGAACTCCCTGGGAGTCATGAGTTCCCCGAGTTCAGGGTGGAAAAGGAAATCCTGGTACGAGTCTGGGTCCGTGCGGATTTGAGCGGACGTGAGCAATCGCAAATACACCACGACAGAGTTCGAGACTAAGTGAGCCGTGTCAAGTTCACTCTTCGTGCAAGATTCGAGCAGAGCAACCTTCGGGATTTTGGAACGCCTCCAGAAGCAATAGAGGCGTCAAGGTAGTGCCATCTGCTTCCGGTTGCACTATCCGCTTGATGATCGAAACAAACGTGTCGTAGAAGTCCTCGAATACGAGCTTCTGGAAACCCGCCGCCTCCAGCATGGGGAGGCTAGCTTCTAAGGTCGATACAGCACTTCCGACCGCCAGAGCGGGGTCCGCGGCATTCATAAGACGTTCAACGTAGCGAAAGGCCAGGGCTAGTGATAACAGTCACTATCCAGCCATGGGTGCAGTCAAGATCGGACGAGGCTTACAGCGATAGAAGCAGTCACCATCTCCCCTGGTCCTCCGTATCCCAGTATAAGATTGTGACACCAAGTAGTCGATTTGTTTGGTGAATGACGCCGATCCGTTCTCGTACTCCGCGCGTAACACCGCCATCGGGACAATCTGGTCGATAAGCGGTCGTTGCGGCACTGCCTCGTCCAGTAAACCCTTCCTTGTCAAAGAAAGATGGTATCAGAGCTTTCCGAGGTATTATGTCGGCCTACCTGGTTTAGCTCATACAGTTGAGCTGGGGTCAACGAAGCGAGTTCTGTATCGACACATGCCAGCGTTAGCTGCGACGTCCAAAAATGTATAAAAATCACGCATACCCGGATTATTTGTCACGAATCCTGGTCCCGTATACGTAGGAAGGGTTTCTTGACCTTCGGCAGTTGGAAGGTCGGCACTTTCGAGTCTAGCTACACATCATCTAGTGATAAGAATCCACAGATCGCACGGCTGGATGTATCGGGCACTAACGCGCTTCAGGCGGGGTCTCGCCATCTGAAGACTGCATGGTTGCTATTGTAGCACACAGTCTGAAGTCACGTCCAAGAGCAGATCTCGCGAATGGCAACTCAAGTGTACCCAAGTGAAGCACTGCTACATGAATCGCACACAAACCTTAGAATGGGGTCAATCTCCGGTCGATCTGTGCCACTGCGGCCTCTTCCTTCACTTGACCGTTGACGGGTCGGCGAATGTCTTGTATATATGCACCGTACAAGCCCAGCATCAAATTTACAAGCAGTGAACCTCAAGAATAAATATGGAATAACAATACGCTCAAAAGCGTGACGATTAATGTTATATTGCTGGTGGGCGTCATGCTCATTTTTGATCTTGTTGCCATGAATCAAGTCTTGCGAGGATCTCGGCCTGTTCCGTCTCGGATTTGCTTGCACTGCGAAACTGAGGTGAGATAACTGTGTCGGAACTGAGACAAGATACTTACAATTCCTTGGCGAAGGTAGCTATCTCCGCGGGATTCCTTACCATACCGAGCTCTATGAGAGCCTCTTGCCGAGATCGTAATCTGACTACAGTGAGTGGAAGGTTATGGCACTCTGGTCCAACCAGCTTACCTCGACTCATGCCGAGGCGGCGCTTTGTGCTGATGTCTTTTAAGTTTGGTGAACCATGAATCGTCCTCATGTGGATCCTTCTTTTTGGATTTGCGCTGTTTGCTAGAATGTTGGTTCGCAGTGCGTTTACGCTCCTTGGGATCATGAGGATGGTTTAGGAGGCGATAACGTTCCATAACATGAAGTCGAACCTTGGCCGCGGCTTGTATCCGCTGCTCCTCGATACGATTGGGCTTCAGGATGTCATCGTTCAAGTGGGTATATTTGACTCCGTAATCTTTCAGGGCCTTTTGCACCTCATCCTTCTTGGCTGACTGTGGCAAAGCTAAAGAGTGATGGTGAGCTCGTTTGTGAATTTCATGCCTGTATCTACTAACTGTCATCGAGTAGAAAGTCGTCCAATCCACCGACATCAACCTGCGGGGGCAGTGAGAAGACTCGGAGCAATGGTCCCAAAAGGTGCAACATACGTCTGCATCATATTCTTGTTGCGATGCCGACGCTTTCCCCCCTTTCTCAGACTTCCTCCGTTTCTTTGATTTACCTTCCATATTCTGCAAAGCCCAGGCAAGATTGGCAAGGTCTGCCTTCTCAATCTGAACAAAGAAATGAGCGGACACTCGGCAAAGCCAGATTCAGTCATGTCACTTACGGCCATCTTCGTCGCCAGACTATCCTCTTGAAGTTTGAAGATATTCTCGAGGCCAAACAATTCGCCTTGTCTTGCCTTATCGTTCTGCACTCCCTCAAAGTATCTGCCTCGGGCGGTCAGACTGAACAGGGCCCGATGCCACGTAGACCATACCTGGTTTGTACGCTCGCTTCGTAGCCAATTTTCATCTGCTGTTGCTTGTATATTTGACGCGCATAAATGAGTTCTTCAATAGAGCCGGCCCCGAGGAGACGGTAAACAGCCACATCGCGAGTCTGACCAAAGCGATAGGCACGGTCCATAGCTTGCAGGTCGTGTGCAGGATCTGGGGACCAATTTAGCGTTCTGCGCAGAACGGTTCAGATTTTCCCAGACACTTACTCCAGTTAGGATCTAGGGACAGACGTGAATATATAAGTTTACTCAAGGCCAGATATTTGTTCTCGTACCAAATATCACCACTTTGTTAGCACTCGTCAGATTCAACCCAGTTCCTCCAGCCATAGTGGATATGAGGAAGATATTGACAAACGGATCGTTGTTGAACCTATCGACAGCAGGCATGCCTATGTGCAACGTACATCAGTTTGGTCAGCATCGCGGAAGTGGGTCAACGCACGATCCGCCTGATTCATGGATCCGTCTAGTCGCTCGAGCTTATAGTCTGCGGTTCCGGTGTTTAATAATGCTAAGACATGCCATAATTTAACACTTCTTACGCTCTTTCCGCAGATGAAAATCCAGGATGTTCAGAAGCTTGACGGACTTCGTGAAGATTAACACCTTATTCGATGGATCTCGTCTCCATTCCGCGAGAAATTTCTTCAGTATCTGAGAACGCCCACCTGTGAACAATGCGATCCGCGCCGCTCAGACGACACGCACCAGCCATTTTCCGCAGAATCTCGGTTCAAGGGATGCCTGTCCATACGACGGCTGCGGTTCGTTGGCGAAAGCGAGGTCTGTAAGTTCGCGATTTCTTGCGGTCTGGACAAATGCGTTGGAAATGTTCAAATCCCGTGGTCAAGGGACTCACCTGCTCTGCTGTATCCTTTGGAGCTTCATGTGATGCATTAGTAGTCGAGCAGTTGGAAGACAGTCCGAGCACTAACCTGGCAATATCAGTGCTAGATGATTAGATATTTTGATCAATGCCGACATGTACTTGAACAGGACTGATTTATCCCAAGGATAACAACAGTCTTTTCTCCTAAATTCGTGAGAATAACATATGAAGACTTTCAGGTCGGCCCAGACCAGCTACACTCACTTCAATCGAGACCCACAATCGCACCACTCATCCTTGCGAATCATGTTCTTCACATCGTCCGAAGCAAGGAGACGTTTGTAGACTTCAATTTGCTTGGATGCCAATGGACAAAACACGACTTCATCAGTTTTCCGCGGTAACTGAAAAGGGTGAGATTAACGAGACATGAATACTTCGCGGAAGGAATCAACCTGGTGCTTGATCAGATCCTTCGTCCTATGAATGGGGTGAGTCGAGCCCCAGCGTGGGATCTATATGAGAGATACCTTCTCAAGAAATACTTCGGAAGAAGTTTAGTAACCAAGATCTCCGAGACAATCTAAGCGGAAGCCTAGTGAGTGATGAGTGAATGCTTTGTTGCAAGCAGTAGTACTTGGGCTTGTATTTTCTCTTCATCATTTGCGGAGGCAGACTGGCCAAGCAATAATGGCCTTGTGACGTAACCTTTCCACTGTCTGGGTGTTCCTACACACCCGGGGACGCACCAATCTAGTATTGTCCATAGCTCGGTGTACGAGTTTTGAATAGCTGTGCCTGTCAAACCAAAACGCACAGCCGACGGAGTCAGGGTGTGATAGCTCTCGGTTGTCTTCGACCTCGGATTCTTCAAATAGTGCACCTCGTCCACGATGATAATGGACCAAGGCAAGTAGTTCAGTAACTCGATGTCTTTGGCAGCAGTCGTGCGAGATGTTATGACTACACGGACAAGCGTGAGCTGCTCCAACGAAGATCTATCAGCTTCAGACTTACCAACATCAAGTCGGCCCATCTTGAAGTCATTCAGAACCCTTTTTCGTTGCGGGCCGATGTACAGCCCTACCTCGAAATAACCCCACTGTCCGAATGAATTAGTACTGCGTTGCAGTCTCAGCGAAATGATGGCATACAGTCTCAAATTCCCTCTCCCAGTTGCCTACGACACTGCTGGGAGCTATGACGAGACAGGTCGGCCAAACTTGATTCGCGGCAGGTAATTGTCTCCGCTCCTTCCAGTCGGGGAGATCCTGCAGGAGGGAGACATATTCTCGGCGTCGACCGATGTCTCGGCTGTCCCCGTGTTTCTTCATTACAGCTGACAGGAACGATATAACCTGGATAGTTTTGCCTGTGCATGGTTTAAGCTGATTCTTAGGTCATATTGGAACCATCGCACCCTGAACCCTTTATATCAGACAAATTCGCTACGTCTTAGCAGCGAGACTTACTAAACCCATGTCATCACCCAACAATCCTCCGGACCCTTGCTTGTAGTGGTCATAAAAAAAATTAGCGCCGTCCCTTTGATAGTCGCGTAAGTACGTATTGATGGAGGCCGGTACTTTGACATGGGACTTTGCGTCCAGTACGAATGGACCTTGACGTTGTTGGCCGGGCAAGAGCGGGAAATTTGGGCGCACTTCAATGGAAGAAGCGAGCTGAGACGGGTCGTCGGAGTCAGACTCGGTTACCGAGTCCTCGTCAGCGGTAGCAGCAACACGTGTATTGGTTACAGATGGGCCTACTCGTATGCCAGATTATATTTCCGCTGGTGTAGAAAAGAGGAACATCGTTACTTACGATCAAATATCTTGCTAGGGGGTTCCGCAGCAGGTTCGTCTGGCTCTGTTTCTGATTCGGACTCCGTGACAGAGTCATCGCCTGGGCGTCTAGCTTAGCATTCTCCATACGGACTATTACCGGCATAATACCTGGTTTGGGTTTCTTCGCTGGTGGCTCCCTAGTACGGGAAGCATTATCAGCGAACTTTCTTTTCGCAGATCGCGCGGGCATTTCCGTCTCTGATTCAGATTCTGTCCGTGCATGTTAATACAGTCGACATAAGGCAAATAAGTATAAATCACCGGTGACGGATTCCTCATCAATACGAGTTTGTTCCTGTTCCAAAGAAATAGCCTTGATACCTGAGAGAGATCGCAAGAAGATGGGTGGTTCTTCATTTTCACGATTACGTCCCTCATCCGAACTCCTGTCCGAGCCCTCGGGCTCTACTTCCTCTTCCTCGGGTTCAGACTCGGATGCAGAGTGCAGGTCAAGGTCACCTACAGCATTATGTGAGCACCTAAAGAAATAGGAGAGGCACTGAATATCGGTCAGTACCGAAGAATTCAGCGAGCGGATTGAAAGGTAGCTTCGGTCTGCTAGGTCCTACAGCAGAGTCAGAAATCTGTGTATTCACAGATTATCCTTCGGACGTCCACCTGCGTGCTCTAATGGCAGAAAGTTTACTTCTTCGTATGTTTGTTCTCTTTTGATACCCTTCTTCGACTTCCCCTTCTTTGGTTTCTCATATTCGTACGAGCCGGCTTTAAACTCAGGGTCTGAGTCTGAGTCTACAGAAATAATCCACTGTGAGTTCTTCGCCTGCAGCACATAAAATTACCTATGGGTGCTGGGATGGATTGCAGCTTCCCTGTGTAGGATTATACCCTTACTTTCATGTATCGAAGTGAGCTGTTACCACATACTCTTCTCATATACCGAGGACTTGCTTTTCTTATCTGGCATCTTGCTTTGATCAGTTAGAGGCATACTCATTGTACCGGGACGTTGAGGGGTTGTCTCACAAGGTGGTGTGGCTTGAGAAGCCGGTGTAGCCAGCGATTCGTGAGAATTTGGAGTTGGGGGCGTTAAGGCACGTGACATTAAGGCCTCGACCACGTGAACGCGTCCGTGGCCGCCGGCCCATGCCGTTGCGATGTGGCTTGGATGTGGCACGCTGACATTTGCGACTCCATTCGAACTCTCTACAGATCAGAATCTCACACAACACACCATGTCGTTGCAACTGAACATTATTAACTGCCCTAGATCCCAGACTTCAGAGTGTATGCCACTGGCTCCCAGACCGATTCCCTTCCTAAGCAAATAGCTATAGCAAATCGGGATGCCGATAGCAAAGTCACCAGGACACATCGGGGAGAGTCAGGTGCATCAGTATATGTACCAAGCATTATATTACATATATATCCAATAAATCAGTCGTAGCGTGATCGTCAGGTAGTCGTGAAATCTGTTTCGATAGGCTTTCAGCGAACAACGGAACAGCAGATCGACAGATTACAGACCAAGGCGGGGCGTCGTTACGACGCACTCATGCACACAATATGCATGTTATCTTGATGGAATTTCTCAATTTCGATCTCCTGATACGACTCGTCCGAGTCTATATCCAAGTCCGGGAAGCATAGCTGCGCTAGGCCGAGGTCGTGCAGTCGGGACATCCTCAGCAGCATGCCAAGTCCCATATCATCGTGACCCCCGCCTGCGGTATTGAGGAACTCCCATGTCTGGTCATCCAGCTCCTCCGCGGTTCGACCCCATGTAGAGCGTATGGCCTCGGGATAGTTATATGAGGCAGCTATAAAGCATATGGAAGAGCCTGTGTCATTCAGTATCATTGAATCAGCCCCAAGACATTTGATAGGATGGGCAACTCACATAACCCGCTGATCTCCCTCTCTCGCTCCAACTCAGGTACTTGACCATCAGGAGCGAACATCCGAAGCTGCTCCGAATGATCTGGTAGTAGATCACCTAGTTTATATAGCCGTAGACAAGCAGGACAGATTCGACCGCGTCGTCGGCTTTTGTTATACCACAGTACCTGCAAGATTCAGCGTAAGTGCATAGGAAGGTCGTCCGCCTGGGACACAACGTACCATGGCCATTTCCTCCGGCAGGACAGTACACAACATCTCTAGTACTTCAGGTTGTGCAAATTCGGCGCACATAGGATCGTCCGTGGCAGGCGGAGCCGCAAACGATGAAGACAAGAATGAACGCATGTCTCTCACTCGCGGTCCATTCCCCGGATCAACGATACACGGACCCTTCGGTAACAGCGCGTCTTCAACAATAGCCCGTACTCTCTCGAGCTCTTCCGATCGAGGCGAGAGAGGTCCCTGGGTGCGTGCCGGGGACAGGACGCGTAATAATTCGGATGGGACCTGGTGTTCTTGGGACGCGCGCCGCTTCTCCTTCTTGGCTTGGGTCTTTTTCTTTCTCTTTGTGTTGCAAGGTCCAGGCATAATGTAAACTTAAAGGTACAGAAACGCGGGACAAGCAGGTTCAGCGGCCTGCGAGGTCGTGGCCGTTGCTGTCAGTGTCAATGTCTCCGGTGAACTGGACGCGATCGCGTCGGTCACGAGGCCTCCGGTAACTTGACAGGACGCCGTTCGATCACTCTTTGGTGGACGGATTTTCGGCTTCATACAAGCCGCCACAGTTTCATAACAAGTCGGGGCTGTCTGACTCCCTGCGTCTCTTTCACAACCTCTGCCACTCAAAGCCCAATACGCTGTCATGGGTAAAAAAGCCCCGAAGTCTGCGCGCAAGTTTGCAGCCAGTGGTCAGCTGAAGAAGACCATTGACGCAAGGCGGAAACACCAGCAAATCAAGAAGAAAATGCAGAGTAAAAAGACCAAGCAGGATGCCCAGAAGGGAAAGTACAGAAGTGGGCCGCATGCATCGGATGACGATGAGGCGGAACTGGAAGGGGGACCAAAAGCTTCGACGTAAGTCCCAGCGTACGCAGTATACATTGCCCATTCATCCGGATTCAGGTCCAAGGCTGCGTCGGTCAATGACCTTTTGAACGCTAAATTCATGGACGAGTCTGACGATCAAGAGGTGAGTGAGTTTCCCAGTCGTGACTTCCTGCTGGATGTTCAAGCGACTACAGGATGCGGGGTCGTTAGAGGAGGGGTCCGAAAGCGACCAGGACGACGGAGATGAGGACGCCTTCGAAGATGAGAGTGAATTTGGCGATGTTGATGAACTCGAAGGTGAGTTTGAGGAATGGCATAGAACGTACTCTACTGACACATACTTCTGATAGACGAGGGAGAGGCCCACGTACTCGAACTACAAAAGCTTGCGGAGAAGGATCCCGAGTTCTACAAGTACTTGCAGGAGAACGACCGCGAGCTGCTCGAATTCCGACCAGATACGGAGATGGGCGATGCCGACATAGACGATGATGCTTCCATGGGCGACGAGCCCGCAGATGAGAAGGCACCGTCACTTACTCTGACACAGCTGACGAAATGGCAGAAGGCTCTACTGGATGTGAGCTCGTTTTCACATTCGCGAATCCCCCGGCCTGAGCTCTGACACATCGGATAGCACCGTTCATTAAAAGCGTTACGGAAACTTCTAATTGCTTTCCGTGCAGCTGCGCACATGAATGAGGATACACCTCTTGCTTGGTCTATTGACAGTCCCTCTGGTACATCTCACGTTCTTTTTTCGCATGACCACGTCGCTGACCTCACCTAAAAGTGTACAGCAAACTGGTGACCACGGCCCTGCGGTATACACCCGTGGTGCTGCAACACCACATCCCCTATAAAGAACTGCCTAACGGTAAATTGTGAGTATCAGCGTGATCGGGGTTTTCATCATCTCACGACCCGAGTAGCAAACCCCCAACCCAGAATAAAAAGCAGAAGACGCTGCAAAAACTCATCTTGTCGTACTTCCACAACGCCATCCACCTCATCTCACAGCTGACCGAGACGGATATGATACGACTAGCTGTGACAGAGACAGCGAAGATCGTCCCTTACATTATAACCAGTCGGAAAGCCGTGAAGCTGTATCTGAAGGTAAGCCGTGAGGGTGTTCCTTCATCGTTATCTGACTTACGTCGCCATGAAGACGTGCTTGGGATTATGGTCAAGCGCAGAGGACAGTATACGGATTGCCACATTCCTTGCCATTCGCCGGCTATCGACTGCGTCGGATGAATCCATACTGGACATGGTACTCAAGGTCAGTCGACAACCCCCACATTGCAGCTATCCTTGAACACCCTTGTCTAGGGTACGTACCTTACACTGGTCCGTAGCTCCAAGTCGACATCGCCGCACACGCTTCCATCCATAAATCTTATGAAAAATTCGGCGTCGGAAATCTACAGTCTACCCTTCGCGCAAGGAGCTGCTTACCAGCACGCTTTCGGCTATATACGCCAGCTTGCCATTCTTTTGCGAAACAGCATGAAAGTGAAGAGCAAGGTCGGTGTTCCCTCTATTTTGCTGAGACCACCGACTGAGATTTTACATACAGGAAGGATTCAAACAAGTGTACAACTGGCAGTATGTGCATAGCATCGACTTTTGGTGCATAGTGCTGGCTAGAGCGTGCGATACCGAGACTCGCGCTGAGGAAGGTGGAGCAGAAAGCGAACTCAAACCTTTGATCTATCCTCTCGTCCAAGTCGCCCTGGGAGCGATGAAGTACGTACACAAATCTGGCTGAGCTTGCCTTATGCTGATTTTCTGCGGTAGGTTGATATCCGCGTCGCGGTCTTACCCCTTCCATCTGCACTTATTGCGCTCACTGCTGCATCTAATAAGGCATACTGGAATATATGTTCCCCTGGCACCTCACCTCCTGGCCATAATCAATACTGCGTTATCTCCATCACATTCTAGGAAGGCAGCGACGTTGCGACCCCTGGATCTCGAGACAAATATCCGGGCACCCCAGCAGTACCTCAAGACCCGGGTCTACGCTGAGGGTCTCGCGGAGGAAGCGACATATCTGTTGGCGGAGTGGTTCGCCGTAAGACCAGTCGTCTCCAGCATAGCGCTCCCCGAAATCGCCTTCCCCGTGGTGACTTCCCTGCGTAAGGCTGTAAAGGGTGCAAAATCCGCGGGATCAAGGGCACCCTCGGGTAAGGAGGTTGGTGTGATTAAGGGGCTGATTGAGAGGGTCGAGGACAACGTGAAGTGGACGGAACAAAAACGCAAAGACGTCACCTTCGCACCGGGAAAGATGGCGGAGGTGGAGGCATGGGAGAGTAACGTGAAGGTGGACCAGACCCCGCTTGGCAAGTTCGTCAAAGTGCAGCGGAAGACGAGGGAAAACAGGCGGAAGCTTGTCGATAAGGCAAGTCGGTTCTCATAGCAACTTCACGGGCTCCGCTCATTGAGTCCGTCCACTAGGCTAGGGTTGGTGAGGACGAGATTCTCGATGAGTAGACTGCTTTGCTCGTGGGCCGGTCTCTTTACGGGACGTCAGCCGCGAATGCATCCCGTCGTTAGTTACCGGCATACGCATGTCGTAAGTCCCTTGTCCGCACCGCAGAGAGCCATCCGGTCCGATCCTTGATATGATGCCAATGGAGCCTCAGACTCGAGATCATCCCGTTCTCAGAGTCGTATCTCATCGATGAATTGCCAACGGCAGGATCTGTCGCTGCTCACTCCCTGGCCTAGATTCAAAGACACCACGAAGGAAAAAGATGGAGATGCCCCGACAGTACTGTAAGGAACTACTTGCGAGTGAGGTAACGAAGCGACAAGCCGAACTGAAGGTTACAAGTGGGTATGATCCTTCCGCCCGAGGCAGTTTGTGCGGGCGAGCCTTCACCAGACACCAAAGAAGACTTTCCACCAGGGACGGCCGATACCCTGGGCACTCTTTTCGAAAGCCTCGACAAGTCTGTTGTAGTGCTGCGGCATAGAGGCCGGTTTCAGGAGTTTCACAGGAAGCGGGTACTATCATGCCTCTCAAGGTGAGGGACCGGAACACTAGCGGGCAGTCATGAGATATATACCTGTTTCTGGACTTCATTATTGCTCAGAGCGCGTGCGGCCTCAACAGCGTCCGCTGTTAGGTTCGGATGCGTCGACAACGAAGAGAGAAAGGTCTTCAGCTGTAGGTTAGGCCGAAATGCGTCGTACGGCCACGACAAAGCAATCCTGTTCAACTGCCTAGACAACTTGGAGGTCGACGCCATCGGAGTACGGAACAAACTTTGTTGCGGAGTTTGAAACATCGGAAGCCCTGTTGATGATGGAATTCCATTTCACATGGGACAGCCGAGAACCGAACATAAAATTAAAACTGGCCTTCCCGAGGCTTTCGGTACCGCGCCGACTTTGAATTTGGGAAGCAGAATGACCATTTTCTGTATGCAGCAGGATTCTCCAAGTGCAAACTTCCAAAAGGTGTCGTGGCCCTGCGATAGCTAACTATAACCTTTCCAGACGCGATCCAGTCTACGGTGCAAAGGGAAGGACTACGCGTAGAGCGCTCCCGCTCTTACATTGACCGTCGGGCACGCCCTTCGGTTTAGCCCTCCAAGCTACGCGACTCCAAATGATAGATCTGTGAGAGCGATACCCAAGGCTGACGCAGTGATTCTCCGTGCGGGAAATTTCTTACTCTTACAGGTCACTATCCGATAAATTCCGGCGGGCAGGCAGGACGCACTGGGGCGTCCGCAAGGATAGCCTGACTGACATTCTTCTGATTGATGTTGCGCAAATGGCCATCTGAGCCCATGAACCCATGGTACCACTCGGCCCCATATAGAGCTTCGACCCACTTTTTTGCGATCGCCGCCGCTGCAAAACCTCAACTAGGGTGTATCATCCGTCTCCGGCAGTACTCGCTGTTGATAAGGATGCACCGTCTCCCGCGGTCGCTCCGTTCGTTTTGACCCCGCTCAACCGTTAGCCCATCAGGGGCATCTCCTGCTAACTATCTGTCCCGCTCAAGTTGCTTCACACGGCGATCCTGTGGGCTCCGTGCGAGCCTACAGCCTTCGGCGATGTGCCCATGATCTGGGGCTCAGGTCCACTTCCACCATGGCCCCGTTTGCTTCCTACCGCCGTCGTCCCAGCCCTCCGCCGCGGCTCGTCTTCTAGAAGGAGGCAAGTTAGTATGGTGCTTCGTACGCTCTGTGGACGTCGGAAAAATCGGTCAGCAACCCCAGTATCTGCTTCCAGGTGGCCACAGCATAGCGGTAGCTTACTCGGACGACCATTCAGGGGAGCCATAGGTGCTTCTACCTCATGTGTTGCCGAGCCTTCTTGTTGATTCAGCAACTCCACCGATTCGGCGGCTTCTTGCACCGTGCTTTCTTACTCTCACGGCTGGTTTATGAACTCAGCTTGATGTACCTGCTTTTGTCCTCGATCATGAGGAAGGTCTCACCAGCAGACTCCAGCCCGCATTCCGCAGTCTTGGAAGACCGAGGCGGGAGCTCGTCCACTGTCGCCGCGCAGCAGCGGAAGATAAATTATTGATCCTCAGGGCACGCATAGTTCACTAGCGATGTGCGGAATGTCGGAGAAATCCCCCATCATCTTCTCTGTCAACGAATACTGCTTTAATTAACAGCGGCCATTCGCCCGGGTACGAGAGATAGTCGGAGCACGGAGGGCCAGGATTTTAGACGGCAAGCGGTCGATCAACATATATCGGTCTCCCCAGCGGTCAGGCCTCGGTACGCCCTAGCAGGTAGCAGACGTGTCCTCCGGTAAGTCTTGGGTGAACAGCTTAGGCAGAGAATTCGATATTGAAGGCCCTTGCAGGAAGGCCTCTTTCCCATGTCTCGCGATTCTTGCCAACGCTCCCACGTAGCCGGAGGAATGGCAGGATCGTGCCCCTCCAGGTCATTCAGTTCAGAACCGTCGGCACTTCGACGTTGAGCATAACCTTGAATACCAAACACAGGGCATCTTATGACGCGGTGCAGAGGCTTTGAAACGGCTGCGAGCGCGAGTGAACGCGAAAGCCGTCTGCCTCCCCTCGAACTGACCGCGTCCGTGCTCATCCCCGTTGCTGGCGTGGTAGGCTGTGCATGCCTGGTGTGGAGCGTAAATCTCAGGCATGCAGTGGCCTCATCTATCACGACCTTACGAAGAGTCAAGCGTGCGCAGATTGGGCCGTGTCCGTCTATTTCAGACCTGCCGCTGCAACATTGACGGCCGCGCTCGACGAAGTGGCTGAGGTTGTTTTAATAGTATTGATATGAGAGCTTTGATTTCCAGGGGTTTCCCGAACTTCGATAATTCAGTGACCATTCTCCATGAGTATTCTTGAGCACTTGTCAACGCCTCCGCCTGTGTCACGCACTAAGTTGGGGTGACTTCCAATTATACAACATTACCACAGGATCCCTTCTTCTTCACCATCCTCCTCCCCGGGTCACTGTCGGTTATGGGTATGTCCCTAGAGGCATATTTCATGGGAACGCCTCAATGTCCTAAGCCGTTCCGCATCCACTGCCAGGTCATCGGAATACTCATACTATTGTTACAGTTTTCAACTGCCCCGAGACGACCAGCTCGCTGTAATATCGTCCGCACTACTGGGAAAGCCTGCAGCCAATGTGTTAGATTCATTGAAAATCTACGTCCATCGGGATGTTCGGTCAGGGACCTGCTCGCCGTCAGTTTCAAAGCTTGAAGAGCTCAGCTGGCAATTGGCGGCAAAAGCCGGACGCGGGGCTTTGCCTATAAACAGACTGCCAGGTACAGCCTCGGGCGCCTCTTTCGACGGCGAGGACAAGTCTAACGAAATGAGCTGCACACCGCCACGACATACTGCTCCTGTACTGCACGTCTACCATGAGCTGCTGTGGGACCGCTCGCAAGCCAGAAACGGAGGAGGGTAACAGAATAACACCCTTTGGTACGGCCCCGGTAACTCAACAACCTGGCTCGCAACCTGGATTGCAATACAGCGACAAGGGGAGCTTCCAATCACCTTCAGTACCGTCGCCACCGCCAGCGCTTCAGCATGGACCTTATGGCTCCAGCTCACCACCACCCCAGCCATGGGGCAGCCCAGGTTCTCCGGAGATGGCGCAGTTCAACCCGTACGCTCAGAATGGCACTGCTAGCATTTCGAATGGTTCTACCAATCCCTACAGCCCGTTGTTGAACCAGCCAATACTACAGCCTAGTGCCGTACATGCCTATACCAGGTCAGGTACCACATCCCCACCCATGGCCCTCGCACCTCCGCAAATAATGTCACCTCCCACCCAAGGCGCCTCCTTCTCTCCTCCTTCAGACGACGGGAAGATAGTGGTTTCAATAGACTTCGGTGCGCCCACCTAATATGTGCTCCCGTGAGACAATCCATGTTCACATCTTCCCCAGGTACCACCTTCTCAGGAGTGGTGCGTCTGGCCCGGCTGGCCCGATGTAAGTCGGATGGTCTAATTGTTTCTAGGCGTATGGGTCTTCTCGGATAGCAGCGGGGAAGGTTCAACAGATACTGCAGTGGCCAGGCTCATTCGAAACGTTCAGGAAAGTCCCGACCTGTCTTCTATACGACGATCACGGGCAAGTACTGGCATGGGGACTGGAAGCGAAGAATGCTAGCCCGATGCCGGGAACCACGCGATGTGAATGGTATGATGTCTCATGTGGCGCTGCATCTCGTCCATTGATGTCTCGTCGCGCTCAGGTTCAAGTTATTTTTGGAACCCAAGGCTTTACGAGATGACGGGGAAATAGATCCAAGGCTGCCGCAGCTACCGGTACGTGCCTTGTTCTTACGGCGTGTCAAATTCGGTTCTTCATGACGCATACTGTCAATAGCCCGGTAAGAGGGCATTGGATTTGGTAATCGACTTCTTGTCCTGCCTATGGGAATACGCCAAGGAGCAAATAACCCGGGAGATTGGTGCCGTGGCTGACTTGGGTTGGTATGAAGTGGTTGACTTCGACTTCAGGTTTACTGAGTGTCGCGGTTGTAGATTCTGCCGATGTCTGGTTAACTGTACCCGCGGCGTGGGATGCCAAAGGCTGTGACATCATGCGTGAAGCAGCCATCGCCGCGGGCCTGGTACAATCCTCTCGGGCTGGTGACCGAGACTGGAGAGATCGGCTGCGTATCATCACGTTCGTAATAACTCTTGGGACTCTTCTTTTTGCAATTGCCTGCTCATCGCCCATGCCAACAGTGAACCCGAAGCCGCAGCAGTGCACTGTGCACATTTAACGGATCTGCACAAACTGCGACCAAGTCAAAGTTTCATCATATGTGATGCCGGAGGCGGTACCGTTGTATGTGGTTCTCGAATTTGTATAGGGATACAGGAACCAGGAGACTGATCCTACCTGTCGTCCTAGGACCTCGCGACATACAAAGTAATCGGACACATGACCAATCTCGAGATAGCAGAGATGTGTGCACGCTCGGGAGCTAACTGTGGTTCTATCTTTCTGGATCTTCGCTTCCGTCAACTTGTGGAAACTCTTCTGGCCGAGCACCCAGCTCACCTGGATCCTGCCAGCTTGGCGTATTTCATGCATGCGTTCAGCGAGACGGATAAATTGGCTTACATGGGTCCCATTGACGACGGTATGGGCTTCGGTTCTAACAGTTTAGATCGGATGCTCACTTGAATCAGACAAGCTATTTTACTTCACTTGTTTCAATGTGGAGGATACCGATGACCCATCTGTTGGTTTGATCAACGGCGAGCTGGCTATTCCGGGTCTGCTCCTACGTCGAGAAGTGTTCGAGCCTGTTGTCAATCAGGTCTGTAACTGCCGCCGGTCGCACGCTATTTAATTTAGATCCTACTAAAAATCCTCAATTAGGTCTTGGATCTAATAGAGGAACAAGTGAAAAAGACTGACAGGCCGATAGACGCCCTTCTGCTCGTGGGTGGGTTTTCCGGCAGCGAATACATGTTCAAACGCGTAGAAGTAAGCAGGTTCACTCATGTTATGTTATGATGCAATGCAGAACTGTGCTATGTGCTATGTTTCTAGGAACAGTTTGGCGATCGTATCAAGACAATTGCCCGGCCCGCGGATGCCGATACGGCCACTTGTAGAGGCGCTGCCCAGTATGGTCTAGCACGTAGACCGTTAGTCTCTAGTACGATTGTTCCACGATCCTACATTATGAAGGTTCGTGCCCCTTTCATGCCTGACATAGTCGCTTTCGCTGAGTAGACCCGATGTACAGGTGAAGCTACCCGCTGAACCTGAAGACTGGCTGAAGCGCCCCGCATATATCCGAGAGAACGAGGCGGGTGTCTCCATATGCGAGAACAGGTACGCTTTTACTAGGAATTGCTTAGCCTAAACATTGCTAAAGGTTCGGATAGGCTGCAATATCTTGTGGTCAAGGGGGCTATCCTAAGGAAAGGGTACGTAAAGCGTGGCTTAGGTAGCATGAACACCGCTCATTGCTAGGCAGGCAACGTGTCAAGACGAAGTTTTGGTAAGTGGCGGCGTTTAAGAGTAACTGCGGACACTAACCATATCGTAGCAAATTCTCTCAGTCCGCGCAAGGTATGAACGCCGTAGTTCCTGCCATATTTGCTCCTTCACGACAATCATCCAGATCGTGTCTTCGTGGCCACGCTGTATACATCGGACACGGATAAGGTCATGAGATACACGGACGAAGTAAGTGGTGCGGCAAGCGGCTGTCCAGAAGGACGCTCACGGAAACTACAGGGAGAAACTATGGAATTATGCAAATGGACTGTGGATCTCTCATCCTTGCCTAATTTCCAGCAGAATGCCAATATGCCTCACCCGAACGGGTTCTACACGGGTAGGTACAACTCTATGGTAACAAGGAGGGTGCCGCTGAGTTTCTGGCCCCCCCTCTCAGAATTCGAGCTTGGCCTGGAACTCGACAGCGCTGAAGTCCGCGGCATTCTCCTCTATCAGGGACAGGAATGGGGTCGGGTCGTGTTTGACTTTTTGGCTTAATTTATGAATCATTGTCTTAGTGGATGGGACTTTTATGGTTAGCGCGGGTCTGTTATTCCACGAGATCCGGGTGGTCTTGCTTCTCCTGCGGGAGGCCGAAGCAGTACTCTGCCGTGTACGTATACGTATCGGATCTACTACGGGAGATGCAAGATCTTGTATAGTCTACGTATATCTGACAACCCGACGTTCGTTGCGTATGCGTTAGCGGCTGCTAGCGGAAGTCGGCCATTCCCGACCATGACGGAACAGTGGAAAACTAAATGCCCGGCACCCGTGTCACGCCCCCTCGCTCTATGTACGCTCGTCTCCGAGTCTAACCCCTCAAATCTTCTCAGTTTCCATCTATGTTCCTTGTCGCACGAAACGAGCTGGCATAAGTAGTGGGCGGCAGCGCAGTTCACGCCAGCGTGATTGCCGAAACGCAGACGCTGATGATTTTCGCTGGACAGTTTGACAGTACGGCACACCGGACCTTTCGGATTGCGAAGTATAAGTGGGATCACCCGAGAACATACGCGTGGAAGAGGAATAGCATGGTCGGCGACGGCATTCACCAAGTGATTAGCTGGGTTTCACAGATTCTTCCGTCACCGTGTGCTCCTGAGCGGCCGAAGGCGCCATCCGACGATATTCCAACGTAAAGGTAGGTTATTCCCATCGAATTCCACCAAGGAGGCCTAACGCTGCAAATACTTTTGCAGTGGGGATTTGCAGCACATGGGCACTTTCCAGTCTCCCAGATCAACGCCATAGATTTACGTTTATGTACCTGGTCGTGCCACCGCCACATTGAACGTATCACCGAGTGAACGACCCCACGGAAACACCGCCCATTGCAACTGCATGCGCAGGGTTATCCTCGCCACTGACATCTTACGAACATTCTTCCGAAATACCTCAATTGTACTGATAATTGGCAAAATAGCGACGCCACAGCTGCACTCGCATCCGCTGGCGTGTGTACCTTCAATATTGCCGCATAAAGCATCAAGCATTCGGGTTTCCGGGTATCATCGCAGATTCCAAACTCTCGATAGCCCCTCCAAGACATATTCGATTCACTATTGCACGGTATAACGACAGCCGGGAATCTCCTCCCGGGTGTTTCGGCAGTTGCCGGACCTGGCTGAGCTGAGCACAATTTCAGTCGCGATCGGCTCGGTTTCTTGAGGCATCACCATCACATCCGCCACAACCGCACATGTATAAGAGCTGGTGTACCTGGTGCGTCCTCCAATGCTAACTTATTTTCCCAATGTCTCAGACACAACCATACCAGCAGCTCTCTGACATACCTCTGCCTACGCTCTATGGTCTCCTCCAACCCATCACCATCCCCCTCGCTTCACCTAGGGCGCGCTTCTCCAACTGGGCAAGAACTTACAGCTGCTCACCGGTGACAGTATTCGAGCCGGAGAGTGACTACCAGTGCGAACTCATCCTTGAGCTTGCGCGACGCGAGGGCAAGACCGTCCGCGCCGCGGGGGTCGGCCACAGTCCCAGCGACCTCGCATGCACCAGCGGATACATGGTGCGGACAGATAAACTTTGCCGTGTTCTCGAGGTACGAATCTTCGCCCCTTCCTTTTGCTGTGCCTTCTTGCGGGTTTGGACGGTTCCGCACATCCGGCTATCGCGTATTTTATCTTATCGCCTAATTTCATCTCTGATCTTTCGGCAATTGCCGCCACAGGTTGATTGCGAAAAAAGATATGTTGTGGCGCAGGCCGGCATAACTCTTCATTCGCTTCACGACGAGCTCGCCAGTCATGGCCTTGCGATGATAAATGTCGGCTCAATATCCGATCAAACACTCGCGGGAATAATCACAACCGCTACTCATGGCTCAGGCATCACATATGGTGTTATTTCCACACACGTTCTGTCCCTGACTTTACTCCTGGCCGACGGATCGCGAGCGCGGTGTTCACGGTCAGAGAATCCCGACCTATTCACCGCTTCCATATGCGGGCTCGGTACCACAGGCCTCATACTCGCTATTCAGCTGGAGGTGGAGCCGGCCTTCAGGCTCAAAGAGACGCAGTACACTATCAGCTTCGATGAAGGGCTTCAGACTCTTGATCGACTTGTACAGTCCGCTGAACACGTTCGACTCTGGTGGTTTCCTCAAGCTGATGATTTGCGTGTGAGCGCCGCAAACCGTTCTTCGGAGGTAACATCAATCATTCTTCGTCTTCTCTGTGGATATTCACCATGTGCTCCTCACAGCCAAAGACTTCGGCAACGAATTGGTTCTGGAATACGCTCGTGGGATACCACTTGATCCAGTTTTTGATGTTCCTTGGCCGTTTTATTGCGCCTCTGAATATCTGGACGGGTAAATTTGCATCTTGGGTCAGTAGCGCGCCAATCGTCGCTGTTGATGACAGTTTCCGTGTTTTCAACCTTGATTGCAAGGTGAGCGTTCTGCAAAAGTTTCCGTACTATGCCGACGTCTCACGATTCTTTCAGTATTTACAATATACAACCGAGTGGGCCGTTCCGTATGACCGCGCGAAAGCTTGTCTATTGGACTTGCGTTCGTGGTTAAATGACGAGCATAATAACCCGAATGGGCTGAGACCTCACTTCCCGATCGAGATACGGTTCTCCGAGGCAGACGACATTTGGCTCAGCCCCAGTAACGGTCAGAGGACGTGTTGGATTGGCATCATTCAGTACAAGTAAGTTCTCCGACGGATATTACCTTCTGACCTCTCTGATCGGTTCATGTCAAGACCCTACGGTTTCAAGGTATCCTACCGCAAACTATTCGAGCGCTTCGAGAACATACTTAGAAGGCACGCCGGTCGACCCCATTGGGCAAAGGCACACCCATTACGCCCTGGCGATCTCCGAACTCTGTATCCTCGTTTCCATGACTTCATAAACTTGCTTGAAGCAGTTGATCCGCATGGGATGTTCAGGAACGAATATGTAGAGCGGCATCTCTTCGGGAAGCGGGGCCCCGAAGTCGACGACAGGGTTTTCAAGTCCTCGCGACCGGGCACGCGCTAACCCCACAAAACAATAAAAATCAGGATCCATATAATGATTATTGAAGGTTCATCTATAGCATCGTTTATAGTTTAACTTCGTTGTAATAGCATCGTGGCGTTGTCGGACTCCGGGAGAGCCGGATAGTCCCCTCTTGGAATGTCGTCCTTATGAATGGACGTGGCTGGTTAGGACATCATCGAACATAGCGGACCCCATATTCAACTTCTGTATGAAGCTAAGCACTAACTGTACACGGGCTATAATAAATATGCTACAATGATTGCTACAATCCCAGCTGTTCCTTGATACTCTCCCTAACTATACGTTCATACTCCTGATGAGATGAGTTCGTGAGAAAAGTTCGAGTGAGATTGGCTGGTTCTTACCGCTTTATTCTCTCTGTACAGCTTGCAGCAATCGATGTTGGCTCCACTCTCCAGGTTGGGCTCTGTCCGTTCATCAGTAAAGCACACATCCGATTGTCGCGGCCACGTTGTGAACTAACCTGCTAGCATGGAGATCACGCTGAGAATGACCTTCTCTACGCTCTGTACAGGGCTCCAGCGCTCGGATGCAGACTCATACTGGGTCGGATCATCACCCGGAGTGTGGAGAATGGAAATGCAGACTGTCCCATCAGGGTAGACTGAACGAACTCAAAAAAGATTCGCGTGTCAGTGGCAGGCGAGAAACTTACTATTGGGATGGAATATAGGCGGGTCAAACTTCATCTTGAAGGGTGACAAGGGGTAGTCGGGAGGCTGAGAATGCCGGGATGAGTGTCTCGTCAACCCGAGCAGGCCGTATGACGCACAAAGGTCAACTTCGCGACAAAAACACCTCCTTCCTTCACAATAAGATTACTTCAGCTTCCGCCTGGGTACGAAAGGATAGATCCCGCTCACAAATGGTGTATCTTTCGGACCGACAATAAGCGCCTCCCAAGTGAAGAAATCCGACTCTGACACCGGGCCTAACACGAAGTATGAACTTCGGCGAACCACACGAAGGCTTCACACATCACCGACCAGCAGTGAACATCCCGTCAGGGGAACCTAGTGCTTGGGATCAATCACTATATTATAGTAGCAACTCCCTGGCCGCATACCTTGAGAGGTCAATTGTTTGTACTCCGTCATCAGTCGCCTGAGTGCCGTGGCGCTCCCAGAACCTCGTGCACTCATGGTAGCGCAGCGTGTCGTTAATAAATCGAGAGAAGTGTGTTGACTCGGTGCAATAATGTGGCAGACGCGAACGCGTTATTCGCGTGTAAAGCAAAGGCTGTCCAGGCTTCATCCGAGCCGCCGGCTCAGGTTGCATTCATCCAGCCACAAATTCGACATGTATACTGTCCACATCTCTTCTAGGTTACCCGCATATTATAATTAAATCCCCGTACTCCGCGGAACGAGAAAATGTCAGAACGGCACTGTTAATACTTCCTTGCTTTGTAACCTGTGTCGCTCGGCCGACGTTAGACGATAGTAGACGATGCACATGACTATGTATTGGAACGTGCTTGCAAAGCACCACGCAGTGATTATCGAGGATATCTCGGACGTACTTCGGCTCTCTGGTCCAGGACGCGCAGCGGCCATCCGATCGCAATTGCGCATGCGAATCCGTACGGAGTGATAGTGTCCCTTGCCATGGGCGCGCCGGGACATCCACTGTCGAACACCCGACGGTTCCCCGTCGACCAGGAAAACTGCGACCAAAACAATTGTCACGCGGGCGTTTCAAAACTTCCCCAGTGTGGGTCCAGGGTAGCAGAGGATAGCCGCCAGACATGAATGAACGTCAATGCTAAGCCGAGCGCAGGACTAAACAGGCAAATCTATCCGGAAAGGTCTTGCTCTGTACAGAAATGATGAACGTTGAAGGTACATACATGTCAAATAAATTAGATCATGCATAGGTTGCGTGAAGTACAGGAGGGGATCCGGGACGGTGTAAAAATACAGCATTATTTTGTCGTCGTCCTGACGCACCTCACGCGTCATCCAGGACCAACCGAGGAACAACATTCATCGCCATCAGCTAAGTTGACCATACATCAGTGGGCGTACAACTGAAGGACCCGGCGGTCCGCGTACCTCTTGGAAGAGCAGTTTCGCAGCATAAGGGATGGTGAGCTGCGCCATCTTCTTCGAGCTCTTACAGTATGTGCACCAGCCGTTATAGCCCATCAGACCGCACTCTTGACATGCATTGACCTCGAATTTGTCCGAAGATATCATGAGCCGCTCTAGAAGAAGCTGCGTCGCGCCATATCCGATGAGGCAGTCGCGCTCCATCTCTCCCAGACGCAAGCCTCCTTCCCTCGAGCGGCCTTCAGTGGGCTGCCGGGTCAGTGTAGCGCGAGGACCCCTGATCTCGATATGAGCCTCGATCGACCGTGGCGTAGCGCCAAGAGATCTCGGACATAAGGCTTACCGTGCTCGAGCGTGCATCTTGTCCATCACCATGTGTTCTGAGTAAACCGAAGTCAGTCTATATCAAGTAAGTGGCGACATAGGTGGTTCTTACTTAGTTTCTACAATAAAGATTGTAAGCGGCGGCGTGTAGCTAGGCACAAGAAGGTGACTTACCTGGTAGTAAATAGGTCCGAAATACACATAGGCCTCCATTGGTTCCCCGGTTATACCGCTCGTGAGCATATCTTTGCCAGCATAGCTGAAACCGTTTTCGATAAGAATTCGTGACATGTCCTCTACCTATTTTAGTTAGTCGGACCGGGTCTTTCTTCCCCGAAGAAGGGAGTCACCTTAGAGCCGCCGAATGCAGTGCCGTACTGCAACTTCCCGGAGAGTACACCAGCCTAGAAACCCCATATGAGCATGCTACCAGCCTCGGTGACCCAAAGTAGGATTACCTTGCCGGCCAGTAGTTCAATCATCTTTCCAACAGTCATTCGTGACGGGAACCCGTGTGGATTCATGATAGTATCTGAAGTCGTTGTTAATCAAACGTTCTACAAACTCTTGACAAGGGCCTCAAGACTTACCGGGCACGATGCCTTGGTCATTGAAAGGCATATCTTCCTGGTTGACAATCAATCCGCATACACCTTTCTGACCATGCCTTGATGAGAACTTGTCGCCCAGTTCAGGTCTCCGAGTTTGCCGGATCAGGACCTTGATGAGCGTCTGGTCATTTTCGGTATCTGTTATCATCACCTTGTCGATGTTTCCGGCCACAGGCGACTTATAGGTCAAAGGCGCGTTCTTGTAAGGGACCGTAGCTGCTTGACCCGAAAACGTGTTGTCGTTAGCATTCGAGGGCATCTGCTTGTTGACATAGACGTCTCCCGGATCAACACGCTCGCCGACGCCGGCTAACCCATCCAGCTGGATGATATCAAACTTCTTCTGTATCTGGCCATTTTCGTCTACAGGAGCATCCGCTAGACGATCGTACCTAAACGATTGAAGCTTAGTGTTTGAACGTTGTGGCAGAATCGCCGGAACTTGATACTCACGTGCCGTTGGGATATTTGCGGATCAGCGCAGTATTCTTTCGAAGCACTTGACATCGTCCATATCCCCGATCTAAGCTAGCCTTTTAGATATGAGAACATTAGCATCGGACCAAGGCACGGAGGGCACGTAGAAGATAGGAACGTGCCTTGTTAAGAATAAGGGCATCTTCGATATCATAACCAGAATAACTCATCACAGCGACCGTCGCATTTTGACCCGCCGGTAGTCGGTCATAGCCAACTAGTTCGATGGTCTTCGTTTTTACCATGGGCTGCTGCGGGTATACCAAAAGGTACAACAGTGTATCGATGCGGTTTAGTTGATTGAAACCGATCGCTCCGATGGCCTGTTTACCCATAGCACATTGATACGTGTTACGGGGCGATTGGTTGTGGTGAGGATATGGAATTAGACCCGCTACAGCACCCAGGAGAGTGAACGGCTCTATTTCGAGGTGCGTCGTGGTCGGCACGATGTCCGATTCGTACAGCGCAATGTAAGAATCATTCTCTTCGTTGACATCGAGATATTCCACGAGGCCTTTGTGAAGGAAGTCGTCGAATGTCAGCTCACCCTTCTTGAGAAGCTATGCCCGTAGAGTTAGTGGCCCGTACATATGTATAAGGCGTGATAGCGTACCGCAATGTGGTCGGAGGAAACACGAGGCTTTCCATTCTCCACAATGATCATCGGTCGACAGATGCGACCTCCATCAGTAGCGATTTGTACCGTGCGGTGGTGGTGATTGATGTACACGCTAACAAACTCGCTGAATCTCCCAGCTCGACGGAGCTTCCTAAAGTTACTGACGAAACGGGTGGGATAACGAGTTACGCCAATGATAGTGCCGTTCACATGGACCACAAAAGTGTTAGCTCCATAAATCTCCGTACCAGTCGCCAGGCTGATGTCTACGGGACGAAGGATCAGGGACAGGACCGCCTAAGGAACGGACGAGGGAGGCTTACCTTCTACACCAAGCATGTACGCAATACGGACAATCGGCTCCTCCTCCACGTCTGTTGTGATATGTGTCATAAGGGCAAGATTTTTTACCAGCCCACAGGCCTCCCCTTCAGGAGTATCACTTGGGCACAGCATACCCCATTGACTAGGCTGGAGAGCTCTAGGTCCGCTAACCTTCCTGGTCTTCTCGAATTGGGAAGATATTCGGGTCATCATACCCAGCGCGGAGATATAGCTCAGCCGACTCAGGACGTGTGTCACTCCGGCACGTTCCATCTTGAACCGTTTCAGTGACCAGTTGCCGGTGGAGATGGCGCGCACAAAACCAGAGGTAATGTGATCACCCTGGAATTGCATGGTGTTGAAGGCGTCGAACTCATTAGTCCTCGACGGTTTCTTGAGGACTTTATCAATAGCAGCTTTAAGGTTCGTGTTGAAAGTCTTAAACAGATCTTCAAACAGCAACGCAAGCAGCTGACCAGCCCTGAAGGATTATGGTCACTACTTTGACTACGGTCAGGGGGAGACACTTACAACTCCAACCGCTTATTACCTACATAATCCCGATCATCGCACATCTTCTCGTCGTGCATGGCCATCAGCACGCGTCTTGTCATCGTCGCGACGAATATTGCCTTTGACCTGAAGTCCAATCCGACCACAGGGACATGAGCGAGAACTATCGTTGCCAGCGCCTCGAGTGCTTCCTCCCATGCAGGTCGCCTGGGTCCGACTACTTTACGGTTGACCTTGACTCGGGTGCCGATGTACTCCAGAGCCTGGTGGCGAGTGAAAACTCCGAGTTTAGCTGCCTCCTCAAGATTGGCGGAGAAGGTGACTTTGTAAGCCTCGGAGTTGCCCGCAGTCAAAAGGAGTATCTCCTTATCCGACTGTATGCCCAAAGCCTTGAGAGCGATAACAATTGGAACATCCTCATGGATGGAGTTGTGACGCAGATAAATTTTGCCTTTCTTGGTGGCGACATACGTCTTCGACTTCAACCCGCCATGGGTCGACCTGTATGCAGTTAGGTAAGTCCAGACTGTTGACAGCGAGCAGCACTCACGATGTACATGATGCCTGCACGACGCCTTTGGCTGGATCGGTTTCGACAATGATACGATTCTTGCTAAGCTGCTCTTGAACCAAGATAACCTTCTCAGTGCCTTTAACAATAAAATATCCGCCAGGGTCCAGAGGGCATTCAATCATACGGGCCATTTGAGCTTCGGTCCGGCCAGTGAGTACGCACTTATTGCTCCGCAGCATGATCGGTAAGCGTCCGATGTTTACATTTGGTCTCCGGACGACACTCTTGCCTCTTGTGTATTGGATGGTCACCAAGATAGGCGCGCTGTAGGTGGTATCGCGCAGCCGACACTCGTGAGGAGTTACGCTCTTGTCTATGGCATCGGCGTCTGTGCGATCTGGAAAGCCAACTTGTATGTCGGTGTATTTCAACCAGAAGCGGGGATCTACGTCGGATGTAACTTTATTATTCGCCTTGACAATGTTTTTGATATCGACGTCCACAAAGTAGTTGAAAGAGTCAATATGCTGCTTGACCAGACCCTTCACTTTCAAGAATGCGGGTAACAAAAGCCATTTATCCTGTATAGACGTCTGAATACCAGGTGAACGGGTGACTCACGTAGGACGAACCTCAATACTCTTCACGGGGTCCGTGAGGCCCAGTCCTTTCCAGTGCGCCGCATCCGCATTCTGCCAGTCGTCCTCCTCGATAGCGAAGGGCCCCATGAGATCCCAGCGGTCGTCGTAGTCCCCGGTGAAGACGCAGAACGCGCCTTTAGCCTCTCCCCCCGAGTCCCCGATCGTAACTTTTATGGATCACGTGGCTCGCGGTATATATAGGGGCAAAGGAAAGCGCCGACATCAGATTCGGTACCACTTGCTCAAAGCCACTCCAGTCGTCATTTGTGCGCATCGTCCACCATCGGATAACCTTTGCAGCGATGGCCTCGTCTTCCAGCGCAACGGGAACGCCGTCGAACACGCTGCTTCTCCGACGGCAGCTTACTGAACTCATGAAGCATCCTGTAGAAGGCTTCTCGGCAGGTTCGTGTCCCACTATCGTGCAGCGACAACCTTCAATGCGTTCCTAACAGATTTGACGTGAAATAAGGACTTGTTGATGAGAATAACTTGTACGAGTGGGAGGTTATGATCATCGGGTTAGTCATGTCCATTCTTTGTCCGTTTATACTGCCGCTGAACGCTTTACAGGCCACCGGACACGCTCTAGTAAGCGTTCACCCGAACTCCCTGATATCAATGGCATATATAATACGTACTTGCCAGTGAGGGTGGTTTCTTCAGGGCGCGGCTATCGTTTCCTCCGGAGTTCCCCATTCAACCGCCCACGATGAGATTTATTACCCCAATGTGGCATCCGAATAGTGAGTTCTATTGTCTTGCTCATGCCCATGAATGCGCTGAATATTTCGTGAAGTCTATGCGGATGGGAAGGTTTGCATTTCGATCTTAGTATGTCCTTGTCATCGATAACAAGTGTAATATATGATTGATCAGTCACTAATATCTATAGCACCCGCCTGGTGAGGACCAGTATGGTTATGAAGACTCTGGAGAGCGATGGCTTCCTGTGCATACTGTGGAATCAATCGTGAGTGCTATATATCGTCTAAATCAGACGATGTTAATAACCGATCCTTTTACAGCTACTCAGCGTTATATCATTGCTGTCGTCGGACAAGCCTAACCTAGACAGTCCGGCCAATGTGGACGCGGCCAAGGAAGTGCGAGAGGATTTCGCGAGTATGTTTCCTTGTTTTTTTCTTTGTCAGTATGTATGTCTGATTGTATTGATGTATGATCTATAGCATACAAGAAGAAGGTCCGACATCTCGTGCGCATGAGTGCAGAGGCGACGTTTGACTGAGACGCTCTCCGGGTTCTCTGTCTTTCCATCGTTTTTCGGTTCTCCGTCGTCTGCACTGGTCATCACTTGTTGAATATCTTCTCACCCTTACGAATTTGATCACGAGTTTCTGCGTCTGTATCACTGTAGCTCTATCATTACTAGCGGTTTCCTCCTATTGCTGGGACATCTCCCGGTTGACTCTAGCTACGTCTCGGCTGTGCGTAATGGTGGTGCAGAATTTCGCATATTGGAGTAGGCTTGAGGCTAGTCTCTATTCGTTGAAGCAGTATTGCGGCTGCGTCTTCGCAAGTCTTAGTGAATGGGATAGACAATACTCTTGCCCCAGGGGCATGATGTCACACCAGCACCAAGTCCGGGTACGGTGCTCGTGATGGCGTGGTGGTTTGAAGCAACGCCCTCGGACGCTGAGGCTCAAACCTCAACAGTACGACCCGAGCATTACTTGCGTCCTACTAGGACCGACGATATATATGGGGTCGTGGCCAGTCTACCAGTGTTTGTCCACAAGGCTGCAAAAGCCTATGACGGTCCGTTTGCACTTTTAATAAAATGCGCACACTTGTACTATCATGCGGTACACCACATATATAATCCTTCATCCCCACCATAAACTCTCAGGTCTGATTGCGTATATAGACTTGCAGCACAACAATGCATACATATAAGTATGGTCGTTTGAGTATATAATGTTGTCAAGCCTCCCTTCTAAGGCGTACCCATGTGCCTTGCTATTTTACTACCAATTTTATTTTCACATTGAAACGAGTGATTCAAGTCTAAGTCTAATCCTCTCTAATCCTTCGTCCATGGACTCCGCTTTGGCTTCCCCGGCGATGCAAGTGTCTTCCCACCGGAATACCCAAACTCATCCCCAGATAACGCCTGGGCACCAATTGGTCCAGTCCCCCCACTGAAAGATCCTCCTCCGAATAACTCAAACCCAGGATACTCCAGATATGCCTCCTTGTCCGCAAAGGGATCCAATCCGTCTACACCATCAGTCAGTACTACAGCAAGCACGGTAGCATTACTACCAGCACATACCTGATGGCTCTTCATCGGTCCTGCTGCGCTTCACCTCCACAATCTCAACCTCGGAATCACTTGCTGGCATCCTGCCTCTCTTCGCAACCAGTCGCTCTGACTTGCGCTCTTGATGTGCAGCCGCCTTGATATGGGCAGTAAACTCCGACTCCTGAGTCCCCTCGCTTCCCGAGTCGCTGTCAGAGCTCTCCGAAGGTGTCTCTGCAAATAGTTTACCCTTCCGAACTAGGATAGGCCGGTTGACAGCCTTACCGGGATCAGCTTCCTTGCCCTTGCCCTTGCCCTTATACGCAGGGCGAGGTCTAGGGCGCTCAGGAGATCCTTCATTGTTGGAAGAGCTGTCGCTATTCTCTTCTTCAGTCGTTTCTTCACCAATGTCTTCCGTAGGAGAGATTGCCTCTGGGAGGCGATGGCGAGCCATGTCCGTAGCAGCATCCCAGTCCTGTAGAACGGAGAGCGGGATTAGATGGCTGGTAGCTGAGTTTGTAATCAGCTTTCATATCATATGAATCATCGCCGGACATACTAAAGTATAACGTCATCTTCTCTGGCGGTAAGCCAGTTCCTCTTTGCCGTGCGAGATCACTCCCATTTATTGCAGGGCGCCTGATTGAGATGAACTTGCCATAGTGCCGTCCCAAGAGACCCCAGTGGTACTCTCCATCACGAGGTCTTCCATAGCGCACATCCAAGTACCGGAATGGCTGAGGAAATAGCTTCCGAAGCCAGGAATCAATAGCTTCTGCACTCCACTCTCGGTGAAATGTGGGCATTCCATCACCTTCACGATCGACTACCAGACCTGCTTCTTGGTAGCTCTTCCGACCCTTCTGGCCATTTTCTATTATTTCAGGCGTAGGGACTTCCTCACGTCGGACTTTACCAGAGCTCTGAAAGTGTATTCAGTCATCACTACTCTCGACCAAGTAATCTGAGGATATGACGTGCTCACCTTCAGTCCATAAGGCATCAGTAGAACCATGCCAACTTTTATCCCCCTCGACGCTTGCGCTTTGGGCTTTAGGGTCACCTTGACTACCTTTTTAGCACCTCGAACCTTCTGTATACGCATCAGGATGTAGTCGTGGCCATAATATGATGGCGGCTGACCTTGAATCGAGTGTCATTACCCTGGGGCCGATGGCCCTCCCAAGCACCATCCACAGCGACATCGTCAACCTTCCTGAACCCGGCGTTCGCCTCTCTTCGTGCCTCAGCCTCGTCTGCCTTCTCCGGTAGGCGCAGCCTTGGTAACTTCACTGAATACTGGTCGACAATGCTGGCGACAACTCCCAAGTCTGAGCCACCGGTGGAGGGCAGTGGGATGGGTTCATCGGCAGTATGCAGGAAGTCCTTGTGCTTGCATCCGCACTTGTCTTTCTTCTTGGGTACATAGCGCTGACACCGACAGGCGTTACCGTCCTTGTCCAATCCAGCACAGTAAGGCCGGTTTGAAGGCAGGACAGGAGGACCAGCACTAGAGGAGGACATTGTGCGCAAAGGGACTGTGGACGCAGGGCACAGACAACGTGCAAAGGGGTAAGAGCAAGAGCGTTGAGCAACCTGCCTGCAGAGACCCTAATGCTGGCGAAATAGTGGACCCGGTCACCACTGTCAGTGCGGGCCGCCATGTTATCCGCTAGATTTCAATCGGGACTGTAGTAGTTCAGTTTGCCAAATCAAAACATATCGCCCTCTTGCTGAGCAGGTGGGACCAGTCTCATACACCAGAAGCTATATACAACATGGTCAGCATCACCCATATCACCGCCCAGAACCATGCATCGCTCAGAGTGCAAAGGGCATGAAATTTGCCCTCAGCCATCTGAAGCGGGCCCTCCTAAGTTGGAGCACTCGATCGAGGGGCTGCCAGCGGCTCCGACGGCACCCGCCTTATGCCATTCAATATATCATCAGCTTGGCCTCGGACGGCTGATGCGTATGGTGGGAACACAGCCATTTGGTTGAATACGGCGGCGAAGGACTGGGTGGTAACAGAATGGGCCGTCAGCGCATCAATACGGGCATGAAGAAGAGGAGGCTGGGAGAATAAGGGAGACGGACGGGCGGGGTCACTCTACACCAGTTCAGTAGTACTTGCATCAACCAATGTTGAAATACGTATCCTTTTACCGGGGACTCCAGTCATCATCCCTTTTTGTGAAGGCCACAATGGCCTTTAAGCAGGGCAAATGATTTCGTGAAAACGTTCCCAAGTTGCATGAAACATGCCCGCGTTCCAGTTGAACGCGTCATGTTGTAAGTCGGTGGCAGTAGACATATTCCCAGATCGCACGAAGTCAGCCTTGATGCATTGATGCGCCACATCCTTTTCCTCCGCCTCGTCGAGTCTGTCTCCCGCATCCCTCCCCAGAGTCCCGCACCTGCTGCCCCACTACTCCCATGAACCTCATCTCGACCACTCGCGCGATTGGCGAGCACTTTATCGACGGCAAGAGCAGCTACCTCTGCCGCGCTCGAGGCTCTGGACAAACACCTGCATATGCGCTCCATTTTTCCAGGCATTCGGCATGCAAGACTAAGGTCTGTTGCCTCCCATTCCATTCTCTCACTCTTGCTTGCTAATTGCTTGCCTTATGCACCGGCACAGTCCTGTGCACGTACGGCATTGTTGGCAGGCTCGTCTGGACGAACAGGACCCCACGAGGAATGGGCAGGTGAGTGCAATGAAGAATTGCATAGGTTTCAGGGGAGGTAACACCTTGTTACCTCCCCTGCTAATTGACCCACTTTAGCCCAAATCCTCGCCCCAGCACACACACATGCATGCTGAAGACAACGAACGCGTGCCCACTCCCAGCCGTGCGGAGGTGCGCAAACTCCCGCCTATCCAGCAGCCCTCGCCACTGGGTCCAGATGTACGCGAGATGTCCGACTCTCTGCAAGCAGAGCGAATCGAGGCGTGATTGATGACATCCCGGATGATGGCGCGGCGACAAGAGCACAGAGGTGAGCTTGTCATGGCGACTACATCTACATCCTGCAGATTGATGGTTCAGTACATCTAGTGAAAAGCACGGGTTACGGGAACCCGTGTGGGTAAGGGTAAGGGTACCGGCGGGTATGGGTATGCGGGTCGCGTTTGGCCGTATCCGTAACCCGGCGGGTCTCGAGAACGCATCGTTCGACGCGCTCTCGAAACCGAAACCGCGAGTACCCGCGTACCCGTACCCGACCTGTCGACGCGGGTTACGACGCGGGCGCGATATGGGTATGCGGGTCGCATTTGGCCGTATCCGTAACCCGGCGGGTCTTGAGAACGCATCGTTCGACGCGCTCTCGAAACCGAAACCGCGAGTACCCGCGTACCCGTACCCGACCTGTCGACGCGGGTTTCGACGCGGGCGCGATACAGGTACGCGCCGGGAGATTGGAAAGTCACTGGCAGCTGCAGCGAAGTCATTGTTTCTTGTTTAACGGTTGAAGACTTGGGCTACGAGATATGACCGTGTGCATATGCATCATTCAAAAATACTAGTAATGGGAGACTGGAGGTTATTATAATTATACACTGGCAGAGTACTTGTATGATCCAACCTAGGCTACATGTCAAAATTGCATCATGATCAATGGATTGGATAAGACTATGCATGGGTGTGATGGAAATGAATAGCAAGAACATCCTGTCGTCTGATACGGCTGCATTTCGGTGGCGTGGAACACATCGGTGGCGCTGGATGCGTCCGACGTGCCAGACATTGTTGACGCGCTCGCGCGTTTTCGCGCCGTTTACTGTCACCCGCGGCTCGCTGTACCGAGTTTCCACGCACGGGCCTGCTTTACCAGGTACATACGGTCGGTCTCACTGCGTTCTGGTCATAGCGGGGCCCCTCTGCATTCACAGAGAATGAGCGGTGAGTGGCATATCGTCTGGCTGTCATCCAAAGCACGACGGCCCTGCCTCTCTCTGGTCTTGTCGCTGGCACGCACGTCGACCTGGGTGATATTGCAGACCTTTGTGTGTCGGCAGGTTGGCGCTGTAGTGGCTGGTGCAGGGGCAGGGGCAGCAGAGGCTGGCATTCTTAACAAGCCTTGGAGCCTGTATACCCATAGTGCTTGCTAATATGATCCTTTGTAGCCATCACGTATGCCTGTCGAGCTTTTCGGGAGGTAGGCTGCTTTAACTTCAATCCACCGCCGTTACTGACTCACTTTTGGCCACTAGTTGCGCGCACTCTGGAGTGTCTCAGAGTCCACGCAAACGTACGACACTCGGCGTACACGCTCAGGCCGTGTGTTTTCACCCTGGACCCTGGATAATGTTATCAAGCCCAGGGACGTCTTTGATGTCAACAGCGCGCTCAATGCCTGTGAAGACATAGCCTACCAGCGAGATGCGGCGGAAGGGAGTGCTGGCTTTGATGAGGATGACCAGGAGTTGAGCCCTGAGCCGTATTGGCTATATGTGGGTATGTTGTACAGTCTTATTATTCTGTGCTTGTTGGCCCCTAACATGACTGGCATCAATCAGCCAGCAAACCCACCGCTGCCTCCCTCATTGGAAAGACAACCCCTCCTGTCCCGACTCTGCCCTCTATTCCAGCTCCTGCCTCTGATGCCAGGACCACATTGGCCCCCTCCTCTTCACCATCCTTTGACTCTGCTACGGTCCCACCACTGTCACTTCTCTCCTCTGCTGAGAAGCAAGCCTTCCGCCGCCGCAAGATGAAGACTGCGAATCGGAGGAGGCGCGTTGAGGAGGACTTGGCCAAGATTGAGGCCAGAGGCCGCCATACTCTCAAGCAGAAGTCTATTGCCCTGAAGCGTTCTGGGGAGGCCCAGGTGCACCCGATTTCCTCCGATATCCACCAGCTCCATCAGGGAAAGAGTGGCTACCAGGGAGTTCGGAAGGCCATTGGCTCTGCGGAGAAGCATGAATACGTGCTTGATGATCCAGAGATCAAAGCCATGAAGTATGTTCAATGGGACGGCATGTGAGTATTAACAGTGACTCACCTTTATGAAATATTAATCGGCTCTACAGCACTCCGAAGGCGATATGTGACCCTGACGCTGATGTCCCTATCCTTGTCATGCTGGCAGGGGCCCCACGTGATAAGGACTGGGCCAATGTGCAACAAGGTGCCTTTGAGGCTATGGAGCATGCTCAGGGCAGCTTCCGCTGCAGCAAGAAGAAGCATCGGCGAGGCGACTATGTGGTGGCGGCCACAGGCATATCCTATGGCGGTGGACAGAAAGTAAGTCCATCTCTGGCCTTTGACGTGGAAGGTAACTGATTATTGAGCTAGGCTCCAGGGAACTTGGCTATACAAGGGGTGATTAACCTGATGGTAATCAGGCTGCTCCTTGATAATCCATACATAAAGCGAATCGTTGGTTTTGCTAACCGTGAGTAACTCAGAGTTTCTTTTAAGGGTGGAACTGACTTTGCGTCCAGAGGCCTTTGATCTCTTTGCACCTCGCCTCTATGCCTACTATGCCAAGACGATGGACGATCTCTGCAACTGGAACCCTAAGCTAGAGAGGCATTATCCACGGTCGGTTTTTGCCTGCTGCGCGTGGAATTTGGCCAAGTCAGTCTGGACTTTTATCCATACTGACCACCTGAACCTCGCTTTTGGGTGGTGTGCTGTCACAGCACTGGGCAAGTTTGATCCTAGGAAGGGTGGCCACCTCATTATATGGGATCTCAAGCTTGTGATTGAATTTCCCCCAGGGTCGACTATTTTTTTATGTTCTGCAATTCTGCGCCATTCTAACATCCCTGTTCGGCCTGGGGAGAGCAGGTTCTCATTTACGCAATGGACGGCTGGTGGGTTATTTAGATGGACTGACTTTGGGTTTCGGTCAGCTGGGTCATTTGAGAAGGAGGTAGGAAAGCAAGCTGCTGAAGAAGCAAATACTGCGCGTTGGCGAGAAGGTGTATCTTTGCTCCCCCGTCTATCAGATTTATGTTGTTGGGCAATATAATAGATCTTTTTGTGTTATGCTACTCTGAATCACTACTATCACTGGTTTGAATGTCCAAGCGTGATTCAAACTCAGCTAGGAGAGTCAATGCCTTCGTCCATGTTACCGCCCGAGGCCACCATGTCTGAAATCCTAATCCAATGCTTACATGTTTCCTGCCACTCTTGATCGACTCAACTTCAGGGTAGCCAGCCTCAGGCCACTCGGAAACATGGACATTCAAACCCAATGGGATGAAATCCGCTGCCAAGAGATCTTGGAGAGCAGATAAGAAATCACCAGTTATATCATCGGGAAAAGGACTGCTGGACTCTGGGACAGCAATAGGATCATGTCGTACATGTCGCTCTTGGTCGGCAGCAATCATGTCATCAAGCTGTTCATCTTCTTCTTCAACGTCTGAATGACCAGCGCCAGTTTGCCCAGGAGGGCGAAGGTCGCCTGCGGAGTCAACCCCATAGTATCGGTTTAGGATGTCAGGATGAATATCCTGAAAGTCGTCGCCATAGACCCCATGTTCCATTTGACCTACAAAGCGCATGTCCTTTGGGCACAAAGCAGTTAGAGAGCTAGAGCAAGATGCGAAAGAACAAATGACATACTACCGGCGTTTGGTCATGGCCCTCCCCAGAGATTGGGTGATGGTTCCACTCCTCCTTGAAGTCTTCACAATCTTGTCGTAGCTCAGGCAGGAAAAGATGATGAAGAAGCCATAGATGTGCAGGGTTCTTTGGGTCCAGCTGATGGAGCCGTTCAAGTCGAGAGAAGAAGGCCCGCCATCGCCGCGCAAACTGAGCTCCGACCTCAACCCATAGTCGCTCAATTCTGGTGTTCCGAGTGGAGCTGCCAGAGAGGTGAACAGGGCAGATGCAGAGGAATACAAATAACATATACCTTCCCCACATGAAAGAAGCACGGTTGGGACCGCGGTGCTTGATAACCCACACTGCTACCTCGATGTTTTCACCTCCGCGATCTCCCCGAACTCTGGATGGTAGTCCGTAGATGCCAACTGCATCAAGGAATAGGTTGAGAACTGTAGATACACGGTTATTGGTGTTTACTTGTATGCCTACAACCTAAACATAAAGATCAGTTGTGGAAGGGAGACAAGCTGCACCGAATAACGCACCGTCCTGCAAAACCCATCTACCATACCATGGACAACAAAGCCCCACCGGATCAGCTTATGGTAGCCATCAATGTGCCATAGATAATTGGGTCGTGGAACGCTGTACTCCTGCCGGTCAATTGCCTGATGGTTTCGGAGCACTTGACCAAGTCCATCAATGCGCCGGAGAGACATGCGAACCCGACGCTTCTGGACACGGAGGCCGTGGCGCTTCAGGAACCCAATCACATATCGTAGACCGGATGTTGGACGGTGCTTCTTGTAGAGCTGCACAAGCAAGTCAATGTCGGCATCGGAGATCTCAGAAAATCGGTGATAGACGCCATGCATCTTAAGCTGCTTGCTGACTGCATTACGGTGCATTCCGAGAAGTTCAGCCAGCTTTGTGATCGTAATTTTCCGTCGGGTTGACATAGCTTCGATAAGCCAATTCGGATCAATGACTTTACGAGGGCGACCACGACGGCCAGTGCGTTCCACGGTGACTGGAACAATACGGTGGATCTCGGATTGCTCGCTGGAGATATCATTAGATACTGGCGAGGATCGGACACACAACATGGACGTACACCCCTTGTGCCGCAAATGCAGCATCCTCTAATTCCACAGTCACCTTTGCTAGCGCATGAGCACAGTCTGCAGTCCATTGATCATTGCCCACATCCCTCGCCAATGCTTCCAGGATAGGTAGCATTCTCTTATAGATTTGTTCTGAGTGGATCCGGAGACGTAGCGGGTCACCATCTTCTTGTCGTAGGAGTTGAGTCGCTCGTGCATATGCCTCAGAAAGAATACCATGGGCACGCTGGACATTGGCAGACCAAATCTCAGACTCAGGGTGTAATGGGAGGTCAGGGAATGTCAGAGGGCGTGGATTGTCCATGTTGCAGTATAGGCAAGAGTGAGGATGACTAATCAGGGTAGACCACACGTCCTCAATCCTCAGCCAGCCACAACATCCAATGGACAATAGGCATCATCCTCTGTTCTATTACCCAGACGGGTCTTTGATTATACAGGTTAGTGATACCAAAGGGTACAAAAATCACTAAAGGTCAATTGAGCTGCAGGTGGGCAAGAACCGTACTCTATACAACATACACCTGGGACTGCTAGCCGACCGCTCTGAGACATTCCGGGCAATGACAGGGCTTCCACCACCAAGGGAGGGGCAAGAAGGAAAATCGGATGACCATCCCATGGTACTTCCTGAGGGTGTCAGTGAACCAGAGATGGATAGCTTGCTCGATTACATGTTCAAAGCGTGAGTGGCCTGCACATCAAGATTAACAAGGGCTTACCAAGAATACCTCAGGCGGCATGATGATGGAGTGAAGCAGGAGGATCTGATAGCTATCCTCAAGCTGTCGACAATGTGGGAGATACAAGATGGTCGCGAATACGCAATCAGGAGGCTACCTGAATTGATCAGAGGGAACGCACCTCTTCAGTTCTACCTTGCCCGGACTTATGACATTGTGGACTGGGTGGAGCCAGCCTTCAGGGAGCTGTTGAATACACCAATCCAAACAATCACAAAAGAAATGGCTCACGAGATCGGTCCTGAGGCATTCTATGTCCTGACTCACACAAGTGCGCAAATATCGGAGCACCGTCTTCTCCTTGCCTTCTTCCCATCAGATCCTGTTATCAATCCCGTCTGCCCTACTCCAGCCCTGTGCGCTAGCTCATGGACCAAGCAATGGTGGCACGGACTTGCAAAGCATCTCCTGCATCCAGACAGCACCTTGACCGGAGGACAAGTACTGGGGTTGTTGGAGGCAGCTCGGATTCCAGGGATGTGCATAGGCTGTCAAAAGGTAAACATCGACTGGGTACGAGACCAGGGAGTGATGGTACAGGATGAAGCAATGAGGGAGAAAGCGCTCAAGGAGGTGTTACTCTGGTTCATCCCTGAGAAAGTGGGGCCAAGCGAGCACGACGTGGGGAAGGAAGGAGCGGCGAGTGGAGAGGCTCAGGAGGAACAGGCATAGGACACAGCTTGAGAATGTGTATATACATAGATAATTCTTTGTGCTGGCAAGTGTGTATGCGTGATGCTAATGTGTACGTGCGATGCAATGCATGCGAAGCGGATTATGTGATCAATTGCCATATATGTACTCATTTTTATTAAAAGTGCAAACGGACCGTCATAATAGCCTGGGGAAGGAGCGAGTTGCAGGTACACCCAGAGGGAAATTACCCACGTCTTACTAGTCGGTAACAGGTCCGGATACGGGGCGACGGCCGGTGGTACCAAAGTTCGTCTCCGTGGCTGTCAAAGTTGGGAGGGAGCCACATGCGCGGGGAGTATACGTCCGAACTCAGGTACAGCTGAATTGCAGCTGCACTTGGACCATTCCTTCCGACCTTTCTCTGTGCGAACCGGAAATTAATTGAGCCTCAAACGAAGTTAGCCCGATCCAGTTTTCCGCTCTTGACGGCAAGACTACAGTGTATGTCACTAAGAGTCGGCACCTCTGTGGCACCTTAATTATGCCGCCGTAGGCAGCGAGAAAAAAATTTGAAACATAAACCTGGTCAAAAGACGCGTAATCCTGCATTTGCATTTTTTTGGGTGCTTACGTAAGCGTTCAAATATGGGGTCACCGAGCGTAACCTCATTTATTTGGGAGCCAGCTGCGTCCTGATCACTGAATATGGTTGTATAATACGTAAATGGGGGTCTCCGATGGAATTCCTGCGATAGGGAGTGTCCCACACGTCCAAAGCAAGTAGTGCCTTCACCCTAACCCTAGCCAGGCACGTGGCTCGGCTACCCTGGCCGTGATTACAAAGCTTCTCTTTATGGTAACTCCGCTTCATCTCCGACCCAAATTCAAATATGTGAAGGATTAAATTCTTAAAAGTCGGAATTTCGAGAAAATAATCAGATGGCTCGAAAGCTCTCGTGAAAAGGAATCAATTGGTCTGGTTTTCGGGACCTAAAAGTCGTTTCTCACGATCGTGATAGGATCCGCGGCTCGCCTATTGCCGAGTGGTCGGTTTTGAGCGCCTCACACTATACGAAAGCAAAACTTGACACTAAGAACGAACCAGGGTCAGCGAAGACAGTTGCATGGTAGATCTGCGCAGGGCGTACGGAAATTTCTTTTCGTTCAACATGACGTACACGCTGCATCCAGGGCCAAACCTGCTGAGGACAATCTGTCAACGTCAGCGAAGAGCTCTAACTTGAAGACAGGGTGTGATGGCAGTTCCGAAGCGGAGCTTTTGGGAGAATGTGGACGGGTCACGCTGTAGATAATCAGCAAAAGATAAGTAGTACATGCCATGCATAGCATTGGCTTTCTGATATAGCGGCGATCAACACTCACTGGGGTGGTGTCCCATGGATACAGAGTCAATTTTAACATCCGGAAGCGAGCAACACAGAGGGCTATGGCCGTCACGGGTCATCAACAAGGGGTGCCGGTCGACTTATCAGAGGGGCACTTGGACGTCGGCTTCGCGTGTCTGCACTGCTGCTGGTGGATAACGTTGTCGCAAATTTTGCGACCGAACACAAGTAAAGGGGGATGTCTTGCCTGTGGTGATCCCCGGTCATCTGAGACTAAACTCGAGCCCTGAGGAAGCCGGGGGATTCACGACCCTCATTGGCAAGACAACGCATCGGAGACTGGAGGGGATTTGTTCCTCCGGGTGACTCTGTGCTGTTCTGAGTCCCCAGGATCACGTCAAGGCTCCTAATGTCCACCGTCCAGACGTACCGAACCGACGGCGAATGAACAGATCCGAGGATCAACGTACGTACGCTGCATCCGAGTCTTTCATGACTCCAGGAGCTTTGTCCCTCCGACTGGCTCTGGACATGCTCCGCTCCGAGGTCCCAGGATCATGTTAAACATTCACCGCGCAGAGTCCGAGTTGAAGAAGGCGAAGGTGAACGAGCGCTGGGTCCAAGTATCAATAATAATAAAACGCCGCATTTTTCATGCTACAGCAGGTAAAGAGCCGACTCGGAAGGGGGCGCAGGGAAGCCTGGCGCGGCTCGTACATACATAGCTCTAGGGTTTAGATGCAAGCTTGAAAGAAGGATGGCGTGGCACCGCGGAGTCCGCGGAGCTCGTGAGGGGGTTCGGCGACCTTCGGCACTAGGAACCGAATTTATGAGACACCTGTGGATCGCAATTCCAAGAAAGGGCCGCAAGTTGTACGTGAGCACTTGCTAGTATTACAGAGACACATTTTACAGTAATGATACATCCAGATACACAAAGACAGGCGAAAATATCGATAGCAAACAAATGAACGACGAAAGCTACGAAAGCGGAACTTCGGGAACTATCTAGATTATGCGCCTTTTCCTTCTCGCCAGATCAAGTTTCGGAGGCAAGATCTCCTGGCTTCACAGGAACGCTCGCCGCGCTGCCCTCCTGCCGCAAAGTCGGGGCAAACTGCACCAACCCCTCCCTCCCCTTCTCTCCGACGGCAACAAACCCGACCTTCTTCACCGCCCCCTCATCTTCCCTCGTATCCCCGGTATCTTCCGTCCCCACAGTTCCCCTCCCAACCGTTTCCTTACCGATCCACGTCGTAGTCGTCGTCCTCCCGCCCCCAGCAAACATCCCGCTAATCCTGCTCCTTAGCCCAGTCGCCGCCTGGCTGCGCGAACGCGTCTTAAAGTGGATGTCCTCCCCGGTGTCGTCCATTTCCGAATCGCCTGCACCGCCGTCCGCGTGCATGCCGAGCGCGCGGAAGAGCGAGGTGGCCATGACGGGCAGATTTGCGACGGTCAGCGAGAGGCAGTCCTCGATCGCGGCAATGAGCACGACCTTGGTCCCGCCGACGGCGATGATGTAAGCCGCGTGCACGAGAGAGACTACCGAGGTTACGACTGGATTAGAGAGTGCCGATGGTTAGTGGGTGATATTAGAAGGATGCGAAGGGAGGGCATACTGGAGGTCGAGAAAATGACCATGAGGCGCCGACGAAGGCCTTTGCTTTGGATACCCCTGATTAGCCGCAAGGGAAGGAGCATCAGCAACAGGTCGGAAATCACATCCGCTAGATCAATCGCAGCCGTCAGCCTTCCAACCGGGGACTGCGCACACAACCCGGTACTCACTGACAATCTGGCAGATCGCCACCTGGCTGCCAAGCTCGCACTGTGGGCTCTTTACGTCTTTCCAAGCGCGCTTGCTCGGGGGCTCGCAGACCCACATGAGCTGGCAGAAGAAGAAGACGATCGCGAAGATAAATACGCCCGCGACGTACTTGAGGCGGTGGCGCATGGCGGGGTCGGGGTCGATGCGGATAATGGTGAAGAGGATGGAGAGGCGCGCGGACCATATAATGGTGTAGAAGGTGACGGCGATGAGGTAGTAGGCGGCGACGCGGCTAGTCTTGGAGAGCTGCGCCGGGTTCTCGACATGCATGAAGATGCCAGCAAATTGAATGAATAGGCTACATAAGACGAGAGATTATTAGCAACAGATATTCGCTGTAATGGCCGGTGCGGCGTACTTGATGAGGGCGAAGAAAGCCCAGGCATCGTCCCACCAGTATCGGCCCCTACGGATGTAGAGCCGCGCGACAGTCATGAAGATTGCGACGAATCCGCAGACCGCCTGCGTCACTGTGAATCATTGATGATCGTCGTTCAGCGAAACTGCGCTCTCCGAGAATGTCTGTGGAAGTAGAGAGGAACGTACGTTTGATCTGGACGAGCGGATCCTGCAGGTTGAGCCCCATGGCGAACTACGTCCAAGGCAAACGCAAAGGAGCGTGAAGACGGTGGTGGTGGTGGTGGTGGTACAGAAGAAAGAGCGGCCTGAAGCTCAAGCCTGAGAGCATTGGCGACGTATAAAGTCAGGAAACTTGGTCTCCGCGTTCATTCCATCAGCAGAGGAAGGAGTTCTTAAAATAGGCCAGTTGGCCAGTGTGGCCCACATGCCTGGCGAGTGGCGGTGTACATTTATTTAGATCGCATCATGACGATCTCGGCTATCGGCCATCTGCCCAGTCTGCTCCAGTCCTCCTCGGTAACTTCCAGCCAATCCTCGCTCTGCCCTCACTTCCCTTGTCAATGTACAAACGGCTGAGGTAAAGTCTGCTCTTTGCATCGACGTTCTGCCTAATTACAGTGAAAAGGGACTGAATAAACGCAAAGGGCTGAAGGCTATAGCTGGATGCTGGGTGCCTTGATTGACAATGTCTAGATGCCTCCGTATTCCATATGTGCCTTGTTCCGCTATGAATGCGAGAATCCGGCGCCTGTTTCCTAGAATAGCCTGTTGACTCTCATGCCTCAAAGGCGTCATCAGGCCCTGAAGCTCTGTATACACAGTACTCTATAGCAAAGTCTCTTGCCCTCCTTATGAATCATGCGAATCATGATGGCAGAACCAGCCTGGCCAACTGCTCCCATTGACATGTGATCTTTCCGTCGAGGTCAGCTTGATAGGGGCAGCGCCGGACGGAGTAGATCTTCGTGGGTTCACATATCCTGTCCAGCAGGGACGATCCATCATGATTACACAACTTACATTCACATACCGCCGCACCTCCAATCCCAAGTCCGAATTCAGCCCTTAATCCTGCGCGCCTCCCACCGGATCTTATCCCCGTCCCTACTCAGCAAAATAACCTTGCCCGCATTCTCGTCCCAATGATCCACCCGTCTCAGCTTTGGGCACTTCCCCGTCAGGACGCTTGCGCTCCTGTCGTTCTCCCTAACGCGGCTCCTGTCGGATACGCACAGCGCTGCCTGGCTGTCGTTACGGTCGTAATCCCCGTTGGAGACTTCGAAGAAGAACCGCGCGCCGTGGAAGGTCGTTAATTCTGTGAGACTGGCGAGGGTCACCGCCCACTCGGCCTGGGCAAAGAAATCTTGGCATCAGTACAGCTGCACCGTGTTCGTTGGGGGACTCACGGCGTTGGCGTTGGCGGGCGCTGCAAGCCTGTTTGCGCGCCCAGCGCTAGGCGGGTTTATCTTCTTGCCGATATCTAACCACGTCAAACCAGGGACACACTCCGCCAGCCGTTTAACCTCCTCCAAGTCATTCCACCCAGCCAGCTCAAGTCTTCGCACGCTGGCTCCGTACCTCTTCAAGCTGCCCAGGAACTCGCGATCCCCAGGCGTCGCTCCTCCACCCAGCTTGACGCCCTTGATTGTCTCCAGCGGCCTCGGCGTGTCGCACGGGCACACGAGCACGGAGCTCACCAGCTCCTTGCACGCGCGCACTTCGCGTAAGCGCGGCAAGGAGTTCGGGGCCAGGGCGAGCTGCGGTTTGCCGTTCCCCTCGAAGGTGATATCGATATGCAGAATTTCGAGGCAGGCATGGGCGGCGAGGAACGCTGAAGCTGCCGCGAAACCGTGCGCAGAGGAGCAGCGGATGCCGCCAAGGGTCAGGCTTTGCAGGCGCGACCAGCGACCACAGGTGAGGAGATTGTCGGCGAGGGGGGAGGTGAAGCCGGCACCTTTGGGACGCGCGTAGGCGACTTCTAGGGACTATGCAAGAGTACATTATTTTCAGTTTATAAGTATTCAAGAGCCGCATACCTCCAGTCGAGGACAACGGTTCAGCATGCTCTGGATTTGCGTCAGGGCCGGGTTCTTGGAGGCGCCGTACGTGTTTCCCGTGGCCTTGAAGGCCGCAGTGCGAAGCCCCGGGAGCTAAGTAGGAGATAAGGACCTCATTTCTGCATAGCAGCAGCGAGATAGGTATCCTACAACAAGCTGGTCCTTCTCATTCCCACCCTTATCCTCGTCCAAGTCACCAAATACGAGATTATCGCAGATCGTCACTTGCTGCAGATCAGGGCACTTGAGCAGCAGCGGCCATACCTCCTGCATGGAGATCGGCGAATGGCCGCACGCCCACACGACGGTCTGCACGCCCGTCATCTGCGCGAGCGCGTTGAGCAGGAACCTGCCATGCTTCTTATGCACCCCCTTCAACTCGTCGTCCGTCGACTCCAGGTCCGTGTCGCACGTTCTAATCCCCCGCGGGATGAGCTCCCGCCCCGCACCCCCCGCCCGCTCGTCGAGCACCTCGAGCGTCCGCACGTTCCGCGCCAGCGCACGGTTCACGCAGAGGTGGTTCCACACCCTCACCGCGCTTACCTTGCACCGCACCACGCGGTACTCAAAGTGCCGCGGGAACACGACGTCGCGCAGGCGCGCACACGTCAGCCCCAGCGTGAGCAGATCCCTTTTGGAATGGATGTGCGACGCGATGAGGTCGAGCACCTCCGCTGGCTGGGTAGAGAGGGCCGGGCGCGCGCCGCAGCCGAGCGCGACGAAGGGCTCGACGATGGCGAGGAGATGCAGCGAGAGCTTGTGCTCGTCATGCGTGAGCTTGTACGCGCATCCGCCGACCCGCGAAGGCAGGGAGGAGAGCAGTTTCTGGAGGGTGTGTAGCGCCGCTAAGGGTTCGGTGCGGGGGTAGGACTTGAGGGCGGTGTCGACCGTCTGGGACGGCGGTCGGCGGCCTGGGACTCTGCCCTTTGCCCCTGGCTTCGTTCTCAAGGACATTGCTAAGGAGAAGGGGATATGTCCCTCGCCTGAGGGCGGCGCAGCTATCAGCAACGCTATCAGTTAAAGCTGTGATGATATATTGAAGCTGTGTGATCCTTCCACGGTCCTCGGCGACGACGCGTGCCCGCGCGCGCTAATCAGAAGCTCGGTCAGTCACAGATCACGTGGTTGTGACATCCGACGTGTCATAATCCTCTGGTTATAAGACTTCACCTAGCTTTGCCTCTTCCAACATCCCGTCCCCGTTCGGATTTGTTACATGGGTGTTTGAGATTGGAAAATTGCACGTCGGGTCTGCCGCAGCCACAATGCGTACTATTTCAGTGACGCGACCCGACTGGCAGCTCAGTGCTGCGGTGACCATTCGCATCTCCGTATGGATAGACAAGGTTTTGAAAGCTGGATCTATGACAATTTCAAAAGTTCCTCCGTGTCGAAAAGAGGTATATAGAGGTAGCCTATCGAGAAAGACGCCAGGCGCCCAGCTTCCCCTTCACAAGTGATGGGTGTGGTCATTCAACCAGCTCAGGGAACAATGAAGGGAGAACTGTTTCACAACCGCCGGCGAACACAAAGTCCGCCCGTTCATCCTTCTCACTGGGATCCTTGTTGAACACTGCGACCTTGCCTCCGTGGCGCTGCACGCGGTAGGCGTACGTCGATGCCGGTCGGACCTAGACACAGAAGGTCTGTAAGCCAGAAGGAGATAGGTACAGTCATGTTACGCACCGTCGAAGATGTGCCGATCACGAGGCACATATCAGCCTTGTAGATAATGCTGTTGATTTCATCCAAGTGGTACGGCTTCTCTCCGAACCAGACGACGCCGGGGCGTGCCAGGGCACCGCACGCCGGGCAGCGTGGAAGCTCATCTAACGGGATGTTCACCTCTTTCGAACCAGCATCGTGATAGTCTTTGAAAGATGCATCAGCCGCGCCAAGGGCAGGGCAAAGAGGGTCCGTGCGGTCTTCGGCGCAGTAGTCGCAGACGGTGCATTTCACGTCAAAGATCCTGCCGTGCATCTCGAGGATGGAGTTTGGGAAGATGCTACGTTTTCGTGCAGGAGCAGTACCGGAGTCCGCCGTCAGGCGTTCGACAAGCGAATCTAAGGCAGTGACCGATAGCCGGTCGACGTTTTGCGTGACGAGGTGGAAGGACTTGACTTCCGGAGCGACTTTCCTGATATACAAAGGAACGGACATCTTCGCGATAACTTCATGCGCAGGATTGGGCTTTGCTTCCAATGCTCTGCGAAATATCTCAGTTTTGACCCTATAATGGAGGGAATTATCTGTACTTGGTCCTACGGTAGTGATAAAATTGCCAAACTAAAGACGGGTTCTCGCTGAATGCCTCGGGAGTGGCTAGAGCTGTGGCGTCCAAGGAGCGCCACATGCCGCCACCATCACGAAAAGTAGGTATGCCTTGCGGATTTTCAGTCGCTAGGCTAGTAAGCAAATGAAACATTTTTACCTGAAGCTGCTGAAAGACCAGCCCCTGCAATGACAATAATGTGCTGGCTGGTGCGAAAGGCGTCACGGAAGGCTTCCACCGAAGAGTTTGGCATGATTGATATCAGTATGATTCTGCAATCCGGACGTAACTTGATACAACTGAGGTAGTACCTATGTACGAGGAGAGAATACGACGAACCCACATCAGCACTTCTGCGAATCCCTGAGGACCTGAGAGTCCTGACAGCAACACGTCAGGACGACTACAAATTAGTGCCCCTCCTTTGAGAGGGGTTATGCCAAACCTGCAATACGTCGCACTTTTCGACCAACCGGCAAGTACCGGCGTGCCATGTTTGGCTCCAGTGGCACACGGCTACACAGCGCGGACTTAGAATTATCTCGCGTCCCTTGCAGCTAGACCCTGCATCGTCTTAGTTACATATCGAAGTCAAAAATCAGCACTAAATTTCATCTCAATTCACCACAGCAGCTACATGCTGTGAACTCTTCACTCTGAATCAAGGAACACTCTGCCCTCCGGTAGGCCCTTTGCCGCGCGTTTGCCGATACCCGAAAAGGGCATATTTGGCGCGGACAAACAACGCGCGCGTACGGTTGCCGAGCAGCACCAGGTCTATTTTCCAAAGTGCATTCGTCAGGGTGTCTGTCACCTTTACATCCCGCTGCAGGGTCCATGAGTGGCTGTGCGAGGTCTGGTCAGTCCCCTGACTGCATCGCCGGACTCCTTCTCCAGCACAGTTTCTGAGCATTTCTCTACTGTGTATGGCCTATGTATGACTTGCTAAAGTATAAGAAACAGCTACAGAATACAGAAAGTGTGCACAACTGCTCTAGAGAGCGCTTGAGGCGTAGAGCAAGTATCATGGGGGTCCCGGTGATACTCCGGGAAGTCCAGGAACATCCGTAGCCGGGAACTGAAGAGCTTCTCGATTCTCTCAAGCGAGATCTATGGTGACACTTGATCTGGATCTGTACTTGTCGTAACTTGTCAGTGAGTCCCAATCCTTTAGCAATAGCATATTATACCATACTACTCTGGTGCACTACTGTATTATTGTACTTTAATTTTGCTAGAATTTGCAACTTCTACAGGTCCGACTTTCGTGAACTCCCGAAGGCGCCGGACTCGGGGTGCGGGTCAATGGACTTCAGCTCGCCCAGCAAGTGCAACCGGCACGCAGAAACTTGGATCTCGGATAGTAAGAGTCCTTCAACAATACAGCAGCAAACTTAATTACTGGCTTCAGTCTTCTATCACTGCTCTTGACCCGGAGCACAGCTGGAGGGCGAATTCAAGTAGGCATGAGGAGCTGCGAAAGGAGGGTCTCCGGGTCCCACACCGCCGAGATCAGTATTGTATTTCCGGGGTCCGGATACGTAAGATCGTGCACTTGAGCAATGGCATTCGCGAAATAGACCTGGTGCTGCTCGGCAACCGTACGCGCGCAAACGTGATGTTCAGTGTCTTATTATGCAAACGACTGTATATCAGTAACGATTTCCCAAGCGACCGCTCAAGGAGAACAATTGAATGATTGCCTCATATGTGATGGTTATATAGGTCGAGAGCGGGAACCGGCGTTTATTAGAGACCAAACAAGTTCAAACAGGCCGCTTCGTGCGTGAGCAGGTATTGCCTACCCCCACTGATAGTGTCCGCTGTCCAGTGTCGAGTCTTGTTGGCCTTGTCCTGGTCCAGCAAAGACAAAGCATTGATGGAAGTCGTCCAAGAAAAGATAGGGGTAGTGATATATGGTGCATCTTGTACATATCTGCAATCGTCTTGCTGACATTCAGCACAGGTGAGCCCGAAACGGGGAAGAGAACGTTGGCCGCTGCTTTGGTGAGCTCGGGTTTTTGGCTGTCTGGCGTCGTTCTGACATCGCGCCAGACAGGAAGGGCATTTACTCGCCGACGTGATAAGAAGACCTACGTTATCGATGCACAACTCGGTAATAATGGTGCCGCACGTCCTATAGGCTTGGTCACGGTTGATGCCACACATCTCAAAACGTTCTCCAAGTCTCTGCTTGAGCAGGTCGCATCAGTAACGCGAGCGTCTGCTGTTGTAATTACGAAAGCGGATCTCGTACCCCGCGATTACTCCCCTGAACATCTTGCATTACTCCGGCAACAACCCTATATGGCTGCAAATTATGATGTAGAGTGCTTCGCTGTCTCCGCCACTACTAACGACAACGTGGACAATCTGCTTGCGTGGATAGGTACCAAGTCCTTTGCTGTATCTCTTTTTGTTGCTCACCGAGATACACAGTGGACACCTTCGCTCCTATCACAGCGACGCGGGCGGAGATCTCTTCATTTCGCCTGCAGTCATTTTTGCATTCTTTACTGGATGTAATTGCAGCATGCTTTGCCCTTCCAAATGCAACTCGGACTCCAGATGTCGGTACTGGTCCCTGCAGCGTAAATGAGACGAAATTTAATGTCATGCTTTACAGGTGGACGAGGAAGTATCCAAGCTTACCAGCTACGAGGACATTCGCTCCCTATTAAGAGGTGATCTAGCTGAGAAATGGGATGCCAACCTGAAACATCGTCTCCTCGCCGACCACGCACAATATGTTACGGTACATCGAATAACACCATCTTTGATCCTCAAGGAAGGTTCGGCGTGTGGCCCTTCTGAGCGCGCCACCATGGAATATGTTCTCCAGCACACTACGATACCTGTCCCACGTGTCCACTGCCCGGACCAACCCCATCTCATTATGGATCACATAGAAGGGGAAATGCTATCTGAATGCTGGGATCAGCTCTCCTCTTTCATGCAGTTTCGTATTGCGTGTACGTTGCGGCTATATGTCAGACAGTTGCAGAACCTGAAGTCCCAGCATGTCGGCGATGTGGAGAGTGGATATGCAGGGGGGATCTTCTTTGACGGGAGCTGGTATGGGCCATTCGATTCCGTCAAACGCTTCCGGCAGTTCTGCGAATGGATAGCCTTTGAGGGCTGGAGACCATTTGCATGTGCAGCCCGACTAAATCAGCGGCCAATACCTCCCTTGCCAAATTCCTGCAGTGACTGGGCACCCGTCTTTACGCATGGCGACCTCAACCCGAGCAACATTCTGCTCAGCAAAGATGGTGTCCTCTGGGTTATTGATTGGGGCGAAGCCGGCTTCTATCCGTCATGTATGGAGACACTTGTCATGCGCCACCATGATACGGTGGTGCATGCAGAAGACCATCCGCCATCATGGAAGCGCTACAGGGAGTTCATTGCAGGTATAGCTACGAAGGAGGAACAGGAATTCTGGGGCCATTTTCATACAGCTATTCATCGTTTTCCCGGCAGAGATATACAGTAAGGGACAATTCGATAGTATCTCCAATACATGTACGTGAAGGCACGACTTTAAATGGAAAAGCTGAACCATATTGTACAGACTGTACCACTACATCGGAGGGTCATAGAATTGTCCTTCGACGGGCGGGAAAGGGACCTTAGCCTCATTCTCCTTGGCGTACTTCTCGATACTCCCTATAGCCTTGTCAACATCCGTGCCTTTGATCCACCCTTTGGAAACATATGCACGAAGTAGCTGCAGTTGCCAATACAGACAACCGCTGCCAAGGGGACTAAACATGTAATATTGTCGCCTTTCGGCTAGAACGAGGTCGACAATGTCCCGCACGGTGATAGTGCATAAGAACTTGATTTCTTCCAACACGCCAGACCTGCGTGAAACCAGGCCTTTTTCCGCAGTTCGAAGGTGTATGTGCAGGCTCCCGAAAAGGTTCGTTTCTTCTCCGGTGTGGAATTCGTGTTCGAGGGGTTGGTGCATATTCATTGAGATACCAGCAATGGTCTGCTTGGGCGCAACGACGATTTGGTCAACGAGCTTGTAGCTGGAGATCCAGTGATGCAAATTCCCCGACGTGCACCATATCGTTACACTGCTGAGCGGCTTGTCTCGTATATCACTTGTACGATCGTCAAGGACGGGCTCGGGATAAGATTCCATGACCTAGGTATTTTTAAATCGGTCCGAGGACATAATCTTAGTACAGGACGTACTGCTGAACGTAGAAACAAACAGACGGGCGCCTAGGGTGGAGATGAGGCAGATGCGATAAGGTAGCACTTCGAGGAGCCTTCTTATATTGTAAAGGCATCCCTTGCGGCCCCGAAAGCGCAAGTCATGAATATGAGATATCACTTGATGAAGGAAAAGAGTTTTTTCTCGGCCTCAAAGGTGCAGTATTGTTCTGATCGGGTGCAGTAACGCTACTTACCAGAATGAAGCATTGGCCGTTGTCCGCCTACGGCGTATCCGTTGACAATCCAGGTTGGGAAAGACGCCAGAAGCCTCCTACTGCAAGAGCCTCTCGGTCAGTGCCTGCTGAGAAGTCAAGCTCAGACGATGTACATCACTTCGACTAGGTTGATCTGAACTCACCAGGGGAGTCACAGCATGCAATAATAGGTGGCACAATATGACCACCAGATGCTCACGGAAGAGCTGTGTTTGTGGTGCGACCGAGTCTGTGGTTCCAAATTATTGTTGTGCGGAATCAGACCGGTGCCCGTCCCTACCGAGGACTAGGCTCCCAATGGTGTCTACCCTTTAGCGTTACTTTCACCGAGATTCTTGCGTTATATCAACTTCGAATATCGACTTCTATATCAATTTGGAAACAATATGGACCTTCCTGTTTAACGATGCCGCAATGAGAGGACCTGTAAAGGAACATATGGTAGCGCATACATGCAGCCGCCATCCATTGACTGTAATCGGCACAGAGAGGTCGTGGGTGCAGTATGAACAGGGCCAGGCTGGATCCAGCAGATCAGACAGCTTACAGTGACTCGAGTCATCCGTCGCAACGGCGAACAGACTGCAGAAGCCGAGTTGTCCGAAGGAAGTTAATAAGAGACGCACTGCAAGAACACGCATTGATTAGGATGCTGATAAGCGAAGGAGCCCTCGGGGCGAGTCAGAGCCTGGCATAAATACGATCCTTCATGACAGGCCCGGTATCCTATTGTCCAGGATGTATGTACATCATGGGGCAAGAGCTACTTGCTTTCGGACAAGGTACAGACGCGACGGCGAAGAGAGCTGCAGTCCCAGATTGTTAATCTAGACTGTATACCGTCAACGAAAAGATGGAGAGTAATTGACAGTGACATGCGCAGGAAACATATCGCCATGAGAGGAAGGTGACGGTGATAGTCCGTGCGGGCGCACGTCTCATTGGTAGCCAATGGCTTGGGGCTTCCGCGCAAGCCGGGGCGCAGTAGTCCGTCCGTGATCACACGTATTTGGTAGTCTCTCGGAGAGTGAGAGATGGCTCGGGGTGACTCATTGGTAGCAGCGGTACCTGTGGTCATGCGTGAGATCAAGGTGCTGTACAGCTTGAAAGGAAACACACTGTACGCCCTTTATGGAGTATACACACCAGCTTCTGAGATAGGAAAGCTTTGCGAGTGTGATTGACGAGAACACCTGGACATGTGTCCAATACCCTAGGACTCAAGCCAGATCAAAGGAGGCAGGAGACTACAGATGGTTGCCAGCTACACGATTTCATACTTGGGATTTCTTCAGTGTGTGAGCATCGCGTTCAAAGTTATAGCCTGTTGTGACTTTGAAGCCAGCCTCGGAGGACAGCCTTTGGCCAGCCTTAACGCGAGTCGCACGTGGAAGTGTGGCTGCGGGGTAACGCGCTATGATGGCTTCCGCGTCCACGACGACGGTAGCGACAACGACGACGGAATGTCTCGCGTCTGCGAACGATATTCTCGCCGCTCACGCAGCTCTCATAGCACGCGTGAAGTCGAGTCAAGCTGCCCGACGACGCCATCTACAGTCGCTGCCGTCGCCGCCGCATGAGCTCGTGCGACTTCCTCTCATCCCGACGCCTTCGCAATCGCGGTCGCCCTCTCCCCCCTCTACGCCGGATTTACCCCCGCAGAAACCTAGAGAGATACGACCGGACCTGCCTCCTGCGAAGCGTGCACGACTAGCGAGGTATAGGAACTACGTGCCTGAGGAGGAGACCATTAGGAATGATTACTCCCAGCGTTACGTCGACGGCGGTGAATGGCCGCAGAACTGGGTGATAGGTGCAGAACCTGAGCGAAGATTTGAGGAGTACGCTTTCCTTGCATCTCCACGAACCTCTTTGTACTCAGTGATGTATCTCGTATGTGGAACTTCATCTTAGGTATCCCAAGCAACAGCGCCTCCTGACGCTCAAGAAAGCTTCCGTGAACGAACACTCCCTTCCATCCTCTTACCTCCCTTATTCCTCCTTCTCTTCCCTAACCACTCCCTCTCCCGCCAAATTCGATGTAATTCTCATAGATCCACCCTTCTCTTCTTCGTTCACTTGGGACAATCTACAAGAACTCCCGATACCAGCGTTAGCTGCGGACCCTTCATTCGTCTTCCTATGGGTGGGAAGCGGGGCTGGCGAAGGTCTTGAACGCGGTCGGGAGACGCTTGCTAAGTGGGGCTATCGACGGGCGGAGGATATTGTTTGGGTGAAGACGAATAATAAGAGTAACAAGGGTCCAGGGGTGCGTCGTCCATCTCGAATATGACACATTGGATAGGTATTGACACCATGACCTAGACAGACCCTCCGACTACTTCTCTGCTGACTCGGACTAAACAACATTGCCTGATGGGTATACGTGGGACCGTCCGTCGATCGACGGACAGTTGGTTTGTTCACTGCAATGTTGGTAGGCATCACATCATCTATGTATCAGAGCATCATACAATCGCTGACTCTCCACAGATACAGACGTGATCATCTGGGAAGGAGACCCGTCCGACCCGACTCTGAAGCCTCCCGAGATGTACACATTGATCGAGAACTTCTGTCTCGGAATCAGGAGGCTCGAAATTTTCGGGCACGCTCGCGCAAGTTTGAGAAGAGGATGGGTCACCGTCCTCACAGAGGGCGAGGAGGAGAAGATGGAGCCCGAAGCAGACGGCGGGGTCAAGCAGTGGGATCGTGAGGCGTGGGAGACGAGGCTAAAGGAGATGGGCAGTGGGGGCAAGTACGTCGTGCCCATGACGCCGGGTGAGTCCCCTTGTGGTACGGGTGCTTCGTTTTGCTGATTGCTCGCATGCAGAGATTGACGCCCTGAGACCCAAGTCGCCAGTCCGCGGCGGCTCATCCAACACTCACATGGGCGTCGGCGGCGGCGTATCCCTGGGCGTCCCTATGAATGCCAACAACGCGACGTCCGGGGTTGTGCCCCTGGGTGGCGCCGCGATGCGCATGGGCGCGCGGGGCATAGTCGGCGGCGGCGGCGGTGCCGGCAATGTCAATGTCGGCTTCGGGAACAGGGGACAAATGAACCAGATGGGCGGCATGATGCCGATGGGGATGGAAGGGATGCCCTGGAACGGGATGGGGATGAACCCTGCGATGGGTATGGGTCAACAGGGGATCAATATGAACCCTGCAGCGCCGGGAATGGGCATGGGCGTGGGTATGGGCATGAACATGCCGGGGATGGAGGGTATGGGTATGGGTATGGACGGGTTCATGGGCGGAGACTTTGGTACGGGCTGGCAGGAGGGTATGGGGATGGGACAACAGGGTATGGGCATGGCTCCTGCCATGATGGGGAATGCGGCGATGATGCAGAATATGATTATGAATGGGATGGGACAGCCGGCGATGGGCATGGGTGGGATGGGCATGGGAAATCTGATGGGGAATCCGGGGATGAGTGGGATGGGCGGGATGAATATGGGTATGGGTATGGGTATGGGGAATATGGGGTGGGGGATGGGTTGGGAGGGTAATCAGTGAGTTGTATCGGTTGCGTTGTTGGATGTTTTGCTTGTGTAATGTCCATCTGCTGCTTGCGTCCTTCCCTTTGGCTCCTCCTCACAGGTCATCCGAAGTGAACTTAGATTGGTGCCAGAATGGCACTGCTCCGTCACCAACAAGGTATCGAGCGTGTATTTTACATCTTTGACTTCGTATGCTCCCTTACTCTCCTCTATACTTACTGCCCCAGCTGGGGAATCTCATTCCTCCATACCGCTCCCGCAGCTTTACCCACTTCGACCGCGATTTCCCGGACAGCCTTGACCTGCTCGGGACTGCCTCCATTCCTCACAGAGCCCTTTAAATGCCATTCAATCTGTCGCGGGACATCCATTGCGATATTCGACACCAGCATGATGTAAGAGTTCTCCAGCCCAGAGATGAGGTCAGAGAAGGAATACGCATAGCCGTATGCATGGGTGATGCAGAAGAATCCTGACATATCAAGGTCAGTTGCAGTTGAACAAGGTTCCACTAGTAAGTTTCCGCACCGAAGTCCGGATAGATGGACTCGAGGAGCTTCTGCGTCTGTTCTGCCGTTTCACCGTACGTTTCATTGAAGTACTTCTGACCTGAGGCCGTCCAATGTTCCGTCGGCAGTGTCTTGTCACTGGATGATGGACATTCAAACAGTCGATAAGACCTCGTAGATCCATGGATCATACCGAATCATCTCCTTATCCCTCAGATTCTCTGGTGTAGCCCCGTACAACGCCACAAGGCCGTTGATAGCCTGCCACAATCATCAATATGCCTCAACCTCGCGACTTGAGGCTCTGATACTGCACACCTTAGGGTATCCGATGAGGATCCCGCACTTGAACAGCGCATCGCGGATCTTGCGCACGAGGTGCCGCTGCTCGTCCTCGCTGGCGCGCAGCCCCTTGATGTCGTTCAGCGCGCTCTGGAATACGGCGGGGATGGCCTCGGGGTAGTTGAACGCGCTGAACACCACCGCCGCGGCGAAGAAGTACGGGTTCTGGAGGTATTCTTGGGCGGTCGCTGGGGGGGAGGAAGAGGTGGGGTAGAGGCTTTTGATGCGGTCGAGGAGCTCTGGAGTCGCGAGGTGAGCCATTGCTGCTGTCCTATCTAAATGACGATTGGAGGGTAGGGGCTAGAAGAGAGGGCGCCTGGAAGAGACTGCTTTGCGCGTCTGTGGGCGTACATCATAGAAGTTCGGATTCCGGGATTCATCGGAGGGAAGTATCAGATAAGACTCGTGATACTTCGATATAGGCCGGAGTATGCTATACTGCGGGTTCTTCATGTGATGGACTCTAGTCTTATACGACTACACGCCCTTAGACTGCCATGGTTTTTTCCCGTTCCCGGTCTCCGAAGAATCATACTTGACACGACGAGATACGACGAGTTCATGCGGATGTGAGTGTGACGGTTCGGGGCATGCCATGTGGTGGACAAACATCTACGAGCCGTCGTTGCGACACCAGCGAAGAATAACGAGCGACACGAGAGAACAAGCAAGCCTACCAAGAATGATATTCTGATACAAAGACACATCGGGAGTCCGGGAATAGTTCCGGCGCTCTATATAAGGAAGCGCCATTTCCTTTTCAGTACCTGAGGCGCCCTCGAAGAGTTGAAAGGTATCCAAGTTGCAAGCTGCGCAGCGCGGTGCTCAGCGGGCGTCAATTAATTAGATGGCATGATAAGCTCTCCTCACCAAGGATTCCCTGAGACCGTCTCAGAGAGCAGGACGAAACGGGGAGGGGGACAATCCCAACTGACCGAAGGCCGAGCGTGATACATGAGCGCCAGTGTCAACGAAGGTCGGCCGGGCAGGTACCCAGGACGTGGATGGGAAGACGCTGGCAGCGACAAGAGGATAGTAGTGGGCCTGCAGCTTATGGCTTGGCCCACAGGATGCAGGACATGCGCACCCCCCGCCAGCGTTCCCTGGAGTATCTGCAATCACAACCGTCAAAAATGATAAACATGGTGGTGATACCTGGGTGTTCTATCGTACTTGTATTTCTTGCCCAGTGGTAAAGTTATACACCAGGCACAGACGTGTGATTGACTTTACTGCGGGAGCGGTAGATCCTGAGAATGATGTTCCGGCGTTATTTTCGAGCGGGCCACCTGATCTGCAGTTCCTCCAATAAAACCATGAATATTTTCAGCAACAACAGTTTTGTAACGAGACGACAAACATGATGTCTGCCAGAGACAAGGCTGGGTAGGTGCTTGATATATTGCGGGGTGTCGCAGGTCAGATGTTCCAGAGACATCATCTTACCCAGCCGTATCTGTCCGGCCATTACGCCGAGACAAGCGATGTGATGGAGTAGACTCTGAGTTCAAGCTGGGAGGCGGATGCTCATAGGTAGGATGGGCCGAGCAAATTATTCCATGACGATCCTGCAGAGATTCAGCACAACAATCCGAGGGAGCAAGCGTGTTGAGTAGGTTGAACGCCACAAAGCGCAATCCAGTTTCAACCGGATCGACGGATGTCATTGGCAGAAAATAACCTGAAGGTGGAGACCCTGCGAGAGCTGCCAGAGGGTCCAAAAAAGATATCGGAGTTGACGCGGACTTGACAAGTTGACAGGCCGCGCCCGGCCACTGGCAGGGTTCAAATGTGCTGAGGACGTCAGATGGTAACTCGGGCAATGCTTCATCTCTAAACTGAGGCGCTAGCAATGAGAACACGCTGCGCTTCAGGTTCAGACAGCAGGCCAATGACTATAGAATAGCTTTATAGGGCATCCATATACGTAGCTCATCAGATCATCTTGAGGACAAGCTTGAGGCTCGGCAGCCTGAAATATGGAGATCCCCCTGCTGTCATTGACAAGGCGGTGAATGGTGAACCTGGAGCGAACGCGGCAACAAACTGTACATGTTAAAACTTCGTAAGGTGACTGAGCGTACAAGAGACAGAGATCGTACTCCGCGAAGCAGATGTACTTCGTCTTACCTGCAGTTTACCTACTGCAGGAAGTATTTACGTACCCAGAGGGAACGTGGTGCGGTTAGAGTTCGTTAGACCCGGACGTGGCTGTCACTGTGTCAGATGGTGCAACGTCGTTAAAGTACTCACGAGTGCCAAGGAGCATCACTCAAGATAAACTTCCGTCCTGGCCAGGCAGTGCGCGCGGACGGTGTGGGTCGAGGCATCCTGGCATTTACTTCCGTGCTTTGCCACCGGGCGTTGAGGATTTCATCCCGGTTGCAGCGGGGTAAATTGACCGCACCTAGCCATATCGGGATAGTCTCGGCGGGGAAACCTCGAGGCTTGGCCGAGATTTCTCGGAGATCCCGCGAATAATGCAGGCCGCGGCCGGGAAGCGCCGGCGTGCAATGGACTGGAGACCGTTCTTGGAAGCAGAGCGCGATGGGATGATGAGGTCGTGGTGCAGTTCTCTTCTGGATTCCCAATTGCCTTCCTGCGCCAGAAGATTTGATCTGCCCGTCCGCGTCTTGCAGAGCTCTACTTATGTTGCGTCTTCTCTTATAGCGCCCACCCCCCCTCTCCTGCCACCATTCCGTCTCGTCCGCTTGCTTCGGTGTATATACATATCTTTTGCACGCTCGTTTGCATCTGCGTTTCGGTGAGCAATGGGACTCGACACGAAGGATCCTTTGGTGCAAATAAAAAGTGGGCGTATTGTTTGCCTTGTGCTGGATTTGGGCTGATTTTCCAGTGCAGTAACGGAGACCGTGTGCGGTTTCGTGGCAATATGCATGACCGTGTCGCGGTTGTACATCCGGAGAGGGCGATACTGGTGGGATGACGCTTGGGTATTCTTTTCATTAATAAAGTGAGAGCCTCGTTATCGTCAGTACTTTACTTTTACTGACGGTTCTGCCAAGCTTGTTCATCCAATTCGCCGCGGTATTCATGCACGTCGAAGACCCGTCAGAAATCTCAAGAACAAGTCGCATTGCAGCGTACTACTTGATGGCCGTCACTTTCTACACGATCATCTGGTCCGCGCGGCTGGCAATTCTCTACTCGATAATCAGGCTCGACCCCGATCCCGTCATGCGGTACAGGCTGAAATGGGTCGCCGGGGTGTTCGTCGCCGCAATATTCTTTTTCTTCGCCCAGCTCATGTGGGTGTGCGAGCCCGAGCCTGGCTGGAAAGATGCCCGAAGCCCCCAGTGCCGGCTGAACAAGGAGGTCGCCATATGTCAAGTCGTCTGTAAGAACCATCTGGTTTGACCTGTGCCATTGTTCTCTATGTTGACCATCAATGATTAGCGGACGTGATATCAGACCTTCTTCTCATCACTCTGCCCATCCGACTTATCCGAGGGATTCGGGACCGCGGGCTCCAGCGACGCCTTATGCTCATTTTCTCAACAAGCAGTACGTGGCCGCCTCATCATATGATTCCAGCTCGCTCTGAATATTTTGTCCGCCAGTCGTGACCACAGTTGTATCACTAGCCCATGCATACTACATTATTACCGACGGTGAAATCCCGGTGGTCATCTCTGCTCTTGTCGAGGTTAGTCCCCGCCCCCTTCGATCGCGCCTGCCTCGTCGCGATCGCAATCGGCCACGTCGTATCGCCGATCACATCGCGCGCGACGTTCTGTTTGACAGCGCCATTTCGATCGATTTGGAAATGACCATGTGCTGACATAATCGCTATTATTTTGCCCCATCCTACGCAGGACTGCATGTCGCTCACCGTCGCAAACCTGCCGGTCACCGCAACAGCGCTGCTCAGGATGTTCGGCGTGTACGGCGAGAGCGACCGCGACGACTCGTACGCGGACGGCAGCACGGGCGGCCCGCGGTTCAAGCACACGAGCTTCGGGTTCAAGACGCGCTTCACGAGCGTGTTCGGGGTGAGCACGGGGCGCCATCGCGGCCACGGGACGACGTTCGGCGCGACGACGGGGTATGGCGGCCAGACCACCATAGGCACGGACGAGACGGAGCCCACGACGGCGACGCCGTTCAAGGTGGGGGCGCTGGATTGCACGGGGCAGGGGGCTACCCGGACGGTCGAGTTCCAGCTTGGCGAGCGGATGCCCATGAGTGCGGACATGGACCGCAAGGGCTTGCTGGGCCCGATGCCCGAGACGCCGGTGAAGGAGGCGCCGACCGTGCTGGAGGATGACCGGGCGTCACATGGCTCCAAAGGCAGCGCGGAGCAAGGACGCTTGAGAAAGCTGGCCAGCTTTACTTGGGATCGGCGAGGCGCAGAGCAGAACGAGCGACTGCCGGAAGGCGTTCAGGTCACGACGGAGACGGTTCGCACGGCCGACTCATGACTATAACCCTCCCATTCTTGATTATTTGGGCTCGTCGTCGTCTGTTCCCGTCCCGGGGACGCGGAAGAAAGAAGGAAGGCACCTGGCACTGTAATATTATGCTGTATGGACTCGTCTATTGTCACCGTATCCCCACCTGCTCCCGTCTACCCTCGTCCTCGTTTTCTAGCTGTGCATACCTTTCGGGTTTCTTGTACAATGTTATAATTACCCTGTAGAATTGTGTAGTATGGCATCGTCGTATGTTTGGTGTTAAGAATACTCTACCCGCACAGACGAGTGAGACAAGTCAGGGTTCCATTGCCCTTTCAGCCACATATGAGTAGAAGCAACACATTTGATAGGTGGAGAAGCACCGAAGCTGACAGCTTCTTGATGTGCAATGACCTGGAGAAGGCGATGCAGAGAAGCCATAAGTCGGGGAAAGACGGACACGGTAGTTGCAGGTCCTGAGAAGTGAGCCAATATAACCCAAGATATGACGCGCCAAAGCGAGAGACGGACTGAAGCACAGGTGCATTATGCAAGGAGTGACGAGTAGGATATTACAGTTTGAAACCGATAGGTCTACATTTATAATGTGTCCAAAGCCCGAGCAGCTTGATGTTTGTAACAGTATAACTTGAACAACAGAAGGTCAGACGGGGGTACAATGAAAACCCGTGCATACTCACATATGTGGCGTCCATATGCATCAAAGCAAGATGACAGTCCCAACAATAGCATTAATCCAAGTCTATCAGATTTCTTTTGTACTCCGTCCCAACAACACAGGGCCCACTGTGTAGCACAGTATGGTTGGGAACAAGCCCTCCTTCTGTTGGTATTTGCATTGCGACGGTTTGGTCCCCCGAGGGGTACGCCGTAGAGTGCCCCAGCAAACTGACGTCGGCCGTGTCCGCAGCGAAGATCATCCCATTACGACCGCCTTGTACCCACGCCTCCTGCGTAGAATTCGGAAGAGTAATGTGCGCGAGTCCTGATAGGAACACGACGTATCTGGACACCCATCGTTAAGAGCATCAGATGCGAGACGAATCGGGTTTGCACTCACTGCACGTTCGGCGCGTTATGCCTGCCTGCGTCGAAACCCGCGGGGATGATCGCGTAGCTCGCGTTCGCCAGGTTGCCCAGCTGCAGGCTGATGGCTCCAGCGGTACCGGGTTGCGCGGACGAGACGAACCCAGGTTGCAAGGCCCAGCACTCAAAGACAGACTGTCCGTTCACGGCAGAGAGCGCGGTGAGATTCAATGTGCTCGGGGAGACCATGGTTATGAGCTGGGAGAGCGATGCCTGCGAGCAATATGTACGAGACCGGGTGCCGATGTGTGAGAGGGGATGCGCCTGAGAAGCGAAGTGTGTCTGTCCGATAGGGATTAATTTATAGACAGAGGGTATTGGCACGGGTATGTAAGGTGAGAGTCGGCGAGTGTCAGGCGCGATCTTCTCTTGTCAGTGACATGCCAGGTGAACCAGAATGAGACAGTCTTGATGCAAATATAAGAGGCAGAATTTGTAAGGCTATCTGCCCGCAGATGAAGCCAGGAACAGCGCATCCCAGGCACCGTGCGTAAGGGCCATAAGCGAACTTGGCCATCAGCTAACTTTTGCCGCGGCCACTCGTATTGTCCCCGTCCCCGACGTTGTTACCCGCTTTCACCGCTGTATGTTTTTCAACGAGCACCCACATCTGCCGGTTTTCCTTGCAACTCTCCCAGCATCTTCGCCGAGGCCCTGCTCGGGTACAGTCTGTATGAGAAACAGCGGCCGTGTCCGTATGGCTCGTCGTCCTTATCGTGCGTTTGTCCTAGCGTAACCCATGAAACCGATTCCGCGCCACTAGTGACGGTTTTGTATCACTTGATCAAACTTCAGCTGTCAAGCCCACAATCGCAGGGCTATCGATATGTGCGAGGTGAGGATCCCATGTGTTGCCTTAATCGAGGTCGTCGACATCAAACCGCGTTTGATACTTTCGATTCCACTGCGCAATAAATTGCGGAAATTCAGACCGCCGTCGCCAAGCAATGAGGATTGTCTCATGCTCGCGGGAGGCGCTATGAACATGGGCGTAGGTAAGAATACGTTCAATGCGACAACTCTAGATCTAGGGATAGCATGCCAGCGTTTGCTGGTTCTCAGCGTCCGGAATCTTATTTGACTTTAGTCGCTCTGCGATGCACTTTGTACCTGGTCAACCACCCTTGTCAGTAATTGAACCCTGAAGCCAGGCACCCGCCATTTTCGCTGTTTCTGATCACTGGATTACCTTTTGTTACACTGCACAATGCGTTCCCAAGTCGTTGCATCTGAGAACAAGGTTCATGTACTGTCGGCAGGTATACATCTGCTAGCACGCTACTAGAGAGGTGCGAGGTGTCTGTCATCTTTCCAGCTCCGGTCTTGCGAAACGCAAGTCAGCGCAACTATTCTCTCAGGCAACCTATTGGAGTAACATGCAGGCCCCGGACACATCTCGGTCGACGTTGACAAAAAGGTATGACAGTCATGCTCATAAATACTGCTAAACCCCCCTGGTGTCACTAAAGACCCGTCAAGGTGGATTATTCTCCGAAGTACGCTCGCCTCGCGCACGATTCTCGGGCAAGATGATGACACCTGACAAGGAAAAGTCAGACAAGCTGGCTGCGTCAACCCTTCATGTGCCCTGAACCGCTCTCAGCACACTCGGTGGGATTAATGCTCGACAGAGGCATGCGATGATGCTCGATGTTACACTGATGGTACAGGCCGACTGTTGTACACGCTGGCGCCCTGGTTAGCGAGCAAATGCAGAGTGGTTTTAAGGCATGCAGCCCCTGTCCTTCCTGGCGTCAGAAAATCTGGACAGGTAGACTAAATGTCAACGGTCACGACTACGGCCGTCCCTGTAGACATGATTGGGCGTCATAAGATATGTAGTTCGTTCAAGAGTGTTTTGTCAGACGAAGCTGCGACGGTCGTCTTTGCGTCATCGATATGATGGTGTAGTAATTTGCAGGATGTCGAGCGTACCCCTCTCACGAATGAAACTCGCCAGTTTGCACCCACAGAGTCCTTGCCACAGATCAGCCACATTGTGGCAAACGAGAAGCACTCCGGAAAGAAGCCACGCCGCCGGAAACAAACATAGCTGTGCAGGCACGTGGTCCACGTGCCTGGACCCTACGTAGCGCTTTCGGTGGCGGGACGCGTACAAGCCAAATGGCACCTGCTACCACCGAACAGAACTTCCGCGCAAACCTATCGCAGTTCCGCTGGGCCCGCGGGACAACAGACGACTTGCAGGAGCAGCCGGCACCGTCGGCCAACCCGTTCTCGCGGTTCTACAATGCTGTGGGGGCCGGCTACGTACCGCTGCGGTCGAACGAGCGGTCGAATGAGGAGGAGGCGTATTTCGCGTTGTCCAGATGGGAGAGGTGAGTCCGTACCCACTGCTATGAAGGACAGTGACGGATAGAGGGGACTCGGGTTAGGCTGTTAGGATTCGGAGCGTGCCTCCTGGGAGCCGCAGTGTGTTTCTTCGTCGCATTCTTGACAATGCCGCTGCTGGCGCTGCGGCCAGCGAAGTTCGCTCTTGCGTTCAGGTCAGTACCCGACGTTCTGCTCGAATATCGAGTCTGACATGCAGACTAGCCTGGGGAGCTTACTGGTTATGTTCGGGTATGTCACGCCCTGTTCTATTCCCTTCCCGAAGTCATTCCGACATACGCTTCACAGATTCTCCGTCCTTATTGGACCCATAAACCATCTCAAGCACCTTCTATCAAAAGAGAGACTTCCATTTACTGGCGCCTATTTCTCTAGCCTTGGATTGACCTTGTACTTCTCGTTGGGTGTGAGTCTCTCAAAGGTCCACTTCCCAATGGACATTGACATCAGAGAACACACACAGGCCCACTCATATATCGGTTCCCTGGTATTCGCCGTGATCCAAGTCATCGCTCTCGTTTCCTATGTACTGGCGTACTTTCCAGGTGGTATCCAGACACTCCGTTTCGGCTCTCAAATGGCCTTCCGAGGGGCAGGCAGCCTCCTACCATTGTAACATATATAATGCCAAGCACCAGAGATATACGGATGAAGATATGACAGAACTATAGCTACACATCTGCTTGACAGCATACACAGGTTTCGCACATTTTCACAAACCGTCGGCGTAGCCATTTTGTTCCCCGAGATCGGCGACCTCCCGAAGCTTGCGGACCAAGGTATCGAGATAAGCCTTATTGGAACGCCATTCTTTGGGCGCGACCGGGGACTCCTATGCCAATTCCTTGTCAGGGTCAAGCGAGTAACGGTATACGAGAGACGTACGAGGTCGATTGAGACTAGCTGCTGCAGCACAGGCGCCAGTCTCCCGCCCACTTCTCCACGGAATGAATTGGCATCCGGAGCCGTTATAAACCGCATCGACTGCGATAGTGATGCTTTCATTTGCAGACTGGCGGTATCTCGCCCTTCGCCATAATGCAAAAGATGCCGCCATAGAAGGAGTGATAACATTTCAATGGTAGCTGCAGGTTCAACATGAGTTGGCATGGTCGGATATGCGACGGCAGCGACGAAACGTACTGAGCAGGGTACCCGCCACTCTGCGAGCGTCGCTTGCCATGTCTTCGAGTACTCGGCAGACAAGGGTTCGCTTCTGACCTATATCTAGCTCATCCAGGAAGTCTGCATCGGAAATCTCTAGTATCTGCAGAGGTGTTTGAATGTGGCGAGACCCGAGTTTCTACGATAGCTGAAACTCACCTCCTGCATATGATCCACCTGCAGATGTTCCCTGTTGGCGAGCTCGGCCGCAATGTCAGAGATTTGCGTCAGCGTGTTTGACAGATCCTCGCAAATATCGTTCAACGCTTCTATGGCATCTCCGACAGTGGGTATCAAAGCTGAAAGGACGTCAGCATCGCGTGTCAGTATTGAGTCTCAGCCCTGCAGACCTTGATAGTGCGCGGCACCGTCTCCTTTGAATGAAGAGGTGGTGACCGGCGAAAGTACGAGGTTGAACTCGGGCTCTGATGTATAAAATTAGGACATGGAGGTCAGACCCTTGCACAAGACTCACCAGTAAAATTACTGGCTGCCCCTAGATATGCTACCAACGACTCCCGCAGCATTCGCTCCCTTTGCCTAACCGACTGACTGAACTTAGTTTCAGACTTCTGGCCTGCAAAGGGGTCAATCCCACGACGGTATGAAGAAGGAGGACAACCTACCAGGCAAGTAAACGGTAGCATCCCTTCTTTCAACCTCCGTCTGAGGGAGCACGTTATGCAGCCATCGCTCAGCTGCGAGGCCCCTAGCAGATAAACTCAGGATCGCGGCATGAATGCCGCCGAAACCTGCATTCGAAGAAAGCTGGGAGTGGCCGTCAGTAGGAGCCCTATATCGCCTAACGAGCTATGCTTACCATTTCGGACTTTGGAACCAATGGTAATACAGAGACACAGAGCGATACCAAAAGATGAATTTCCTCGACGATTGACAGCGTGATTGTAGATGACGACTCGTTCTTCAATAATATGACGATCGTATCCCTATGGCTCGATAGGAAAGCCAAGGCCTAGAAATAGGTCAATAAGGATCGCGGTTCTCGGATGGAGGCGTGTCACCTGTTTAGCTGCACCGACGTGCTGGGATCCCAGAGTCACCAAGATGGCCTCAACGGCTTGCAAAGCAGGCATGAAGAGTTGGTGGTAGCGTTCGATAGCTGATGGTAAGAAGTCATCCTGGTCTAAAGTAGTGTCATTAAGGTGGCTAGCCAGAACTGCTGAGAAGCATACGAACCTATGAAAGCCTGATTGAGTTCTGGCCTTGCGTCAAGAAAATCGCACTGTCCAAGCACACGTAGAAGCTGTACTTCGAGAAGGCGTTCAGCTCCTTGTCGTGTCTGCGCTATCTGGATGAGCATAGACATCTTAGCCTCATAGATATAAAGAGGATTGAGATCATCTGCGCAGAATTCAGCGAGACCAAAATACAAGGTGATTGTGGAACGTACCAGGTTCCGGCTCTAAGACGGACTGAAGCAGAAGATCTGTTTCTTTGATCCCTCTGACAACGTTCGCCAGGACACCGTGCCGCACTAATGATGTGAGGATATTGTTATGCGCTTCCGGCCGGAACATGTGAACCAAGGCGTCCAGCAACATGAACGCGATTGACTTCCATACTTCGTTACCATCTATAGCGTCACGAGCTACGACAGTGGTTAAGCGATCCGCTGTACCCTTCAAAACGGCAAGGCTGACACTGCTTAGGGTAGCTGTGCCGTGACGACTCTTCTGACTAGCCGCCTGGGAAACGACTGGGAGTTGGCTCGAGGACAGAGAAACATCTGTGATGGAGGAGGTGAGCATGGATGCTGAAAGACTGCGCATGTCCGACTCGGATCCGGAATCTTTGGAAGTCACTAGGTGCTGGTAGTTAATGAGCGCAGCATACAAGTTGCCCCGTATGAATTCGTTACTGTTGGTGTCCATAATGATGTCCAAGATATTGCGGAGTAGAGCGGTCAGGCGCTCCAGGGGCAAAGTGCCTGCCTCCGTATCTCCGCCTGCCGACTGCACGATGATCTGATGTCGCCTATCTTCCCTCAACTTCGTGATGCACGAGAGTATAGCTTCGGAAAGTAACACGGCGGTACTTTCTTCAACGTTGGGTGACCGGATGGCCATCGGCAGAGCGTGCAGCAGGTCGAAAAGTAAGTTTTCCCTGTTATCGTGAGGCAACTGCGTGAAGCACTTCATGAGAGTCATATCCAATAGTCTCCTCCATGCTTCATATCCTGCGGAGACGGCGTAATGAACTTTCCGACGGTGGTTCTCAACTACACAGCTCTCGAGAACGTAGTGAGTCTCGGCCGCTAGCTGCTGAACATGTGTGGGAGTGATAATCTTGCCTTGAGCATTGAGAGCGCGACGGGCATCGGAAAGGAGAGATAGTACTGCAGCTTCATCGACAACTTCACAACCCGAGTCGTCCGTGCGGATACATGAGAGCAAATTCAATTGGGACAAGAACTGCAGCTCGATCGGTTCCGGCGCGACACTGTCTGACCAATCAAAATCCAGAGAGTGCAGGAATTCGATGATCCGGCTGTGAGATTGCCCCACATCGTTGAAACGCCCCATAACCGTGGTATTTAAACCCTCAGCATCAACACCTTCAAATATAGCTTCATCGTTGCCAAAGACAATCTCTAACAGATCCGACGCTGCTCTTCTGTGGCCCTTGTTCGTTAGGACGTGTAGCTCGAGCGCAGCCATGTCAATGATCCATGACCGCAGGCGGAGGAAAGAACAGAGGACTGGTGCAGTAGTGGTTACGCGCGTTCCATCAGTGTAAACCACCTCGACGAAAGGATCATCTTCGAGAGTGGGCACCTTAAACGTCACAGCGGCCAGCTGTCTTGCAAAGAAGTCTTCTCGGGTGCGCAAGTATCGCATAGTAAAGTCTGACGTCTGAGTATGGGAACATAGTTCATACACGACATGGTAGAGGCGCTCAGCAAGGCCAGGTTGCGCAATGAACAAAGGATTCATATGACGAGCTTGCTGGCGTCTCCGTTCCTTGTGATGGCCCTTCACCTTTGGGATGCCCGCGGTGAGCATGTCAAATATAACGTGGATGCTGGTAGCTCGGCCATCCAGCGCATGAGGGTCTTGAATATGATGATCAGGGCCCATTCCTCCTAATAAAAGATAGTGCGCGATATTCGGGTACCTCTTTCCAGGTTGAGTATTCTCGATGAACAGATCCACAGCGGCGAGTTTGGTTGCCTGGGAGAGAGAGACGGGGATGTCTTCAGTATCTGCCGCTCCCGCACCCGTCCACTGATCAGCAGCTGCCTCCGCGAGCTCGACATCTTCCGCAGTGTCAGCTTCCATTAGCCGTCTGTATCCATCCAGTATCCGATCGGAGTCACTGCTTTTCTCAATCAAAGCAGCCAGATTCGTGAATGCCGACGAAGAGGCGAGGGAATGCAGTATCTTGACGGAGAGAAATGCCAGCTCTGGATAACTAGAGTGCACAACACATGCCGCCAGAGGGGGAACAAACTGGGGGGAGAAAGCCAGAGCTTGGTCTAACTTCTGGAAGTAGGAGCGGGGTGGGACTACGCCAGCAAAGGGCATAGCATCCATCTCGGACAATACAGGGATGAGCATGTCGAGGTAAATGTCTTGGATTTCTAGCACACGCAGTATGATCCGCAGGACGCGGACGATCATGCTCGAAAGGAAAGGCTCGTGGTCCTTGTTGCCTCTGTCAAGTTCATCCAAGCATTCCGTGATGAAGGTTAATACGGTCGACTGTACTGGGGATGCCGTGAGGAGGCGTTTCATGATGTCAAACCCGGGATGTATCACGAAGGACGCTAATGCTTCTGGCGTCATTCGAGCGTCGCTTTCCTGCATTCCGAGAAGGCCTTCGAGTTCATAGCTCGCGATACATCGCTCCATGAAGCATAAACACAGATCATTGATCTGGAGCCTGTCCGTAAGTTTCGCGTACTCCCGATCAGGGATTTTCGAGAACACCGTGTCCATGACGAAGGATACAAAAGGACCGATGCCCGGGAAGCGGTAGGTAGACCCAAGGTTTTCTGGGATTGTCTGGATCGGTGCACCATCCGTCATACGGACCTTCAATGGGACACGCTTCGGGGTATGTATAAGCGTGCTGAGGAGCTTTAGGAATGGTATCGTCGCAGGATACAACTTGTGCACCGACTCCACTTCTTCCAGTTCCACCTGGACGCCTCTCACAGCAGCGAGATTGAGGCGAGCGCCGCCCCGCACGTCAATGATTTCTTGCCGCTCCATGACAAGCCATACATTTCTGCAGATTTCGACCCCTTGTATACCCGCACCAGGGAGACAGAATGCTGCAACAGTTTCGAATATAGCGCCTTTGAGTTCAAGAGGAACCGGCAGAGGGACAAGCGATAGTAGAGTTGGAATGGCACGGAACTGCACGTTCGAGCAGACGGCCACACGCACAGGTGGTGAGTATGTGACCGTCGTGGCCAGTAGTCGCAGGAACGCATCGGCGAGGTAGATGTCCTTCGCAGATAGCATTAATGGCTGATGATGATGTTGCTGCGGCGGGGGAGGTGCCGGCTGCTGTTGCTGCCATGGTTGATTAGACGATTGAGTAGCGGCTGGGGGGTTGGATGGAGGGGCACGATGGTTTGAAGCAGCATTCGCCCAGGACTCCAATATGCCAAATATGGTGCTCCATGACACCATGGGCACGCTAGAGTAACTGCTACTAGAAGTCGAAGCAGACAGATCGAACCCTGGCATGATCTCACCTGCTCCTCGGGCCATGAAATTGTAGGCAAGCTCTGCACACTGAGGGCCTTTAGACAATCCCGAAAGCATATCATACAGAGCCGTTGACATATCTGGGTCGCGGGCCTGTGTCGACCACACAGCCCATTGTAAAAAGGAAGGGAGTTTGGGCGAGCGCATTTCGGTAAGTACGATGTAAGGAGTACGCGTTGTCTGAGGCGGGTGCGCGCCCCAGTATTGCAGAGCGGTATCGGGAGGTAGAGCAGTGTACAGCACGCCGATGAAAGCGAAGAGTGTGGCGATATCGTTCCTAGGAGGCCTTTGTTCGCCTGAAGGTGCGAATCGCACCGACTGGTGTACCCGAGATCCAGAGGGAGCGCGCCCAGTTCGAGAGCTAGTCAAGAGCAGATCTTCTTGGCGCTGTTTGATCTTCCGTAATTCGGAAAGAGCGCTTGAAATCAGGCCGCGGACCAGAGCGTCGAAGGATTCGAGGATCGCCAGCTTGAAATCGGGGTCTGGCAACTCCGCGAGACCGTCCGCATCTATGGGCAGTCGTAATTGCTTTGCGAAAGAAGACGGAAGCGAGCTTCTCAGGGTCCTTTGCAGCCGTAGGGTTATGGCAAGAAGATAAGTAAATGCGTCCCCTTGAAGCGCATTCCAAATGTTGGTCTCAAGCTGCTCAGTCCTGAAGCTGTCCTTGTCTTCCAGCTCGGGATTGCGTTGTCTAGCCTCAGTCAGGAAGAGCGTCCACTTCATCAGTACAGTAGCTTTCAGACCAGGTTCCTTCCACTGTGTCGCAGGATCAAGCTTTTTCTTCATGTAAGGCAGCAATTGCCTGTCCTCATCCAAGGCCAGAATGCCTCTGACTTGACCGCCAATGGTCAGGGGATCAACCGAATCGAGGGAGACCAGAGTGGCGGCCAGGATATAGTAGGTGATGGCATGTTGGGGATTGTTGGACAACCATTCAACCGCTCTTTGGACGTCAAATGGTCCGTAATATCCAAGCCGAGCAATGAGGAACACCACAGTAGCCAAAGTGCGTCGCTCTGATTTGAGATACTCGCAGCGAACATCAAGGACTTCCTGCGCTAAAGAAGCTGAGCGCCCTGCGGATAGATGCCTTCAGCGATGCGCGCAAAGGAAAGGTAATAGAACACGCTACCAGGTTCAGGGACGATCACAGTATTACTTGTAGCGGTCTGTCTGGCATTATGGGCTTTGGCAAGCTCAGTCCCAAGGGCTTCGAGCGTATTGAAGATTCTGTGCGTGAGGCCAAGGTCGTCGTGCTTGGCGTCGGGACGAGGAGGGAGTACGTATTCTCGGGCGAAGGCCCTAATTGCAGAGTAGATTCTGGGCGAACCTTGTATGTCTGCAACTTCACAGGCCTCGAAGATGAGCCGCAGACATTCACCAAGGTCCCGACGTCTACGGTGATGTAGGAGTATCGCTCTCTCCACTGCTGCGACAGCATTCAAGTTGGGACTCTCCGTCTCGACTGCGTGCAGGAGCTCGGCACAGTATCGCTCCGACGCGTCGAGTTGCTCTGAGAGAAAGAGAACTTGACGGCAGAAATCCTGATTAACAGCCAACTGTCTTCCGTTGACCACAATTTTACCTGCCCTGGCTCAGTAAACCATATATACAGATTCAAGATGCACACTCACCTGATTCCAACTCCCGTTTCTCCTGTCCGTTCCTCGGCCCCACTTCAAACAAGTTATACAATGCATCCCTAGACTCGTTCAGTTCGTCAAATAACTCCGGTTCGCCATGACTAGGTCCGCGAGGGCTGAGTGTGTTTATGAGAGCTGCTCGTAGATGGGATATAGAATTCATCGCGGCATGCAGACCAAGTCGCAGTCAAAGCCTCAGACCTGGGTGGCGAAGATGTTGAACGCGACGCGTCTCGTTCGTCACGCGAAAGGCCGTGTGGCTTGCCTCGTGGCTCGTACTTAGTCTCACCGCCGGCATCGCTGCAAGCCTTTCCCTTTCTTCCTCCACCGTATGTCTGAAATCGAATACCGTCAGTATGTCGGGGAGTCTGATTTGCCTCACATCATGGCTCTGGTGCAAAACGAATTGAGTGAGCCGTACGTTATCTACACGTACCGTTATTTCCTGCATCAGTGGTACGTCGCGAGTCCGTATACACACGCAGCCAAGGCGGGCATCTCATAGCTGTCTTTCAGGCCACACCTGTCGTTTCTTGTGAGATTATAGGCCAGCAGAGCATCCAGCGTGATTCCGACCTCCCCCTTGCTCCTTAGGCATTCCCTGTGAACTCCTCAGACCCTGTCGGCGTGATAGTATGCAAGCAGAGCGAGCACCGAAGTTCTGCCAATAGAGGGTATATCGCAATGCTCAGTGTTAACAGATCGTGGAGGAAGCGCGGAATAGGTACGCTCCAGCTCATCTTGATAGCCTCCTCTCCAGGGTTCCGACTCTAAGGTATGTTGCGCGTCCACAGCTACTTCCTTAGTCAGAAAGTCCATTGATACCATGAAACAGCATGGCGTTGAAGAGGTGAGCGTAAATTCTGTGGTCCTATTTCATTTCGTGCTTAAGAACTCCTGCGCCACAAAGATCGTGCTAGAGACAGAATTCGACAACTCGGCTGCCCTTTCTCTCTACGAATCTCTTGGGTTCATACGCGAGAAGCGCCTATACCGCTTCTATCTGAACGGTAAGGATGCGTTCCGGCTCGTCCTCGCGGTTAGCCCTGGCGAGGACTCCCCCAGGAGTGACAGCGGCCATTCCATGTTACGCCTCGCCCCTTATCGTGCAATCCCTATACCTCCTCTGTCTTACGATCCTGACGACGTATCTTCCCGTTAACTTTATAACCAGTGATAGTCCGCTCTGTTGTCCTTATAGCTTTCTACGCCCTCCTCTGTCGTCTTCGGGTCTCTGTCGTGCTCTTGTACCTCTGCAGTTGTATTCATAGATGTTCTAGTGTCGATCACAATCCCTGGTTCCATCCGCTTGTCCTCCTGCGTGCATCATGGCGTTGGATATGGTGAAGCTACCTAGTTCTTGCAAGGTATAAATACAAGCGATGGCGAAAGCAAATAATTCATTCTAATTACTGTCATAATAAAGACCTACAATAGGCGTTTTTGCACACCCAAAACATCCCTATAGCTCGTCGTGCGAGCGGAGCGGCTCCTGGTCATCATCAGGCCCTGGCGCGTACCCAGCACCACCACCAGAGTACAACTTGCTCGTGATGGGGTTCACCACGCTCTGCACTTCCGTCAGCTTCTCCTCAAGGTCCTCCGCACTCGCAGACTGCCCATTCTCGTCGATCCAGTCCGTGGTCTCTTTCACGACGGCCAGGATCTTCTTCTTGTCGGCCTCCTCGAGCTTGCCACCAAGACCCTCAGAGTCGGTGACCTGGGTCCGCAGACCGTAGACGAAGGAAGACAGGCTGTTGAGTGCCTCGATACGCTTGCGCTGCGCCTCATCCTCAGCGGCGAAGTCCTCAGCCTCCTTAACCATGCGCTCGATCTCCTCCTGTGAGAGACGGCCCTTCTCGTTCGTGATCGTGATCGACTCGGACTTGCCACTGAAAACACGGTGTAAGCCACAGTAGAATGGCTTGGGGACTGTTGTGGTACTCACGTTCCCTTGTCAGCAGCGGACACCCTCATGATACCGTTGGCATCAATCTCGAAGGTGACCTCAATCTGAGGGACACCACGAGGCGCGGGAGGAATACCGGACAGCTCGAACTTGCCGAGGAGGTTATTGTCCTTCGTCAAAGACCGCTCACCCTCGTAGACTTGAATCAAGACCGTAGGCTGGTTGTCAGCGGCTGTGGAGAAGCTGCCGAAACTGTCAGCAAAACGAAAGCATGTCCCATAGAATTAAACGTACATTTGACTCTTCCGGGTGGGAATAACAGTGTTACGGGGAATGAGCTTGGTCATGACACCGCCAGTGGTCTCGATACCGAGAGTCAAGGGGCAGACGTCGACGAGGACAACGTCCTCGGTACCAGCCTCGCCGGACAGGATACCACCCTGGACAGCAGCACCGTAGGCAACAGCCTCATCGGGGTTGATACCCTTGGAAGGCTCTTTGCCGAAGTACTCCTTCAGGAGCTGCTGAACCTTGGGGATACGAGTGGAACCACCGACAAGAACGATCTGGACGACGCAGTCAGGCTAACGATATACCTGAGGAATGAACACTTGACCTACCTCATCGACTTCCTCCTTCTTGACGTTGGCGTCCTTGAGCACCTGCTCGACGGGCTTCATGGTCTTCCTGAAGAGGTCCATGTTGAGCTCCTCGAACTTGGCCCGAGTCAGGGTCTCCGAGAAGTCGTTGCCGCCCTCGAAAGACTCGATCTCAATGCGGGTAGACTGCTGACTGGAGAGCGTCCGCTTGGCCTTCTCGACTTCACGCTTCAGCTTTCCGAGAGCCCGCAGGTTGTTGGACACGTCGGTACCGGTCTTCTTCTTGTACTGCTTGATCAAGTGCTCCATAACCCGGTTGTCGAAGTCCTCACCACCCAGGTGGGTGTCACCAGCGGTGGCCAAGACCTCGAAGACACCGTCGTCGATGGAGAGAAGGGAGACATCGAAGGTACCTCCACCGAGATCGTAGACAATGATGCGGGATTCGCCACCTTTCTTGTCGAGACCGTACGCGATGGCGGCGGCCGTGGGCTCGTTGATGATACGAAGGACAGTGAGACCGGCGATGGTACCGGCATCCTTGGTAGCCTGACGCTGGGCGTCGTTGAAGTCTAGAACAGATAGTCGTAAGACAATGAAAGGGCGTGATCGAACAAAGACTTACAGGCAGGGACGGTGACAACAGCGTGGGTGACCTTCTGGCCAAGGTATGCCTCAGCAGTCTCCTTCATCTTGGTGAGGACCATGGCGCTGATCTCCTCGGGAGTCTAATCGAACTCATAAGTTACAGAACTTCGTTGACTCAAAGAAACCTGATGCTTACGAATTCGCGCACGTCGCCCTTGTGCTTGACCTGAATAGCAGGCTTGCCGTTCTTCTCGACGACCTTGAATGGCCTGAGGAATACTGAGTCCTAGATCGTGACCCCGGGGCTAAACTGAACGTACCAGTGCTTCATGTCGCGCTGCAACTCAGGGTCGTCCATCTTGCGACCAATGAGCCGCTTGGCATCAAATACAGTGTTTTCGGGGTTCGAGTGATAGGCATTCTTAGCACTGTCACCGATTCTGTTGAACGCAGGTGTCGGTCAGAGCCCATGACACCCTCAGCCAGACCGAAGTGTACTCACAACCGCTCGTCGTCAGTGAAGCTGACCCATGAAGGCGTAATCCGGTGACCCTGGTCGTTCGCGATGATCTCGACGCGCCCGCCCCGCTGTACACCCACGCACGAATACGTCGTGCCCAAATCGATACCAATAACCGTGCCGTACTCGGACTTCTTCTCGTCGGCATGTACGGGCGGACATAACAGAATCAGAGCAAGGAAAGCGAAGAAGAGAAGCGACAGCGAGGACGCCATGCGCCGCGACTGCGAGCGCGTCGGACGACGGGACATGGTGATGGTGATGGTGTTGAGGAGAGTGTGCCTGCGCCTGCTAACAACGCGCCGCACTTTTATAAGGCCTGCCACGTCTGAAGCGCACTTGACACGTCAACGCTAGCAATATCGCTTTCCCACGGCTTCGCTCTGTCTTTCACCGAACATTCACGAATCACAAGTGACTGTCCCATCTGCTCTGCATCACTGGCTTGTCTTTCTCGCGGTTTCATATACGCGGTGAAGGGAGAAGCTGTACGTTCGACGTGTCTGCAAGTACGCTTTGTCGCTGCTCAGTAGAGTCATCATCGGATCTTCTGAATTGACCGGGGTTGGACGCCGCGCGAGACTTGGTATGATAGAAGAGAACCATATAATGCCGTCGATTTTTGCCCTATAGATCTTCTTCCGGACGAGCTACTGCTCGATATCTGGAACTATAACAAGGAACATGTTCTATCCAAGACTCGTAATGGCAAATCGAAGAAAACGCATCCCCTTCCCTTCGGGATCCTTGTTTCATGGGTGTCTCGAAGATGGCGGCGAGTCGCAGTCAACAGTCCTTCTCTGTGGTCGTATATCTGCCTCTCTGGTTCCTCGCGCATGAAGATCCTGAGGCTCGTATTGCATCGATCACAGAGTTCTGTTTTCTCCCTTGTTTTGGACATACATGAGATGGAATTGAAGCGCTTACACCAACTACTTCGGGTTCTGTCGCCTCACGTCCCACGGTGTCGCAGCATTGACTTCGGACCCTCCAGGAGAATTTCCTTAATGGCCGACGAAAACTGCAAACTAGCAATGCGGGAACTATTTAATTCGCCTGCCCTGCATCTCGACCGACTGCGCTTTGCGTGGGGGGTGCAAGCCGTAGTAGCGCATCTACCCTACATTCCAAAGGTCAGGTCGCTTTCGCTGTTCACGACTAGCCTGAGCGAGAATCTTCATCTTGTCAATCCCCACTTGACGGTCTTGCACCTACATTCTTCAGGGGACCCCATGGACCCACGACCCTTTCGGGACATGTTGGCCTGCGTGGCGTCCTCCCTGATTTACCTATCCCTTGAAGACTCGTCAGTGGCCCTTTCGACTGAGGAGAGAAAGTTCGACTGTGTAAACATGCCGACTCTTCACTCGCTCATGCTGGGGAACTACAGCGACGTCCTACTTGTGGAGTACTTCCTCTCGTCATTCAGTACGCCGAACCTGCGTATGCTTGGTCTCCTCCAGATGAGCTGGGAAGTTCTCAGTAAGACGATAGAAGTGCTGCATAAACTGTCGCCTCCCGATGGGTTCGTGTACCCAGCTCTTGAGACCCTAGTCATAGAAGCAGTCGACCCAGTGGATCCCGAACGGACGATGCTCTTACTAGAGTGCCTCCCGTCCATCCGGGAACTCGACATCGGCGGAGGGGCAGCCGATGTGTTTCTAGACTATCTCGTGGACCGGGATTTGGATGAGGGCAATCCTGCCGGGGTCTTGTGCCCTCGCTTGCTCACCTTGCGATGGTGCGAATGGTCAGCGTACGACGGCGCGCTGGTGCGGCGCTTCCTGGAGCGACGGGCGGCCATGGGCAAGCCGCTCGCGAAGCTGTCTAGCGATCGCGAGACGTTCCTGGAGCTCGAAGAGGACACTCAGGCATGGTTGCGTGGCCATGTCGAGGTTTACTTCCGCGAGTCAAGTTTCAGGGAAGAGGCGCAGTCATTTTAGTCTGAAAGCTTGGGCGGTGAACATGTTCGATCCCTCCAAAATCGCCGACGCCCAATTCTGTATATTGTAGTTCCCGTGATGACCCCTACCTATGTCATTGTGTGAAAGGGGAGTATCAAACCCCGGGGAGCCCTCATGACTCAGGAATCATTTCAGCGCTGCACTTCAAACAGGTCGGTGTCGTTATGATTCAGAAGGAGGCAGTGAAGTGCAGCAGGTCTAGTCTCCGGATCCTAGGAGTGTTTCTTTGACTATGTCAGAAATGAAAGGCTTTCGGCGACTTTGCACGGTATTTCTGGGTTGTATCGCCGGATTCACGCTGATGGTGGCGGTGGATACATGGATTCGTGGGCGCTGATTGGCTGGAGCCGACTAGATTTAGATCGGGCATCCCCGCAAGCCTGCCTTATCTTGCCCCCGAAGTGCCTAACCGAACGCTTGACGCCCATTGAAGCCCTTACAGCATACGGTCCAGATAAGAGCTGAGAATTTCCTGCTCCCCACTCAATGCTATATATACCAGGGGCTGAGAAGTATGACGCCCCCCTCTTCGGTTTTGCACTTTTCGTTCTCTAGTCGTTGGTATGCCTGCACAAGAGAAAGGAGCACAGAATCCGAAGGACGCGGTTGCCCTCGCGGATAAGGAGCTGCTCGCGGCATTGGGGTACAAAGAGGAGTTTCAGAGAGCGTTCACGCCGTTGGAGGTGCGCCAGCGACTGGGGGGGATTGTTTGGCATAGCTGATGGATCCGTGTAGGTCTTCGGTATAGCATTCAGTATAATTGGCTTGCTACCTTCGATCGCGTGGGTGCCTTCAACCAGGAAAAGCTCGCTTTCTAACTGCGTTTGTGGTGTAGATCCGTACTGCTCTATGCGCTTCCCAATGGCGGCGCGTCGGCAATGGTCTGGGGATGGGCGGTCGCCAGTGTTTTCATCCTTTTCGTCGGAATGTCTATGGCTGAGCTGGCATCTGCGGCGCCCACGTCCGGTGGTGTCAGTTCATCTACCTGCCTGTCCCGGCTCACACTCAAGCTGTTTGCCGTATAGCTGTACTTCTGGACACATTCTCTTTCGTCTCCACGATGGCGTAATCTGCTAGCCTGGATCGTGGGATGTGAGTTCGTATCCCCGGCTCACCAGTGTCCTCAGCATCTCATCCTCTCTCTTAGACTCCAACACGATCGGTTCTATAGCATCTGTAGCTTCAATAGACTGGGGTTGCGCAGTCCAAGTCATGGCTGCAGCTAGCATTGGCTCGGGCCAAGAGTTTACGGCCACCAATGCCCAGTTATTGTAGGAGTCCAATCTCTAGACCGCACCTGCATGACAAACTAATCACTGCCCGACGATAGTGGGTGCTACGCAGCTATCGTATTGACTCAATCGATCGTGTGCTCTCTGGCCACCCGGGTGTTAGCGCGTCTGCAGACGGTGTACGTCATCCTGAACGTTATGTGAGTGTGTATCTTGGTTAGCTCGTGTCGGTCGCTGAAGTAGTTCCTCGCATCATAGGCTGTGCCTAGCCGTTATTGTAGCTCTGCCGGCGGCCACTCCCTCGGAATTCAAGAACAGTGCACGTTACGCCCTCGGTAACTTTTCAAATGTCAGCGGATGGCCGGATGGGTTTGCTTTTATTTTGAGCTTCCTAGCGCCTCTCTGGACTATCTGTAAGCAACTCTAAGTTCATATCGGTGAACCGTTTTGACGCGCTCATCAGGTTCTTTCGACTCCAGCGTCCACATAAGCGAGGAAGCGTCCAACGCTGCTACCGCTGTTCCATGGGCGATTGTCAATGCTATTGCTATCGCGGGTATTCTTGGATGGGGTGGGTATCTAACACCTGATCGTAAGATCGTCTATCTCACAATGCTGTCAGCAATCAACGTGTCATTGGCATTTTGCATGGGGACGGACCTTGACAGCATTATGAATAGCCCCATCGGCCAGCCCATGGCGCAGATCTTCCTCAACAGCTTCGGAGAAAAGGGCACCCTCGCTGTCTGGGCTATCGTCGTCCTCGTGCAATACATGATGGGGTCGAGCATGGTGAGCTACCTGCACTCGGTCTCCTCTTCTCTTCAGGCTAATGATATTTTCAGGTTCTCGCGGCGTCCCGCCAGTCCTTTGCATTCTCGCGCGACGGCGCCCTCCCCTTCTCCGGCATCCTGTACCGCATGAACAGCTACACGAAGACGCCCGTGAACACCGTGTGGTTTGTGTGCTTCTCTTCGATCGCGCTCGGCCTGCTCGCTTTTGCGGGCGAGGGCGCGATCGACGCGGTGTTCGCGATTGGCGTGGTCGCGCTGTATGTTGCGTACGCGATCCCGATTATGGCGCGGTTCCTAGGCGAGAATGAGTACAAGCCCGGGCCATTCAGCCTCGGGATTTTTGTGAGTACTTCTCTTGCTATCACTTCGGGGTGTCGGGATGACTGAAGGGCGGTCGCTTCCGCAGAGTCTCCCGGTGGCGGTTATCTCGGTGGTGTGGATGGCATTCATGGGCATCGTATTCCTCTTCCCGACCAGCCCGCAGACGGACGTCGCAGATATGAACTATACGATCGTCGTCCTGGGCGGGGTGCTTATCCTGTCTTTGGTTTGGTATTACTTCCCGAAGTATGGAGGCGTGCATTGGTTTAAGGGACCCGTGCCGACTGTGGAGAAGAACAGCTGGGATGAGGAATCCGATGGCCAGGGCTCGGAGGTGGAAAGAGAAAAGAAGTCGAGGGAAAATGAGGTGGATGTGAGAGCTGTTGAGGCTGCCGAGAGATCGTGACATACGAAAAATGCCTAGAACTAGTGGACGGAATAGATGGCTTGTAATGTTACATCCTGTAATTTTTGGTACGCTGTAAAATATGGACGTAACGCCCTACGAGCGTCCAACTTGAAAGTACCATCGCGACGTTCGGTCCTCAGGTTATTGGCCTCCAAGCTGCGAAGCATAACGTTCGTTACACCCACAAGCACCCACAACTACCACCGGGACCGGCGACCATCGGCAGCCGGGTGCCATTCCTTTACCAGTGGCATCCGCGCGTGTACCTCTGTCAGAGCCACTGACCCCTACCTCATCTTAAATCCCTGATGGAATCACCGGAAATCGCAGAATCAGAGAATATCTCCGCATTCCGTCGATGGCTTACAGACAACGGCGCCAGGATCCATCCTTCCGTGTACTTTGACCCCAGTGAATGACCCTCTTCCTGCACACCACCGTGACAATGGGCTCACTGAACTCACCGTGAAGCACCATCTGGATTCTCTGTGCGTACGAGAGAACCGCTCCAGCCGGATATAACCGTTGTGTCTACGCCGTTCTCGCTGGCTATCACTCTCGAATTAGCTAGGAACGCTTTGCGTGAAGTCCTTGGAGAAGATGTGAATGCTCGTCTGTTGTCAATGTCTGAGAGAGAGGTGATCTGTCTTTACGTGTGCATGCATTGGGTGCTTGGGGAGACAAGGTATGCCGTGCCGGGTCAGGGTGAGTTGTCCTTTGGAACATCGCTGACAGGACGACCCGGGATTGCAGTGGCACGCCTTCCCTTAGACATTTCCCTTACTTGAACACTTTGCCTTCGCCGACGAAGCTGCGGACGCCACTTCACTTCACTGATGACGAGCTGCAGGCCTTCAAGGGCACAAATTTGTTCGGAGCCACCCTTGATCGAAGGAGACAGTGGATGCAGGAATGGCAGCGGTGCAAGGAAGTAGTGAAGGGAGTCGACGAAAAATGGGCGGAAGACTTCACATGGTATGTATTCGAGTGAACTACATATTCGCTCCTTATGTTATCCTTTATCGACTTAGGGAAAGGTATCTGACAGCAGCGACATATCTGTCTTCACGCGCCTTTCCTTCTTCCGTCCTCTCTCGCACACCCTCGCTCAAGCCATCATCAGCCTCCTACCCTGTTCTTCTACCCGGCATAGATGCCCTCAATCATAGTCGGGCGCAGCCTGTCTCATGGCTAGTAACGTATCCCGATCCATCTCATCCGCAAGCTGAAAGCGAAATTTCGACTTCCGAGCCAATAATATCTCTAGTTCTCCACTCATCTCACGGCACGGGCTCCGAGCTCTTCAACAACTACGGCCCGAAGCCAAATTCAGAATTAATTCTAGGCTACGGATTCTCTCTGCCGAACAACCCGGATGATACAATAGTACTGCAGCTAGGCGGTAGTCCGAAGAAGTGGGAGGTTACGCGTGATGCAAAGGGCATTGACGGCGTGTGGGAGGAGGTTGTGGACGTGATGAGGAATTCGGCAGGAGAAGCTGGGTACGAGGACGACGGAGAGGACTGGCAGGACGAGGTGGAAGCTGCGGGTATTCTGCAAGAGATGACCCAGGTGCTCATGGATCGGTTGCCACCGTTTCCTCCAGTGGTTCCGGTGCGGGAGGAAGTGAAGGTAATGTTAGACCATTATCTTGAAGGTCAGTCGTGTCCACACCTGGATGATCGAGTCCTCTGGAGGGCTGGAATTTGCGTCCTCGTAGGTCAGAGAGCGATTTTGGAGAGTATCATGAACTTTGCAATCCAGAAAGAAGATATCGCTTTAGCGCAAGCTGGCCAGACACGGCTAGATATCGTCGAGGAAGAGGAAGAGGAAGAGGAAGAGGAAGAGGAAGAGGAAGAAGAGAGCGAAGCGCGAGTATGACTGCAGGATACTAACTGCGCATTCGTTGCTAATCCCCTGCGATGTGGTGAGTTATTTCGTAAATTGACTCTGCAAGTTAATCTAGTCCTGCTGACGTCTGCTATCGTATCATTATACCGACAATGAAGTATTTAATTAAACCAAAGTCCGAGAGGCCCTGAAAAGTATTGCATATGCCTTAAACCCTCTGTATCCTGAACATACAGCGTAACATGGTCGTTACTGATAATCGCCTCCCCTCCGTAATTGCTCGCTGTTTCTCAATTTGCAGGCCTCTCAGAAGGAGCAGACAGACACTAGCAACGACGAACATAATTCCCGTGAACACCTGAATGATTATATAACTGCTTGGCCCGGTTCCGCGTCTCATTGCGAATGCTATGGCCTCTGCAAAGGTGCATGGGACGACGACGGACAACCACACCAACGAGAGTCCAGAAGGGAGATTGGCTATCCCGACGACTTCAGCCGTCAAAGGTCCTACGCACTGGTAACGTTGTCGACGCGGTCAGTACTACAAGGTATGAACTTGATAGAGCTTTATACTCACCGACCAGAATGAGCCGCAGATGGCTCCGTTGACGAGCGCGAAGAAGACGCAGACGCCGTACGACTGTGCTGGGATCCAGATGATGAAACATGTCAGGCCAGTGATGAACGTCGCGATGCCCGCCATGTTGATTCTGCCCACAGAGTCCGAAAAATAACCAACGAGCGGCCGTCCAACGGTCATCCCGACACTGAGGACAGCGGTCACGATAGAAGCTTGGTGCGTGCTAAGCCCTTTTGATATCGAGAAGTCGGAGAGGGAATACAGGAGGACGATATACCCCAGAAGACTGAAGCACGCCCATGCGAGGATGAGCAGGAAGTCTCCTCGTAGTAGTAACGAGATGTCGAACGCCCGCTGATTGGGGTTGATGTGTTTGTTACGGTCGCGCATGAAGAGGGTGGCAACGATGTTCACGACGAAGAGGCATATAGCGGTGATACGGTACGCCCACGCCAGACTGATCGACTCAATCATGCTATTTGTGGCGAGCGCCCAGATAATCCCTCCAATGCCGGACCCAGCGGAGACGATCCCGTTTGTGATGCTCCGACGTTTAAGGAACCACTGGGAAGGTATGCCAATGCTGGAGGTGAAGGTGAGACCTAGTCCCCACCCGAAGAGGATGCCCTGTGTGAGGAATAGGTGCCAGATCCTGTTTGCGAAGGATGCGGCAATGAGGGCTCCCGATTCGAGGCATACCCCGAGTAGCATGGTCGCTCGGAAACCGTACTGACGGCTGAGCGCCGTTGCAGCAGGTGCAATCATGAGTGCCTGCGAGATGGACAAACCGCCGACAAAGGCGTATTCGAGCTTCGTCGCTCCCGGGAAGATGTTGTTGTTCAGGAAGTAGCCCAGGTAGATGGCATAGCCCTGGGAGTCTCATCAGCAAAGTGAATACACGCCATGCGCAAAATGCGTGCTCACCGCATTAACCCCCCATGTCATCGCGCACACCCAGAATCCGCACGCTACGACCACCCATCCATACCCGCCATCTGGTGGTGGAGCGGCTTCGGTACGAGGAGTCTTCTCCACTTGCCCTTCGTAGTCGTTTTCAGTAGTACTCGGTTCACGAGGAGTTGCGTCCCCGTCTTCATGCTCGACTTTCTCTAGGACAAGTGGTGGACTAGGTTGGGCGTCCATGGTCATGAATGTCGTGCGATGGGATATTGCAAGGTTTATGGGAATGCCTACTCAGTGTCCGAGAGTTATAAGGCCCTTCTCGACCTTACATATCGCCTGTCGTGGGCCACAAAGTCCTACGCCGAGCCCGATCTTGTTATTAATGGACTTTGTATAGCATTGAGGGTTTCTCAACTCAATCTCCGGCCGGAATTGTTCCAGTCCTCGTGTAAGAATAGCTCCATCCGTACAGCACGGAATGATGGCACACTTAGTGGAACGTTGCTTGGTGAACAGGCACTGCGTCTATTTTGGAACTGACTGCACCACGAAGCCTGTTGGACTTGGGCGCAACCTACGTTCGCGTCGGGGGGCAGATCAAGAGTGTAATCCTTGGAGAATGCAGCCTGAACGAGACAAAACTTGCTACATACATCTTTTATTGCACTCGACCCTCAACAGTCAGATGAACTGTCAATTAGTACTAAGCGCGCAAACGTATGGGAAGTCCCCTTCGCTCCATTAAGGTGCAATTGCCCTATTGAGAGGCGTGTGAGAGAATGGAGACGGAGGTAGTCGATCTGCTCTGGGAGACTAGACTGCACTCTTACTGGTACCATTGTCTGTTAAACAAGTAGGGATCGCCTTCTGTTAGGAGTCCTAGCACGCAAGAGGGTCCATCAGAATTGTCCCTGATCTTCTCCGAGTGGCTGTCACTGGGACGTCAAAAGAGCGCCACGGCGAGTTCTGGAGTCTGCGGATTTTGCAAAGTATGTCGACCGAAGTGAATGGAAATCAGAGTTCCAGTAAGGACAGTATCACAGCTGCAGTGATACGGTTGCAACACCGACATCAACACCGACTGTCCGAGGCAATAGAGTAACCAAGGCAAAATGAAAATCCTGTGCTTCAGTATTGTGCGGGAACCTCGCATCGGGACTTCGACTTCCGGGCCTTTACTACATAGTGGACAAAGCAAGTCTGGCACGCCTCGAAACCGGTCTTCGCACTGGTATCAGTAGGTGATGGACTATGAAACCCACGACAGGGTCTGGTTTATACTTGGAAAGAGGAACGATAACGGCGGAGGATAGACCGACCGCTTTCGTCGATCCGACAGCGCCGGCTTCGCCCACAGACCGGAGGTGTTTGGGCTTCGGTCACGTCACACGTCACCTAAGTTCGACGATCCTTTCGCCATGACTGGCACCGACATGCGTCTCGACAAATATGAGGATCTATATCGTATGCCGAAGAAACACAATATCTTTATTGAATGAAAATCGTCTGATTGCTCTGAACTTCACATCATTTGAATAGGGGTCATGGACATGGGTGGGAGACCAGCGACTTCACAACTCTGTTCGCCCATTACGGTTCCCTTTCACCTGCTGTCGGCGCTAAGATTGCCTAAGCTGTGCTTAGGTACGTCTCTGAATCTCCCTTCGAGGAGTTAGCTCATGACGAGTTTTCCGCAGGTGTTCCGCCACGAAGGGGTCGCCGGTCCCTTTGGTTCTTTCCCCAGCCAGAGACCAAGTCAGAGACAAGATATTGTACCGCTGTCTTCATCAATTCAGTGCTTGACTGTTCCGATGCACTTCCAGCCATTTCAATTATGTCCATCATCTCCTAGGCCCAAGGCTGCCAAGGGACCAGTGTTATCTTGACCTTGACTATAACCGCCCAACTGTATTCTCGCGTCATGGTCGGACAAGCGCTCTTGCGTGATGTGGTGTATGTGCCAATCAAACAGGGTCCTTTATGTTCGTTGATTGTACCTCCCTCGGGCCTTAAACGTCGGATGCCCGACAGCGGATTCACCGCCACGAAGGGCAGCATGAGCACGTCCAGCTGAAGTCCAGCCCGAGCGGACGACATATAAAAGCTGGGCTGTGAGGCTAGGGCATCTCTATCCCACAACCCCCTCTCTTCAGCGCAAGCAACCTCTAGCTACTCTACTTCCTAATTAAACCCACCAGCGCTCCCTAAGGACATGTCTTTTGAACTCCCTTCTCCTACTCGCAACCTGAAGGCATCCATTCTCTATCATGGTCTTCAGTCCATCAAGGGCCGCTCTCCCTATGCCTCCCAAGGCCACACTGCGACTGCAACACCTGTCAATGGGGTGGATATTACCTGGAAGCCGACGAACTCCTCAGTGCATGCGTACCCTGCGGAATGCAAGACTGTCGCAATCAGGGTCCTCATGAACGTCCTTCTTTTGCTTCGTATCGCAAGTAAGTTGGCCCTTAGGTAAATTCCAGACGAGGTGATTTAGAAGATTTCTCTCAGAATGGAAAGTAGCAAACGCCAACAACGAGAAGTTCAAGCGCAATATGCAGCTCCCGTATTGTAAGAGAAATATATTATTTTTATCTTCTCGCTTTTCTGACCCGATACTTTATCAACAGACAAAAGCGTAGCGATGGACTCCATCCAAACTGAACTCGAGGCTGTCCTGGCCGAGACCTTCCCGACCGCCTCCCACACCGCCTCCTTCGCTCGCACCATTATTGCTCGCCTCCTGGCTGCTCACACCGTCACTGCCATCATCGGTGCGTTGGAGGAGGTTGACCACCTGCACACCATGGGCCTGCGGGAGCTCGGCGGCGAGCGGTTTGCCACATTCACTCAGGACTCGGCCGAGGAGAAGAAGGACGCGGGCTTCACGTTCGCAGTTCTGAGCTGTCCAGAGCGGCTCGAGATCAGCTGGCCAGCCGAGTACGGAAGCGACTATCTTACGGCTGTGATGCGGTATGCTCAGGTCCTCAGGAATGAGCAAAGGGAGCCTTCCTTCCTTGATTCTGTGGTACGTCCGCCTACCAGCTTTCACCGCAGAGTACCCACGAGACGCATCTGGACAGGCGTTCCAATTTGGGTATCATACGTTGAGCAAGGGCGCGCCCCTCCCGGCGAGTGAAGCACGCTTCCTTGGAACTGTAGGCTTCCGCACGGACGCCCAGACGTACCTGAGTCTTACGGACCCCGGTGATGGCCATGTCTCTGGCACAACTCGCAAGACCCGGTGGATGACTGGGGCAATCGTGCACGTCGAACGTAAGCTTCCCTCTTGCTCTTATCCAAATTTCCCTCTAATCAATATTTGCCGATACAGACTTGGAACGCCCCCAAAATCTTCCGCGTTCTTCGATCGAGTCTTATCGCATCCCTTCGATCCTCGACTTCGCCAAGGTGCGCCTGCATACTGGCCGGGCCGCGCCCAACACATACTTCGTCGGTCGTGCCTTACGGGACAGCATCACACGCGACTTTGCATACGACTTTGTCAAAGTCGTGAGCACCACGAGCGCCGCTGCCTCTGCGGCCTTCGCTCTGGGTGCGGCCGAGTGCAAGGTTGCAATGGACGGACTGACGACGGGTCAGATGGTCCAGTACATGCAGGGGTTGGCCGGGCATGTCCTGCGGAAGCCGGGAAGACAGTACTTGAGCGCGGCATTCAACTTGAATCACCCAATTATGGATGATCTGATGCTGGGCGAGGATGGACAACCCCGCATGCTTGAGGGAATCATGGAGATCGGCCTGAGGGGGATTGAACTTGCTGCTCTGGGTGGTTTTGACAAGGTGACCTGGGACGGTGCAAGTGATAAATATCCCTCCGAGCCGGTCATTGTGCAGCTGGGAGGAAAGAACGCCCTGGAGCTCGTTCACAGGGCGCACGAGAGGGGCTTGACCACATACATGAGCGCCGGATTCAAATTCCACAACGTCAAGGACGCAGTATTTGCCGGTGTGGATGGCATTGGCATCGGTGGTGCGCAGATTCTGCGATACATGGATGGCGGCAGTGGAATGCACGGTCCTTACGTGAGTCTACATCCTACCTTTTGCTTGGCTAGGATTTGGAGTTGACAGGTGCCTGGTAATAGACGGAGGAGAATATCGACAGGATCATGGTAGAGCGTAACAACGCTGAAAATTCGATCCGGGGCCAAGGTGTGCGCCTGCTCGCCCGCCTCGACCAGATGCACTTCGAAGGATCACTCAGCGAAGCGGAAGAGAAGCTCCGGGAGCCCCTGTACCAGGCTCTGTACGACTGTGCCGAAGGCGACATCTATGCGATGCTATTCGACAACAAGGACGCGCGGGCGGTGATGGAACTGCCCGGCGAGAGCGAGGAGCCGTGGGTGGGGTGCGCCGAGCGCATGCTGAGGCACGCTAATCCGCTGTTGCGCAAGGGCGCTCAAAATGACGAGCAGTGGGAGGGATTCGTGGCGGCGCTTGCGAACCTCGTGGATGTTAAGGACGAGGAGGGTATTCAGGACTTCGCGCAGAGTGAGCCATGGGTCGGGATGAGGAAGGGGTACCGCGTCTCTGTGGGAGATGGCGAGAAGGACTTCAAGGGCGAGCCGAGGGTAAGGGTCAAAACCACCCCGTACGGAGGATACGGCTCGATCGGAGAGGGGTCGGACAAGGTCACTGTGGATACCGCATGAGAAGGATGGCTGGTCTAAACTTTTTCTTCGGGCATAAGGATTCTTGGTTGACTATAGATCTATTTATTGCAGACTATCATCTAAATTAATCGCATACATATGTCCTTGATTATATGCTATATATCTCTGCCTTGACATTTCCGTATTAACTGCCTCCCTCATTGCTGAAGGGCTACATTAAGATTTCACACACCCGAGTCATCCCTCGTGGCTCCAACGGAGTGTGCCGGATACTGAACATGCCCCTCTGCCAAGACACTAAAGTCTGGATCGTCTGAACAAGTCAACACGTTGGACGGGATTGCATGACTTTCAAGGAGAGCACGCGAGTCGACATAGCGGTGATGGCTGAGCATTAGACGGGACATCATTGTAGCGCAGACCCTGTGTCACATGGAAGGTGGAGCTGTTCGTAAGGCCAGAACGGATTCGAGATAACGTACACATTTGTGAATACAGATAGGGAACCCAGCGGCTGAAGATGCATCGTCAGCTATTTCAATCTTTCAATTGCGCGTTAACGTGGCTGAAGCTCACCTGGTAAAACTAGTATAAGATGGATAAGGCATAGTGAGAGAATGCTGATATGAAAAGGGGCACGTCCCAAAGGTAAAATCCAAATACATACGCAAAAAGTGAGGATATTGATGGCATTTACCACAGCCATGCACCTGCGGCGACTTGAGCATTCTCATGACAATAACGAGCAACTTGGCTGAACTCACACATAGTACAAAGCTCCTAAGTGGTTATAAGCCGCGCGTCCATCATGCAGAACTAAAAAGAATGTCATACCATCTCTCAGGAAGAGGGCACCTATACCGCGCCAGTGCTTCAATATCCCCTTGAATCGCGGGGAGCGCATCCTCCATGCCCTTATTATGGTGAGGAAAAAAATGAGGGTGTCAAAGACAAAATTCGCCTCCCACGGGATTGCCCGATCTCAGGGTTTACTCAGAGCCCGTCTAGCCTACAGGGAGTTGTACAGCTTACAGAATGCACTGACCTGAATTTAGCCTCAACAGAACGACAGACGTAGAATGGACATACGCATGTCCGAGATAGATGTCATCACACTCGGGTGGCCTGGTATCCATCAGGGATTGTCCTTTGAAAGTGAAAACCTATAGCGTGCGGCTGCTGAGTATTTGTTGCCGTAAACGGGGAAGCCTCACTGACTAGTTCCATGACACTAGTAAGGCCCACGGCGGAGACAAGGCCAACCAATACACCCCGGCTGCGGTTGTATAACACGTACAATCGCATCGTCATGAGGACTAGCAGGGTTAGACTTTAGTCTTACACATAAAGTGAAGACCGCTTCATCTACTATCAGGCGCCTCACCTTCTATGAAGATCTGGCTCGCCACTATGGCGATTTGGCGCTCCCGTTCAAGATCAGTGCACCTATTCAGAACGATGTCGCTGACACACGCCGATATTCTGACAAGCACTTACATCTGTCATGAGAAATGGTCAAATGTAGAAACGGCTATCAACAGATTGAGAATGGCATACCCGCGGCGACAAATCACTGAAGGTGTCGAACAGATTAATGACACCACAGACGATAGCGAAGTATCGGTTGAGCACAAAGCACGTCTTTCCGACTGACCACGGCGTCCTCCAGATATATCGGATTTCATCGCCAAGTGTTATAGAATAATCATAGCAAGTGATGGCTGAGGAAGTAGTCAGCTAGTGTTGGATGAGGGTTCAACGAGTATTGACGACGAACCTGTTCCCATCAAGATTAGATAGTTGTGGAACCTCCTGAGAGCTCTAATTTCAGAGTTGCCGAGATAGAATGCAAGGCAACCAGAGACGTTGGTGCTGATTGTTGTCCGTCCCTGAAGGTAGGATACCTGTAAACGATAACATGGCTCGTTATGGGGGCATAACGGTGGGAATAGCCTTACTCACCATCGCCGCAGCAATTACCAGCACAGCAGCAAATAAAAGACCTGCTACTACGCTGCGATTGCAGTTGTACATCGCGTAGACCCGCATGACCATGAGGACTAGGGAAGATCAGACAGCGAAGGATAACACAGCATACTGTTCTTCTGTACCTCCTATCATGACTTGGCTTGCTACCAGAGCAATTTGACGTTCCAAGTTGAAGCCCTCACACCTAACAGATAGCACTCTCAGCATGGAGGGTGTGATGAGACATTTACCATAAAGGTCTTACATCTATAATAATCGCGTGAGAAAACAGCATTGAATAGCATGAGAGCAACGTACTCCAATAGAGACGTCCGTAAACAGTCCATAAACAATGAGAGCATTGGAGAAGGTAACAAAATATCTGTTTAACACAAAGTACACTTCGTCCCTAAATGTCAAGACATGATCGTAATATAGAATAACTGAGACAGGAAAGTCAGAGCACGGCACGCAGATATGGACCAGCACCAACCTATAGCCACGAGGGTCAGGTACTAGTAGTCATGGAGCCTCCTAAGAGCAGCATCTTCAGCTTCCAGTGGTTCGAGCAGCGAATGAGGACTTACGCAGTGTAGTATGCTTGCTCCATAGTGGGGGCCTGAAGGAGGTACAGCGCATATCCGTACCCTTTAGACAAATGGCAACGATATCATGCTGTGCCGCTCAATGTCAACTTGCACAGGTATTATCAGGATGGGAGAATCGCGTTGGGAGGAGGGCCGAGATGGACTTGCATTATAGTTTCCAATGCAGAATCTTTCTGAGTACATGGCGCGGCTGGGGCGTAAGTTGTATACAAAGCCCGGTCACTGGAAACGGGGATGTGGCTGATGTGGCTGTATGTGGCTAAGAAGTCGAGACGACTGCGTTGTCCGCTCCCGGCGGCTCGGCTAGTGGATGATCGTGATCGCCCTCGAGCCGATCTGACTAGATCTAACAGGATCTAACTAGGATCACTACCGCCATGGCGTCCGCTGCAAAGTACACGACCCTCCACGAGACTTGCTTCAACTACCCGTGCGTCGACAACCACGCACATCCTCTGCTCACCGCAGCGAACAGAGATGCCGTCGACTTTGAGGGCATCATCGCTGAAGCGACGGGCCCTGCGCTGCTCGAAGACTCGGTGCACACGCTCGCGTGTTTCAAGGCCACTGCTCAGTTGGCGAAGCTATTCAACCTTGGGCCTGGTGCGTCTTTTTTCTTGTGATGCCGAGTATATGCGTTCTTAACTTCCTGTAGATGCGACTTGGAACGACGTCAAAGCCAAGCGCGCGCAGCTCCCATATGACGAGCTTTGCGAACTGTCCCTGAAGCCCACCAATATCCAGTGCATCCTTTTCGACGACGGGCTCGGCGGCGTCGAGGAATGGTGCGAGTCGTACAAGTGGCACGACAGATTCACGAAGAGCGCCAGTAAGCGTATTGTCAGAGTCGAAGTCGTCGCTCAGGTACGTCTGGTATCTATGTATGCGGCGCGATAAGCTCGGTATGACGGGAGCTGCGTAGGACATCCTGAAGACGCTTGTAGATGCGTCGAGTTTGTCTTACTCGTCCGGAACAGATCCTGCATATATCCCGACTCTGCTTGAGACCTTCGCCGCGAAGCTCACTGCGTCCATCCAAGCCTCCGCCGACGACCCCGAGGTAGTCGGGTGCGCGTCCTGCCTCTGGGTATATGCACCCTGCTAAACGTATGCGCAGCTTCAAGTCTGTTGCGTGTTATCGCACAGGATTGGACGTCGCTACGTCCTGCACCCAAGAAGATATCGAAGCAGCACTAGCGTCGTGCCTTTCACGGTATGCACCGTCACTCCCCGTGCTCCATTGGTTGCGCATAGCCTGAATCTGTATCTCAGGTACGCGACCATTAGTAAGCTGCGCCTCGATGACAAGCACCTGAACGACTATGTCGTACGCGCAACTTTGGAGATCGCCGGGAAGTGTAACAAACCCGGTGTGTGCCCTTTAAACCCACCACTCTCTCTCCACCCCATCTTCCTTGCAACATCTTTCTCGACTTCCTTCTTCTACACCGCGTACACTGCTCCTCTAACGCCTGCACCACCCATTAGTCCAGTTCCACACTGGCCTGGGTGACAATGACCTCACCCTTACACGCTCCTCGCCCGCGCACCTCCAGGGCGTGATCAAAGCCTTCCCCAACACTCCCTTCGTCCTCCTCCACTCCAGCTACCCGTACACGCGCGACGCAGGGTACCTCTGCAGTGTCTACCGGTGCGTCTCTGTACCTTCTCCTATGTTTCCCCTCGCTCTTTCCGTGGGACCCCAGCGCATATCGATCCTGACCAATCCCCCCCGCCCCGCTAGGAACGTCTACGTCGACTTTGGCGAGATATTCCCCTTCATCTCCGGCACGGGCCAGCGTGCCGTCCTCCGGCAAGTCCTCGAGCTCTGCCCCACGAACAAGATCATGTGGTCCAGTGTGTCTTCTCTCCTCATCACACTCTTTTCTCCTCCTTAACCCCTGTTATTCGTGCAGCGGACGGGCATTGGTGGCCCGAGTCATACTACCTGGGCACGGTGCAGGCAAGGGAGGCTCTGTACGCTGTATGTGATGCATGCTCGGTTCGTCTGCTGATCTGAGTGCTGACGTGGGCACGTAGGTCCTAGCAGAGTCCGTGCGTGATGGGGACCTGACCGAGCAGCAAGCCGTGGGCATGGTGAAGAACGCACTCTTCCACAACGCGAACCGGATATACTCGCTAGGCCTGAGTCCGCTCTAGACGGGGGTGGGTGGGACCGGCGCAGCCAATGGATGAGGTGTGTGTTCAGGAGCAAAAATACACGAATGAAAGGATGCTTTATGGCGGGATGGGTCATCATACCCTGCTGGCTCGGGCTGAGTATTGCCACTGAGCAAAAAACTCGTCCAGCACAACATCGAGGGCCTAGCCGGGAATTGAACCCGGGACCTCCTCCAATTGGGTTCAATGCCCAATACAAGACACCCTAAGAAGGAATCATACTACTAGACCACCAGGCCCTTGTCAATGGGATCTCTTGGTATAATATACCACATAACATCTCAACTTGGGGCAGCAAATCCTGCTCACATTTGTGGACAAATTATGTGAGTACATGCACCTCCAAAGCAAGGCCACTTCCACTCATTGACTGCAGAAGATAAACAAGGAAAAGTTCTTGCCAGCAATTGGCGAAACAATACAGAACTTTCAGAATTCTTCACACAGGCAGCTGAGGCCGGAAAGGTAATTATACCCCACTCGAGGCCACAGTGCACCACGACTCACCACTCTTGTTGATCAGGATACAGCATTAGCGGAACAAAAAATGGTGATAGCCTGCTCCAATAAGTAAGCCACAGCAGAGCAGCTGCTGAGTGCAAGAAATCCCAAACTTCTCTATTGTTTCGCTCATTGCTGGCACATGCATATGAATCATGATGTGCTACGTCGCAGGGAGATGGATCACATCACCCTGTTGTAGCCTGCTCAGCCATGCCCTGTGACACGGTCATGAACAGCTACTGCCAGACTCAGAGTATGTATGACCCGTGGCGAGATTTTGGACTGAACATGAAAAGGGTCTCGGATAGTCGATCTTATTGTTAATGTCTCGACTCGAGCCAGAGGCCACTCGCGCCACGGCTGCAACTCGAATGGGATCTGGAGAATCGAGAATGCGGGGGCATACAGAGTCAGTTCAAACTGCAGCCTCTGCGTGAATATATAAGGGCCGAAGAGGTCACGGCAAGTTAGTGGCAGCAGCTAGAACATTATTCATCTCGCCCAGTAGTCTCTAGCAGAGCGCAGAGCACTGAGTGACGGTGAAGCCTCGCTGGAGAGTGCTCACTCGTACAATGTCACAGTGACCAGGCATTTCCTCTCAGGCTGGTCATATATCAACTTCCATAGCATTTTCGGAGCAAAATGCAGTCAGTCATGCAAAAGGGAATGCATACTTGGGCTGAAGAAGCTCACCTCCGCACGGCGACCCGGTGCGCGCCAATACGAACAATGTTGCCATCGCAGAACTATGGCTCCAAAGCGTGTGGGAGGAGATGCGTCTCGAATGGGGCCGTGGGCCGGGTATTTCGCTGTTGTGAAGCGTGACTGCCACCCGTGAGCAATTAATCAACAGCAGGACCGCGGGGGATGTGCATGGGCTCGCCCGCTCGCGTGTGCACAGGGCAGGGATGGGAGCGGAATGGGGGCTACAGGAGCGAGACTCGGAGGCGCCGCTGGTAGGTGCGCAGGTGAGCAGGCTCAAGATGCGAGGACATGAAATGAGATACGTGAGCGCATGGGCGGGGAGAGACACCTCGCGATTTCAAGGCGCTTCGGCGGAGTCGCTGGTATTCAGTACTGCAGCCGGTCCACGCGGGGTGAGATCGCAAAAATGCCCCATAACTTGGCGAACCTTCTGTAAGTGGAGGGTCGTGCCAGGCGCAAGGGCCATATGCAGATATCTGTACAACTGCATCTACGCATATCGCGAAACATTCAGGATGGTGCATGCTATCGCGCGGAGGGGCAGGGTCAGTACATTCCCGACTAGCGATCCTAGGAGCAGCGCGGGCGTACCTATTAAACGTACAGGGCTGGTGGGCTCTGACGTACGAGGCCGCCCGGGTACGACGAATTAACAGGTGAGGGGGGATGACGAACCTTTTCGGCTTGGTGCTTCGAATGCACGGATCTGCGCGATTTGCGCCTTCAGGAGTTCGTTGACTACAGTCCGCGATATTATCAGGTCTTGTGTACGCGGACAAGATGGACGGCGAGCTGAATCTATGGCGGGCAAAGGTAAGATAAGTATCAATATATTTTGCCTCCGAATGCCTGCAGAGATGTCGACAAAGCAGCGGGCAAACGAGATCGGATGCGGCGGGCGGTCATGTGTGGATAAAGCACTCGGAGCAACTCGACTAGGACCGCGTAAGTATATTTAATGCAATCGCTGACGCCAATGCCCCGGGGATGATCGGGTGTATAGATGAGCACAGGAAAGGATAAATATGATTTACGCACCTGACGACGACGGTGCGCAGGGCGAGTGCGGCGCGGAGCAGATAGTCCTGGCGCGACTAGTAGTAGAAGCGCGAGTGCTGCTTGATCTTCACGCGCAAGGCCCGGGGGCGACGGGGTAGCGGCGTCATGCTCAGCAGTCCTGCCATGCTCAAGAGGGACCCCGCTAATGTGCAAACATTGGAGGTGGAGTGGGCGAAGGGTCTGGGAGAGGTGAGTTGGCGAGTACTATTGTACCGTGCCGGAGAAGCGATGACACCGCCGGGGATCCCGTACGATATGGGTCAGAGCTCCACGAACCTTTAGTGAAGGGGCCTGCTATGATTCCAGATGCAAGAGTAATAAATGCAAGTATCTGTACAATTGCATCTACGCATGCCGCACAACATCAAGGGTAATCCATTCTGTGGTGCGCCGGTCAGCACTGAGCGGGCCCATGGTCCTGGAACTAGCACTGACGAACCTATCAAAAGGACAGGTCTGGAATCGGGGTATGAAAGGGGAAAGGTGGATTACGAAGAGTTCTGTTTTGCGAGCCACGTTTCGTATTGTTTGGGAGTGAAGGTTTTCTGGAGGGATACGAAGAATGGGGGTGAGAAAAGAGCTCGCGGAGGTGGCTATGGCTTACCTGGGAGAACGCATGCATCTGTGCGATTTGCTTCTTCAAAAGTTCGTTGACTATGTCACCAGAGATTGTTGAGCCTCATTGTTGGCGTACAAGAGGGACGACGCACTGAATCTGTGGCGGGCAAGGGTGTTTTTGCCTTCGAATGCCTGCGGAATGAAGGAGTAAATTGCAGGGCATAGAGAATGGGAGAGCAAGGACAGACCTCGCTGACGACGAGGATGGCGTAGTTTTCGCCACAGCCGTTGCTCTGGTCGATGATGTCGAGGTGGGAAATGGGAATGGCCGCCCGCAGCGTGGACTCGAGTTCTGCAGTGTCGACCGCCATCGTCTTGGACGTCGAGAGCAGGCCGGGATGGCTGACTAATCTGATAAGATTACCCACGGCAGATGCCGGTGCAGGCGGCCCGGGCTGCCGAGGTGGATGCCACAGTAGTATCCATCAACAGATCTATCCAGGGTCTCCTGCCAGTATCCGACGCAAAATGCCCTTCACGCCGCCGTACCCGCCGTACGATCCCACCGATAAGATCGGGTACGCTCTGCAATCCTCACCTCCTGCCCGTCTCACCTCCCCATCCAGCTTCTCCTACGAGACCGTCGTCAAACGCTGGCCCATCATCCTCACCGGTATCATCGACCACCTCTACTCCCTCAACCACGACCTCTCTCTGCGTGCCCAGGCACCCGATGTGTCCTCGCAGACGAAGAACGAGCTCAAGGAGCAAATCGAGGAAGCCAAGGCGATTATTGGCAAGATCAGTGCACTAAAGTACCACATGGCAAGGGACCATCAACTAGAGTGGGTGTATGCGTTGTATATTGCTCGGCTCAAGGTTGTGATCGCGCAGGCGTATACCCGACGACGGCGAGCCCCATGTGGAAGCGTACAACTCGGGCTTGGATGACCTTGCCAAGCAGGGCAAGGATACCTGGTTCACCGCACCTTGGCTGTTCGCAGAGTGCGCATATACCCACATTCACGCTTTTCTGACCGCGCTTCATTCTCTGCGCATTTGTCTCTCAGGTGCTACCTGTACGTCTACACTATTGCATAAGAACCAGACCGGTGCGTGCTGACGGCCTCAGATACCGCCTCCTCCGCTCCTACTTCTCCACGACGAAGCACTGGGCCCAGTTCGACCCCTTCCAGAAGCAGAAGCTCGACACCTTCAAGCAGAGCGGCGACGCCTGCTACCGTGAGTCTTCCCCTTATCTTCCCCTCCTTTTCTCCTCACCTCGACTCGAATCTTTCCCTGTCCCACGCTAGAACTAGCAACGACGCTCGCAGAGCTCGAGTCCGAGAAAGCCGCCCTCGCGGCCGACCCGGACAAGCTCAAAGTCCTCTTCGGCGAGATGCTCCAGATGTGCCTGTGGTGCGCCCCCCCTCCCTCCCTCTTTCCCCTCTCCCCTATACCCCTCCTCCAACCCTTACCCCACCCCTAACACCCAGGGGCAACGCCACAGACCTCTCCCTCCTCACCCACCTCTCGCACGCCGACATCCAGAAGCTCCAGTCCGTGGGGCGCGACGCCCAGGCCGCCCGGCGCGAGTTTATATTGCGCGACGACGGGGACAAGGCGTGGGAGGCGATCAGGGAGGGGAAGGGCGGAGAGGGGCGCGTGGATTTCGTGCTGGATAATGGTGAGTGTGTTTCCATGTCCGTTCCGGCGGGCCGTGAATTGGTTTGGACGCGCGTGCACCGCAGGAGTCGCTACGAGGCGGTAAGAGTGTCCCCCTCTAGCGTATCCGCCCGCGGTAGGGCACTTTTTCCCCCTCTCGCCTCTCCTCTCCTCTCGTGCGCAGGTAGCCGCCTGCGGTGGGCGGGGCCGCGACATGCGTCGCCGCAGGAGTCGCGGGGAGGCGGTAGAAATGGCCGCCAGTTGCATGGACTGCCGCCGCGGGGCATTTCTGCCGTCTGCCCGCCTCTCCTGGGGGCGCATCTCGTGGACGGGCCTCCCGGTGCGGCGGCTGGGCGTGTCTGACCGGGAGAACGAAGCGACCGTCTGGAAGACTGGGCGGGGAAAATACTCGTGCCGCCGGTGCACTCCCCGCTCCACAGCTGTTCGTTCCATTCCTGTTTCCTCGCTCAATTTTTCCCGCTGTTCCGTTGGCTGACGACGCTGCTGCTGCCCAGCTGGGTTCGAGGTGCGTGCGTGCGCTAGTAGCAATTCCATGCGCGGGTCTCCCAACGCTCCCCGTGCAGCTCTTCACCGATTTCGTGTTTGCGGACTTTTTGGTAACGTACACGCCGTACGTGAACAAGGTCGTCTTCCAGTACGCCCCCCCCCCCTCCCCCTCCCATCTCGAGATGCCTGGCCTGACGTGGGACGTACCGCACCCCAGCCCGAAGATGATCCCCTGGTTCGTCTCCGACGTCACCCCGCCCGACTTTGCAGGCACCATCCCCGCGCTGCTCGACCCCGCTTTCTTCCCCTCCCCCTCCTCTCCCTCACCTGGACACTTGAAAGAAGACAGCCTCGTGAAGATGGTCAAACGCTGGCAATCCTACCTCGACACCGGCGTGTTCGCGCTGAGTGTGCCGCCCACGCGCAAGCTCGGCGAGGGCGACGCACGCGCGGACTTTTGGACCGCGCCCTGGGCGTACGCGGAGATGCGCGAGCGCGCGGGGACGTTGTGGGAGGGGCTGAGGGGGAGCGCGGTAGTCGTGTTCAAGGTGGGCGCGGTTTTGTTTCTGGAAGCTGGCAAGGGGCTGATGTGCTTATGTGTGTGTGTGTGGTAAAGGGGGATTTGAAGTGAGTTTGCTGCTAACCAGTGTCTAGAAGGGGCAAAGCTGAGGGAGTCGTCGTTCGTTTGGTTAGCTACCGCAAGTGCGTTCCTCGATATCTTTTTCGAACAGAGGGGTGCGGCATCTTACACCCTCGCAGACTCACAGGTGACGTCCGCTGGCCAGCGCATACGCCGTTCGAAGAAGCCATCGGTGCGTCCCTTTTCTCGTCTCTGGCACACGGCTCGCAACTCACACCCACAACGCCATCACGTAGGGCCCCTAGCAGGTTCGTTCCCCATCCTCAGCCTGCGCACAAGCAAGGCAGACGTCGTAGTCGGGGTGCCGAAGGAGGTCGCCGAGAAGCTGGACGCGAGTGGGGAAAAGTGGCGGGTGAACGGAAAGTGAGTGATTCACCCTCTGACCATGTGTCCGTAAGCTAACGAGACTCTCGTCTGCAGGTATGCTTTGATTTCGTTTACTGCATAGAATATAGAAGGGACTAGTATAATGTGCGACGAAGGAACGTGCAAGCAAGAATGGATAAAGTGCGTCCTACCAATACAATCGACTACTGCAATACATGTGATCTTGCATAACTATGGTACAGATTAGCAACTAGATGCAGCGTGACCGAGCAAAGAAAAAGTCTAATATGTACTGCTAAAGTCCCTGAAGATCTCCTGTGCCATGATGCCCTCGACTGGGGACTCTGAGGTATCAGGCGCAGGCACGGAAGCCTGGAAGCGTCGTATGGCTTGAAGCCGAGAGCGCCAATTGGTGGTGACCTCAACCTGGATGGTATCGTTTTGCGTGTGTTGAAAAACAGCCGCGAACCAGTCGGCCAGTAAGCTGAGCTGTCTGACGAGGAGAGGGAGGTTCTCGGCCGAGATCAGCTTAAAGTCTCCTATAGGTGTGAATTCGGTCATGCCCGGGGCGTGTTGTACCGTGACCTTGAAGTATTCGTGCTCGTGTCTGTTGTCCGAGAAAGCAGCGATCGTGCCTTGAGAGTGGGGCTCGATGACGATATTCACAAATTGGAATTCCGTCCGCAAGGTGTCGAATCTGTACGGCACGCCCGAGTCGTTCCAGACAATGCGAACGTAATCGTTCCCGATATGCCGCTTCTTGTTGGTGCTGTACTTGTCTTCAGGGTCGGTAGGCATTAGGGTTGCTGTGTGGTAGAGGATCTGGCCTATATCATCCCACCATGCGTAGGCGTATTCACCATCTTCGTCAGGTTCCAACCCGCCCGCATAGACATCCACCTGGCCACGAAGGTTGATGAGCCTTCCGATGCCTTCCAAAAATCGGGTATAGGCAGGAGAACCGTGGTTATTACGTAGTATTTCCTCTTCTTGTGTTTGTCCCGGAGCGACATACATGATTCCAACCTTGTGCGTATCTATGACTGGCATCCTGTCCAGAGTCCGGAAGAATGCTGGCAGCATCGAATGATCGGTAACAAGACGTCCGCGAGCATGTGTGTCGGGATATGGTGACAACTGGAGTGCAAAGAAAGATGGGTCCACTGCGACGTCTTTCCGCCTCTGAGAGGGAGCAGTCCCGCTCCATACATAGCCTGTAATGGGATCCGGCCTCGACGTATCTGATTCCCGATCAGTAGCGAAGATATCCTGTAGTTCCTGCAAGACCGAGATTCAGGATATCACGGAAAGGAGGACACACGAAGCTTACCTCGGGTACGTCAGATTTGCCCGATGCGTCTCCTCGAGGACTTCGATCCATCATTAGACTGGCAGGGATAGAGACAAAGTCAGGATCAACATCTCCAGGGCCGACCATAGGCACGTTCTCTGTCCGACAGAGGAATTTTGTGCTACCAGAAGGCCTTCTGGAAACTACCTCTAACCACCCTAGCCTGGCTAACGCACGGATAGTGACCACTGAATTGCCGACGATCCATGTCTTTTCGCTCACTGCTGCTTCTGGCTGGTGAAGTCTCGGATTCATGACCAGGTCATTCAACAATGAACTAGCTGGCCTTGGGTCTGCACTTGCGTAGGTATACCGTGCAAGCCAATCGAAACATACTTCAGTTGGCTCGTCGACTTCGGTCCTCCCCTCATTTGCTAGGAGAAGCTGACGGGTAATGAACCGTACGTGACGCGGTCTATCCGGTAGCTTCACCGCCAGGAACCAAATGTAAACCACGTAGTAGCAGATGATGCGAACATGCTGCGACAAGGCCCAGGACATTGTAGGAGCTCCTCCGGGCCGGTTATGATGCTGCAGATATTGCAAGGCAACGCCAAAGACCATCTTGAAGTCAGATTCGGTGAAATTGGCGTAGAGTGCCGGTACAGCTGCGACCATGGATAGAAAGTTCAATATGTGGACGGCCATTACAGGATTGGACATGATCTGCGCCAGCTTCTCCAGGATCTTGGAGAGATACCTGGTCATGGATGGCTGTAATTCGAAGGCGGACAGGGTTAAAGCATGCAAACAGCATTTGATCGTAGACTGCTGCCCACTGAGTCCCGCCAGGAAGACTTCCACAAGCGCATGGTGCAACTGCGGTTCTAGGTAGCGACGATAGCTGAGGAGAACGGACAACGTGTGGTATGCCAGCCCCTGTGCATCCCTGGGCTTCAATGACGGCGGCCAGCTCTCGATATTATGAGCCAAGTTGCCGCTCGATATTCCGCTACATAGAGCTCTCAGCAGCTCCATGATCTCTTTCCGTGTTTTCGGACCACAGAACAGATGCTTGTTGGCCAGCTGATTCGGCAGATGGCATAGCACGTATGACAGTACCTCCCAGTCCCTTTCCTCTAGGATAATATCGACCAGAGCTGACAAGTAGCTCGAAATCGGCAGCACGATACGCAATCCAGGTCCGTTAGGATCATAGGAAATGAGCCCTTCGCTCGGGGTGTCAACCTGTACGACTGAGAACGTCGGGACTTCAGGGGCAACCCAGAGTATTCGGGGAGGCTTAGCGGACGTGATGGTGATGGGTACGCGGGGGTTCGCCCTCGACCGACTTCGGCTGGACGCGGACGCTGACTTGTGCACCGCTCGCCCGCGCGACGGCAGCCTCCCATTCCTTTCCTGGGGCACAGAAGGCCGTGGTTTGCGAAGCTCCCGCACCTCAGGGGCCGGCTCTTCGCTCTGCAGTCGCTCTCCCTCCTTTGTCCCGTTCGGAGCAGCTCTACCGATCAGCGAGGCCAAGTATCTTATATGCCCATGCCGGTCATACGCTTCCTCCACGTAGAATAATCGGTGGTCCCTGTCCGCCCGGAGCCGCATCATGAACTGCAGGATCGTCAATCTTGCTCTGGGGCAGCTGGCGGTCCGCAAAAGATGCACGAGCGTGTGGAACATCCTCACAGCCAACGCCAAGTCGTGCTGAAGGAGCGAGCGCGGCGTGAACGCCAGCTGCGTGAATATGGATATGAGGCCCATAACTGCGCCGACAGAGTTGATGATCTTCTGCGCCTCGCTCGGCAGCGCGATCTTTGTATCGAATTGGCTCTCGTGCGGAGATTCCGGCAGGTGCGTCTGCGATTTTCCCGCCGAAAACGACGAGAGTATGGAAATCACCGAGGGCATGGACGACTCCTTCTCCCTGGATTGGATCGCGTACTCGGACTGCACCCTAGACAGGACAGGGCTACCTTGCGGGACCGGCGACTGGCTCGTGGGAGACAGAGTCTGCACGCTAGGTACGTATACCGAATCATCTTCGCGCCCAGAGCTCCCTGAGGCAACAGTAGCCAGAAAGTCGATAATGGCGTCGACGGCGTCATGATCAGCAGGGTCCAACGCTGGCTCATTCGTTGCCTCGTCGACCTGCGCTTCTGCAGTCCTTAATACAACCTCCTCGCCCAGGATATGCCAGACGATATCCCCCTCTTCCTGCTCCCCATGGTCGAACACCCGGCTCCTCCAGAACTCAAGGATGAGGTCCGAGAACGGCTTCCGATACGGCGCCATGTCCTTCACCGTTGCATACGCATTTTCCAGCGCTCGCAAGACCCTAGCGCGGGTGAGCGGGCGCTCCGGTGCGTGCAGCGCGGCGTGGGTGAGGATGTTAGACCAGTTGGCGAGCCAATCCGGGGAGATGGGCGAGAGCTCGTGCTGGTGGTCGAGCGACCGGACGAGCTTCGCGGTGTCCTCGTCGGTGATGTGGTCCGCGACGACCAGAAGTATCATCGGGAGGGACGGATCGGTGGGTGTGTCGTCGCTTTCGCGAGCCAGCACCGAGGCGAGCGAGCGCGTGAAGGGCGTTGCCGCCGTCGTGGGGTGTTTGAGTGGAAGCGGCAACGGCAAACCGTCCTGTGTCCTGCGAGACTTTTCTTCAGCTAATCAGAGCCCGAACCCGCAGAAGCGCGACGCACCGCAACGTATCCGCGTACAGCGCGAGCTGGTAGAGCACCTGTCCCAATGCGCCCGCCTCCTCGACGTCGCCCTCGTCGTCCTCGGGGCGCTCGTCCACCTCCTGCAGTATATCCTTCACGACGCCCACCGCCTCCTCGAGCACCGCCTCCTTCGCCTCCCTGTCCGCCTCCAGCGCGATCCACGCCTTGACAGGCGCGTGCAGGGCGCGGCACACGCGCGCGGTCTCCCAGGCGCTCAAATCCTCCTTGAGACACGCGTACTTCATCACGTCCGGGCCCGCGTCGATGTGCGCGGGCGCGCCCGAGGGCGTGTAGCTCCCCGTGAACTTGGCTTTCGCGAGGCGCGACAGGAGCGCGGTGCGCAGCATGTTGCGCGCGGCGCGGAACGCACCTAAGGACGTCTGCGTGTGGGGGACAGGGGAGTCGGGCGGGCGGAGGTGCCGCCGGAGGACGAGCGTGCAGGAGGAGGCGAAGGGCCCGGTGAAGAGCTGGTAGAGCGTCTTGCGGAGGCGCTTCTCGACGGGCGGGGCAGGGTGCGGGTGGTTGGCGTCGAGCGAGAGGCGCGGGAGCGGGTGTGCGTAGTGTGCGAGGCAGCGGAAGAGGAGCGGCAGGATGGTCTCGAGGTGGATGGGCGTGAGCACGGCGAGCTGGAAGGAGAGGTGTTTGAGGTACATGAGCAGGGCGACGTCGATGGGGAGTTTGGGTGGAGGGGTGGAGGAGAGGCTGGAGGGAGAAAGCAAGGGGATAGAGGTTGAGGACGGGTGACGCCGGTGAGCAGGCGGACTCTTGGTCGGGGTGGTTGTATTACTAGAGCCAGGCTGGTCAGGAAATGGCGATGTTGTGCTCTCCGACGCCCGCGAGCTGGACGAGAGAGCACGCTCGACGAGGTCCGCATAACGTCCCAGGAGGCCCGCAAGCTCGTTCTCTCTCGCCGTAAAGAGCCTCTTTAGCTTGTCGTTCATGGCGTCCACGAAATCGGACACCTTCTCGATGGCGCGCTCGCGCTCGGCCTTTTCCCCACTGCCCAGCTTCTCGGGTGCGAGCAGGCCCTCGAAGGCGCTCTCAATCCATGAGGTCGCGAGGCCCATGTACGCCAGCTCGCGCCCAGGCACGTCCGAGTCGACCTGCGCGAGCGCGCTGAGGGCGCGCAGACGCGGCTCCCACACCTCCGCGTTCCAGACGGGGGACGCAGAGAGGAGCATGGTGAAGGCGGCGCTCTCGACGCCGTTGACGGCGGAGAAGGAGGCGAGGTAGCTCGCGAGGAGGTCGAAGCCGACGGCCTGGAGGGGCACGGGCGCGGTGGGGTCGCAGAGGCCGGCGAGGATGGGGTTGAAGCTGGCGGGACCGGGGGGCGGGATGGAGGAGGCGGAGAGGGCGTGGACGAGCTGGCGGGCGTGGTGGAGGGACGGCACGGCGGGGGGCGCGAGGGCCTGCACGAGCTCGTCGACGGAGGGCAGCGGCGCGGCGGGGGCGGGTGCGTCGGGGCGCGCCTTGTTGCGCCAGGAAAAGAGCGAGGTCGTGTTGGACCGCGCGCGGGCTGTCGGACGAGTCGAGGACTCTGCGTCCTGTGCGGGAGGGGCCATGTCTGGGGTTGCAGAACAGATGGATCCCGCAGTGTAGACGAGACGCACTTGCCGGCTACGAGTTCTCTGGCAAACGCTAGGAGAGCAGAACGTTGTCGCGAACGTCGGCCACGTCTTCCAGCAGATCGTTAAGAACGAGCAAGGCAGCGTCGCGTGCTAACTATCATGGATTCAGCGGTTGGCAGATGAGTGGACGGTAAGCACTTGCCGAATCCCAGCAGTTACGGATGATCTCTCTCGTCGCACGCTGGCAAGGGAACAGAATGTTATCGTGGACGTCGGCCACGTCTTCAAGCAGACCGTGAAAGACGAGCAAGACAGCGTCGCGTGCTAAACTTTCATCGAGCGCAACGAGGCGGGCGTCATGCCAGGGCCGAGGACTGCAATCCACAAGAACATCCGTTACCGCTCCCCTGGTCTCATCATTTCTTATAAATTACTACTTAGACTATGCAGGCCACTCGTATCGAGTACTAGCATTGTTTCGACAGAGCGGGGATGTAAATCCAGGGGTGGAACCCAACTATTCCTCCTTACTTTCCTTCGCCGATATTTGCTTCCCGTGTTTGCTCCCGGAGGACTTCCAGCAGGATCTGCTGAGTCCTCCAGGCAAGAGTATAGTGCGTCTCGCCTTCAAATAAAACTCACAGAGCACCCTGTGCGGTCGATTTCAATTCAGCGCATCATGGGTATCGGTGCCCTTTCTCCCATGGAACACCTGCACCTTGCTGACGCTTGGATGGACTGTTTTGTCCAGTGTTAGCTATATGCCCTCGCAGTTGACCTCGCAGCGCTGAAATTCTCCAACCAATTTAAAGCAACCAGAGGCAGTCCTAGACGCACACGGCGGGGCACGCACAGCTAGCAGCGAAGAACGTACGCGCGAAGCTTCAAGTTCCCATATCGTGATTTCACAGCGTTCTATAACACCCGACTGCACTCCCCGAGCCAGTGGTCTGTAGACCCTCTATACTTCCACCGGGTGCGCAGATGCCATCACAACGCCCCCGAGCGGCTTCTCCTTTTCATCCAGTTCGCTGCCCTCACTCCCATGTCCACCCGGGGAGTGCATCCCGTCTACGTCTACTATCGCCTCGTCCATAAACGTCTCATGTGCCGGCCATACTACGGACGTGACGTAGTATACCACCGACGCCACCGTAAACTATCCGCAAATCAACATAAAGGTGAGAAACAAGACGAGAGAGAACGCACCCCGAAGAGCCACGCAATGTCGAACACATAGACTGCTCCTCCGACTTTGATGTTCGTATTAATCGAGTTGATCAATCCAGGGAGGTTTGGTGGGACGGATATAAGCAGTGCGAGGCACGCGCGCCAGTTCTGGTTTACCCTCAGTATGAGCATGAAAGATACACTTACGGAAATACTCACAAAACCGCCGGTATACCTATACCGCCCATGCGGGTCGTACATTGCAGGTACATCGACCTTGCCGCGGTGCACAAGCCAATACTACACCCTAGTCAGCCCAGCAAACCAACAAGCCCCCACCACGCTTACTCACATCCGTAACCATGATCCCCGCAAACGGGCCCAGAAAAACCGTGTACCCATTCATAAAGCTCAAGAATCCCGCCGCGCTCGCGAGGATCTCCCACGGGCAGAGCACCCACCCGCCCACGAACGCGCATACGACCTGCCCGCGGCGGATGTTCAGCCACTTGGGGCACAGCGCGGCGATGTCGTTGCCGGCGGAGAGGGAGTTGGCGGAGATGTTCGTGCCGAGCGTCGCGAGCAGGAAGGTGGATGAGGCGAAGAAGGCCGCGGCGCGGTTGTCCCATTGGTTGATGAGTGTTAGGGGGTCCCAGAGCACTTGGCCGTAGAGGATTATGCCGGAGCTGGTGACTGCGAGGCCGATGAAGCCCACGAGGGTGAACGCGACGGGAATTATGATAAGTTGGACATATTGCCTGTAGAGCCAGATGAACTCTCAATCCAACAATCAGACCAAATCAAACCCACTCACGCTCTCTCATCCTTCGCATACCTCTAACCAAACCCGTCAACTCAGATCCCCCAACACCAATGATACCCGGGCCTCGACTCACCGTAAAATCCGGGATGTTTACCGCCAACGTCGAATAAATCCCCAAGGCGCTATTTAGCGCACTCATCCACGCCCAACCTAGTTTCGAGCCCGATAAAGCGGTGTGCTCGCTCAGCAGCCCGCCGGGCGCGCCGCTGGGGACCTTGACGAACGCCCAGATGAGCATCGCGATCCACGCGGCGGGGACAGTCGTCGCCTTTGCGACGAAGAGCCAGCGGATACGTTGCGGGGAGACGAGCATGAGGGGGAGTTGGATGATCCAGTAGATGAAATACGAGACCATGCCTGGAACGGTGTAAGAAGGAATAGAAGTGAGGAAGTGGAGATCTACCTTGGGTCGTGATGTGTGCCGAAGGGGACAGGTGATTAGGGAGGTGGGCATAGGAGGGCCAGATGGCTTTTATCATCTGGGTCACCGCTTCCGAGCCCGTATACGTCTGAGCCACATATCAGCGCCAGTCATGACGGGAATGAGATGTGGCAACCTGTATACCAAACCAGAACATGGAGAGCACAACACGGCTGATGACGCTAAAGTAGCTGAACCAGAAGCCGAAGGACGAGCGGTTGAGGACGGGGAAGGGGATGTGCAGGCGCGCGCCGATGGTGCCGTTGAGGACCATCACGAGGGAGATGATGATGTGCCCGACTGCGATAGCGGGCAGCGCCTGCCGCCTGGCACCAGGAGAATAAGTGCCTCACGCATCTTGTCGGCAGAGAACAGTACGCACCAGGACAGCCCAATAGCCAGCATGGAGCTGGCAAGCTCCCAGACCGCGACGTTGGTCGCGTCCGAGATCCAGTAGGCAACGTAGTTCCAGGTCGTCCAGGTACGCTTATGAGGCGGGACAGGGTCCATGTCCTCGTTAGAGAGCGCGCTCGTCGGAGCGAACGTCGACGGCTCGGGCTCGAGTGCCCATGCGGACGGCTTGAGGAGGGAACGCGCACTGCTGGCCATGGTGCTCGAGGAGATGGCGTTCGTCGAGGGGGTCGGCTGCGACGAACGCGGGGCGGGTCGAGGGCGGGGTATATAAGGACCCCTTTGACATTTTTTTCGGATGCCCAGACTGCGAATATTCGATAGCGAGATAAGCAGGCGCCACTGCTCCTGATAACGAGGGCGGTTAAGCGCCCGTTTATGCAGGCGTGGGATAATTAGTCGTGGGACTTTGGAGACCTACACTCTCACGGACCTGCTATCCTAAAACAGGGGCCAGTGACATCCGCTACACACCGCCTGGCTGACTGTCTCTCTCCGGACGCGTCCTCCCTGCCTCCCACTCCAGTTCTCCCTTTCCTCACATTTACCCAGGCAGCAGGCTCTGGAGATGCACTCTGATGCGTTCGATGTTATCCCCTTCGAGGTCCGTCTAAGATTATCGCTGTTTTGCCTACCGCACACTGACACTGCTCGGACGCGCAGGATATCAAGGGAGACTGGAAGAAGCTTGGATCAGGCTCCTTTGGAAATGTCTACAAGGGTGCGCCTATCAGTCTGTCATTTGTACAACCCTAGAGCTCATCGATCACAGGAAACTACCTGGGTATCGATGTGGCCATAAAAGAGGTCCTACCGTCAAATGACTATGATGTCGCAAAGTACTTTGAGCGCGAATGGAGGCTCATGAAGTGAGTCATCGTTCGACTTGAACCAGAGGCCTCGACCTCACATGTCTCAGGGAGGCACGCCATCCAAACGTCGTTCTCTACCTCGGTCTCTCCAGAGCACCCGATCCCGACGGCCGTATATTCATCATTTCCGAGTTTATCGACGGTGGTACGTGTCTTCCGCTCTCCCGCGATTGATTTCACCCACACAGTCCTCCAGGCAGCGTGCGCCAGTACATCCACGACAAGTCCAAACCCTTCCCCTGGCGCCTCCGCCTCTCTTTCGCCACCGACATCGCCCGCGCCCTCGCCTACCTCCACGCCCGCCGCTGCATCCACCGCGACCTCAAGGGCGAGAACCTCCTCGTCACCTCCAACGGCCGCATCAAGATCACCGATTTCGGCTTCGCCCGCATCGCCGCGCGCAACGCCGACGAGTCCAAGCGCCTCACCTTCTGCGGCACCGACTCGTACATGTCCCCCGAGATCCTCGTCGGCAACGAGTTCGACCTCCCCACCGACATTTACTCCCTTGGCATTATCTTCTGTGAAATCGCCGCGCGCAAGCTCGCGGACGACAAGCACTTCCGCCGCGTCGCGCCCTTCTTCGCCATCGACGCCGACGAGGTCCGCTCCTCCGTCTCCCCCGGGTGTCCAGACGCGTTCATTGCCCTCACGCTCGACTGTCTCGCCAATGACCCGGCACAACGCCCCACTACCCGCACAATCCTCGAGCGCCTGGCGCAGATCGAAGCTGACATCCTGGCCCAGCCGTCAGAGGGCGACGATGCGCCCATTGGCACTGTCAAGTTCATGACCGGCGTCAAACGCCCATCTGCTGCGCCCCGCATACCCAGCTTCGGTATGGGCGTCGGCAAGGATATCCGCAACGGGAACGGCAACGCCCACGACTCGAGTGATGACGAGACCAGCGAAGACGAGCTCATGGAAGCAGTCATGGGTCTCCGGAACGTCGATCTCAACAGCCACTTCAGTCACGCTGACCGGGACAGCAGTGCGTCCCCTGTGATTTCTCCTCTACCCACTGATACTAACCCCTGAAACCCAGCCACCCGCGGCGACAGCGCGCAGCCGCTCATCGACGACAGCTCCTCCCTCTACTCCGAGTACAGCACGACCGTCATCCGCTCGCACCCGCACACGCCCTCGGAGCCGCCCTCGCTCTCCTCCATCCTCACCATCCGGCCCTCGCCCGACCCGAACGGCTCGCCCTCGCCCATCCCGGGCGGCGCGCAGAGCGCGTTCACGACGCCCGGCGAGTCGTCGCTACTCTCGATCGAGTCGTACCGCACCGCGCGCTCGAGCATCGCGAGCGCCAGCATCGCCGCGGCCACCGAGGGCGGGTCGACGATCCGCTCACTCCGGCCGCCGGCGAGCGCGCTCGTACACCGCTTCACACTGATCAAGCCCGGCGCGAAGAGGGGCAGCGGGAGCGGCGGGATGAGCCCCACGCGCGCGAGGGAGGCGGTGAACCACGAGCCGACGTGGAGCCCGCTGAATGTGTTCTTCTCGAGCGGGTTGTTGGTGTCCAAGTGTGATCTGTGTAATAAGCGGCTCGGGTGGAAGCCTGTGCTGGAGTGTGATGACTGTGGGCTGAGGTAAGCAGCGTTGGAGGGTGGCTTCATCGTACGCTGACGGTGATTGTGCTTCCGCAGGGCCCATACGAAATGCGGAGAGATGGCTCCTATGGATTGTGGCCTCCGTCCGACCCGGCCGGTTGTCCACCACCGATCCCCAAGCCCCTCGCCTGGGGGCAAGAAGACCAAGGCATCATAATACCACGATCACGACTTTCACGAAGGACGACGAGCGGCGTAGAAATATTCTTTGCTTCATCGGCAGATACGACGATGTGACGATCCGCATTGCATTCCTACACATTCCAAATTATTTTACGACGAACGGACAGAGTTCTGTAATTTCTTGTTTCACGTATACGCATCCACACCCAGCATTTTTGACATTCCCCCCGATGTGCAAGCCTCTATTTACATAACGCAGTGTTTCGAGAGAGTAGTGTAGCCTTGCAACGAGAACTTCTATTTATTCAGTGTGCCCAATGAGCGGATCCAAGGACGAGCAGATATGGCTAGCCTGTTCATGACCGGACAGAATTTCATTCATTCCACGGAATGAACGTCTTGATTTCATCTCCCACAGGTTCGATGAGATGACAGGACGAGTCAGAGTGCTTGTTGCTATGCTACATCGGGACATTATACAAGGGGGTAGTCAAATGAAGGGTTCGATCGAGGCCACGGTAATAGTCGCCCTCAGGGTCCGATCAGAACATCTGAGCGAGAGATGAAATCGAATGTCCGCACTAACGGCGGGCCCCCGCTCGAGGGGGCAAAAGGCGAAAGGCAAGTACAACTAGGTCCGACGAACATGATCGCAGGCAGTCTGTCTAGATTCAGCAGCCAAGCACCATTGTCAATTGGGAAGAAGGCATATTTCGGAAGGGGACAGCCAGGTTCTAATATCCGGGGAATGATTGCTTCTCCGCGTCGTGTGGGAACACTTCGGGCTCGAAATCCGAATTTGCGAGGACGCCCTCGACGTATACTGTCAAGAATGAAGAGTTAGTGGTTGCAGAGCCGCAAGCATGGGAGGTAACGCACGCCAATGCGCGAGGCCCTTGTTGAAATTGAGCCAGCAGACTATGCCCAGGACGACGCATGCGGTGAGGCCGATGAAGGAAGAGACCGTCATGCAAGCGAAGAAAGGCCACTGGATGAAGGTCCAGCGATACACGAGGGAATAGAACATTGTACCCCAACAGGCGATCAGGACGAACGCAAGAATGATGAAGCCCGCCATGAACACTTTCTTCTCCAGCCGGACAGAGTACCACCCCTACATGTTCGTGAGATCAGTGTGGAAACCAAAGGACGCTGTGAGAATCGTACCGTTGCCATCCACGGGATCATGACCTGCGGGACGGGTAAAATACATAAGTACTATTCAGGAGTGAATAGAAATCGTACTCACGATGACCGTGAACAGGAATAGTGCCTTGTAAACATTCGTATGCGACGATATCCTAGCTATGTCCCCATTAAAGAGCTGGTCGATCCACAATCCCGTGGCCGTAGTGAGGAAGAAGACGAGCAACTGCACGCAGACGTAGATCGCCAGAACAAACTATGGTGCGCTTCTCTTTAGGACTCTGAAGGCAACTTTCGTTATGACGTGCAGCTCACCCGGTAAATTCTGACGATCGCGGGAGGAGGGCCGGCACGCTTGAAGGAGTGGCTAGAGTAACTCTACAGGGAGAGAGTTAGAGACAGCCACATACACGTCGCAGAAGCAGCAGCACCTTGACAAGATGCCATCCCAAGTACGAGGCGCAGAGAAGTGCCGTGACGTTCAACACCAGATCCGAAATCTGCATGATTTTTGCTTTGCTTTAATGACATCCCCAGTGAATCTACAGCATTGCAGAAGCTGACCTGGAAAGAGAGACGGGTATGGAAGTACTCAGGAAAAATCTGCAAGTAACAAGGCGTGTCTTCGTCGACGATGAGGTGTTGGAAGCGTTGTTTGATATCCGTCGTACGCCAGATAGAATAAGCCGACCAGCCTGTGGTGAGGACCCTGGTGCATAGTACAGCGAGACTGCAGCGCCAGTTGCGTATCGGCACGACGTCGTGGAACAAAGTCAGTTTACTCACATATGCGGTATAGAGTCATGAAGGAGCTGCAAGCCACTCAGAATGGGTTATAAACCCAGATACTTAGGGACGTACGCCAAAGAAGGAGATTGAGAACAGCCAGAATTGGGCAACTAGCAACGCAAGATCTTCACGTTTGGAGTTCCTCAGTCTATTTTATAGACTGTTACTGCATCTGGCACCGTATCGACAGATGGAAAGACATACACTTGGTCTGGATAAACGAGAGTCTTGACGCACGTTTGACTCAAAGTAACTTCCTTCCCAGTGGCTTTCATCATCAGGGTGACACCAGAAGAATTGGACCCCATAATCGATATGACTTGTGAAGGATCCACGAGGGTCTGCAGAAAGGGTTCAGTGGAGAAAGAGTGCATCATGTACCGGATATCTTACAGCAAGGGGGGTCACAGGTTTGGCGAGATTCATCTAAATAAATGCAAGATAAAGATGCATGAGCTCGCGTGAACGAAAACCAGCGGTGAAAAACATGCATCGCTTGCCATCATGATGGTAGGAAATACCACTTCGCAAGAACCGCTGTTGTCCCCTGTAGGGACATGGGTGCATAGTGACAGTTGATAGCCGCCGTTTGGACGGGTGAGCCATGCAAATTCCTTCTGGAACGAGGTTGCGTTGGCTTGTTCTATAATGCTCGATACTAGGGAGTCCGCCTGGTCGTCGGCCGCAAACAAAAAGGCTTGCATCATGCCTTGGGCGAGACAATGGGTCACGCCGAGAAGAAAAAAAGCGAGGGTATAGCGCGTAAGGGTCACGCGAAGATACTGGGACACCGGTGCATTCTTAGGAAACAACGGTTCATCTCACGACTTTGCCACTTACGACTGATTTCAGTTTAATCCAAGCATGGTCAGCTATGGTCAACATATCCCGAAGGAACGAAGTGGGCAGAACAAATAAAGCAAGTAACAGCCGGCTGTGGATAGATACAAGAGGAGAGGAACAGCAGACCAGCAGCTAAGAAGAAGCACTCCGACGTCGACTCGCAGGGAGCAAACGGGGATCGTTGGGCAGGCCATGGCAGCTGTTATATGATGGCTGCAACGGCTTCTGTTGACGCCCGCCCTTGTTCGGTCTTTCTCAAGGTCCTCTTTCTTTCTTATAGACCTGCCCAATCGGGCGTTGTTACGATCCTCGAATGCTTAGTCAGCTAGTTATCCAGGGACAACGATGCCTCTCTTTGGACAGCCTTGTACTTTGCCACACGGCGGGCAAAGCAGGTGTCCTTTTTCCGGACGGCAGGAAAAAGGACACTATGTCCTTTCACGGCGACCATCAGTGGGTCAGGAAGTAAATCTGTCACGATTGCATCATGGTCGTGACAATGGGTCACGCAGTCTGCATTTATAATATGAAAAACCCTCGGACGCTCAGTTTTACAAAGCGAAGCATGCCATATGACCCGATAGGTGACTTTCCGTCCATATTCGGACCTTAGGCTCCCATCCGAGCCGTAACATCACACTTCGGCAGCTACCGTCTCGGACCTCCAGCAGCGTCTACTTAGGTGGCACTGGGCAGAGTACCGTACTTGCATGGTTTTTGTATCCATCAGCAAGCAAGGTGGAATGTACTCTCATATCTCCATGCTCAACACTGTAGAGCCTGCCAGAGTTGAAGTTTGTGTGAATATCAGATGAGATTTGAGACCTGGTAGCTACGAAGTTG